AATATGACATTGGGTGCACGAAATTGTTGCGTCACCACATTGACACGGGTGACAATGCCCCGGTACGCCAGAATCCTTTTCGGTTAAGTCCGGCCGAAAAAGATCATGTCAAATTGGCAGTGGATGACATGCTGGCTGCAGACATTATAGCCCCTTCCACCAGTCCATGGGGAGCACCCATAGTGCTTGTCAAAAAGCACGATGGGTCCTTGCGATTCTGTGTGGATTTTCGCCGCCTTAATAAGATCTCCGTGGCCGACGCGTATCCACTTCCCCGGATGGACGAATCTCTGGATGCTCTGGCTGGCGCACGTTTTTTTTCTACGTTGGACTTGTTATCCGGATTTTGGCAACTCCCATTGGATGATGAGTCCAAGCCAAAGACTGCGTTTCGCACACCACACGGCCTATTCCAATTTAACCGGTTACCTATGGGATTACACTCCGCTCCGGCGACATTTCAGCGCCTTATGGAACTGGTTTTGGCTGGCTTACAGTGGAACGTCTGTTTGATCTATCTGGATGACGTCATCGTGTTCAGCAAGACATTTGACGAACACCTTTTGCGCTTGCGCGCCGTGTTCCTCAAAATGCGTGCTGCGAATTTGAAATTTAAGCCGCAAAAGTGCCACCTGCTACGGGAATCCGTACGCTATTTGGGGCACATCGTCAGCCGCTCGGGCATATCCACCGATCCCGCAAAGACGCAGTGTGTCAACTCCTGGCCAACCCCCACCTCGGTGGCTGAGGTCAGGAGTTTCATTGGATTTGCGTCTTATTACCGGCGGTTCGTCGCGGATTTCGCGACCATTGCTAAGCCCTTACACGCTCTGACGGCGAAGGGAGTGAAATTTCACTGGGGCCAGGAGGAGGAGGTCGCTTTTTGTTCCCTTCGCGACGCTCTCGTGCGGGCCCCTCCATTGAGCTACCCCGATTTTTCGGAACCCTTCCTGCTCGATACAGACGCCAGCAATACGGGCATTGGGGGTGTGCTCTCACAGGTGATCTGTGGTGTGGAACGCGTCGTGGCTTATGGCAGTAGGGTTTTGTCTCCGGCGGAACAGAGATACTGCGTCACGCGTCGGGAACTCTTGGCTATTGTATTTTTTATGCAACAGTATCGCCCATACCTGTACGGTCGGCATTTCACTGTCCGTACGGACCATGCGGCATTACAATATGCCTTGCGGGTGACACAGCCTTCGGGGCAATTGTCCCGATGGCTCGAAATCCTTCAGGATTATGATTTCACGACCACATATCGGAAGGGTGCTCGGCACACTAATGCGGATGCGCTGTCTCGCCTGCCGCCCGCCTCAGATTGCGCTTGTCTCAGGGGATCGGGGCGTTGTAAGCCGCCAGAGGATAGCCCCCCCTTAGATATCCCGGTTCTCGCTGCTGCCACTGAGGACCCCTTGCCTGAGGGTCCTGTCGGGGAGGGAGGTGCGGACTCCTTGCTGGGGTTGTCCGTTGCTGAATGGGGGCGCCTCCAGATGGAGGACGCATCCCTCCTCGCGTTGCGTCGTCGCGCAGGGGGTTCCGTGCGGGGGGTCGCGGGGATTGATTCATACGGGCTGCTCCAGGGGCTCCTAATGCATTGGGATGGGAGGGCCTGCCGTCACAGGCTGGTGGTGCCATCCGCTTTGCGGGGTAAGGCCGTTTGGGCCGCACACGAGCGACTTTTGCACCTGGGGACCCACAAGACCCTTGCCGTGCTCCAGCTGGATTTCTTCTGGCCGGGTATGGCAAGGGATGTGGATGACCTCCTGGGTGCATGCACTCAGTGCGCCCAACGAAAACCACCAGCGAAAGGCGCCTGCCCACCGCTACAATCTATCACGGTCTCTCGGGTTAACGAACTCGTCGCACTCGATATATTGGGGCCCTTCCCTGCGACCCCTAGGGGTAACAAGTACCTGCTGGTTGGCGTGGAATATTTCACCCGATGGCCTATGGCATGGCCTCTTGCTAACCAGTCAGCAGCAGCCGTTGCCGAGGCCTTTGTCCAGGGCTATGTCCTCGACAAGGGTGCTCCCGAACGGCTGCTGACTGACCAAGGGAAGAACTTCTCTGGCGTCCTTCTGCACGAGGTGTGTGCGCTTCTTGGTACGAAAAAGATTCGCACATCCCCCTATCACCCACAAACCGATGGCATGGTGGAGCGGCTGCATAGGACGCTCACATCTATGTTGTGTCACCAGGTGTGTGACTCCCAGACCGATTGGGACCTTCACATTCCGGGGGTTTTGGCCGCCTATAGAATGGCTCCTCACGCGGCAACCGGCTTCTCGCCGTTCTTTTTGATGTACGGTCGCGACGTTGACCCACCAATTGCGAATCAGCTCCGCGTCTCGGAAACCAGCAGAAAATCGAAATTGGCCGACCACGTTAAATTTAATATCCTGAGGTTGACCGAGGCGCGGGAGGCAGCGGCCCAAAACTCTTCCTCTCGGCAGAAGGCCAACGAGAGGTTGCGATCGCGCCAATCACGCACACATGCGTGGAAGCCAGGCGATCAAGCCTGGCTGCACTGCCCTCAGGTGCCGTTGGCGACCTCGGCGAAATTGTTGCGGCCTTGGAGGGGCCCTGTGGTTATTGTGAAGGTTATGCGGCCGCAGTGCGTTCGTATCCAGTGGGGGAAACGCCGCTGGTACGTACACCCCTCGCGTCTGAAGCCGTTTGTGGCGCCGCGCGTCCCTCCACCACATTACACAGGCCGAGCATGTGATGTCTCCGCTGACTCCCGGACGGCGTCTTCGTCACCTGCCCTTGATGCTTCGCTAACTGTTCCACCTTCAGGCGCCTCAAGAATGACGGCTTCCAGCGCGCCTGCGCCACCCGGTGGGGACGGAGTTTGCCCTTCCGGGGTGACGGAAGACGGTGCACCTGCACAGCCGGTGCCCACTGCCGGGCCGACCGGACCCTCCCCCTACGATGGACCCGCAAATCGGACTCGCGCCAAAATGCGCCGCTTGTTGTAAAAATGGTTCTTGTTACTCTTGTTGTTCACTGTTAAGTTTTCTTGCTGCGTTGATGGGGGGGGCGGGTACAATGTATATGTGTATATAGTGTAATTTTGTATAGGTGGGTTGGGTTATTTATTGGGGTGTTCGTTCTTATGAGGCACGCACGGGTGGGGGTTTGTTGTGTTTATTGTTCGAGTATTGTTGCAGCCGGGACGGCTGCGGGTTACACGGGAGGGGGTGATGTAGGGGTGCTATGGGGAATAAACACATGACACGGGAAGGTGTGGTTCACCCACACCTTGGTGGCTACAACAACGTCCGCTAAGGCTCCAGTGGGTATAAAGTGCGGGGAGCCAGGGAGCTCGGGGCAGAGTGTGGGGCCCGAGGCTGAAGCAACCAGTGAAGAAAGAAGGCCAGCTAGGTGAGACCCTGGAACTCCTGTGACCGCTGCCCTTTTCAGGGCCGGCACCGCAAGCCAGTGGTGCGGCCCCAGAGCCCCAGAGTCAGAGTCCTTCTAAGGGCCGGTCTGGTCGGCGGGGTGCCGAGATCTGTGCCTAACCAGGGCCGGATCTGATAGCCTCCCTTAGAGCCCTACCAGGAGGAACTGGGAGCCTAGAGCTTAGGCCAGAGAGCCTGGGGTGTGTTCCTGAGTTATACGGGTGGAGGGGCCGCTACCCCTTCTAGTGTAACCCTTGTTAAGGTTTAAATAAATAGTGCTGCTTCTATTCTGCCGTCTCCGTGTCCTGGAACCCACTACACATACGTACATACACACGTTACGTCACTATGCACGTGAATGCGTACATACACACATTACGTCACAATGCACGTGAATGCGTACATACGTACATACACACATTACATCACAATACACGTGAATGCGTACATATGTACGTACACGTCACAATGCACGCGAATGCGTACACACGTATACACATTACGTCACAATGCACGTGTGTACGTACATACATATACACATTACGTCACAATGCACGTGTGTACGTACATACATATACACATTACGTCACAATGCACGTGTGTACGTACATACGTATACACACGTTACGTCACAATGCACGCGAATGCGTACACACGTATACACGCTACGTCACAATGCACGTGTGTACGTACACAAGTATACACGCTACGTCACAATGCACGTGTGTACGTACATACGTATACACGCTACGTCACAATGCACGTGTACGTACATACACGCTACGTCACAATGCACGTGTGTACGTACACACGTATACACGCTACGTCACAATGCACGTGTACGTACACACGTATACACGCTACGTCACAATGCACGTGTACGTACATACACGCTACGTCACAATGCACGTGTGTACGTACACAAGTATACACACGCTACGTCACAATGCACGTGTGTACGTACACACATATACACGCTACGTCACAATGCACGTGTACGTACACACGTATACACGCTACGTCACAATGCACGTGTACGTACATACACGCTACGTCACAATGCACGTGTGTACGTACACAAGTATACACACGCTACGTCACAATGCACGTGTGTACGTACACACGTATACACGCTACGTCACAATGCACGTGTACGTACATACACGCTACGTCACAATGCACGTGTGTACGTATACACGTTACGTGACGAAGCGGCAGTCCGCGAAGCGACGCCGCCGCCGCACGCGGCTCATGAGAGGCACAGTTGGTGACCCCCCCCTCCCTGCGCTCGCCCGAGGCTCGGGATGAAGGACGCGAGCGAGGGAGACGCTGGAGAAGCTCGCACGAACGCTCGCGGTCGAGCGTGGACCAGGGGACGACTTTCACCGGACACCGGGTGACGAGGATCGCGATGGTGACGCGAAGAGGGCGGGACAGGAGAAGGGCCGGGGGCACCTTTGGCAAAGGAACGGCGCCCCGACAGCTGAACTTGAGAATGAGAAGCATCGCAGCGGCGAGAGGAATCGGTGCGTCCCGCGTGCCACGCAGGCCGATACAGGCGCCCAACTTCAAATCAATCACAGCGGGAAGCGTCACCAGGATCAGTGCAGCTTTTATTTTAATTTATATTTTTGTGTCACGGTTCTTGTTGTTTTTTACTTCATGGACATGTGTCAACGAAACAAAAGCCTTATCGATTCAATGTGTCACGACGTTTGTGTAAATGTTTTGTAATCCAGATACACGTAGGGTCGTCCACCGAGGAGGTGGAGCGATGGAATCAGGCGGCGTCGGGTGGCTCAACTACATCGCAAGGACCGTTAAAAAGGTGGCGGTAGCTTGCGGAGGCCTTCATCCAGCAGTGGATTGACCGTGGCTGACGATGAAACACGTTTAAGAATGCCACCAGTGCACATCTCAATAACCGCTAGAGGCTGTGAGCTCAACGTAGACGACGATGCACAGGCGAGACGCGAGAAAACCGAACCCACTCGATAAGACTCAACCGCGTTGCACCGCGAGACCACGGCGGCTGGGAGGCCTTCATCCAGCAGTGGATAGATCATTGCTGCTGCTGCTGTTTTCTCAAGCCTCTATTCACAACGGTGCATTTGTGGCGTGAATGAGCAGAAACCGCAGACAACGCAGGACTTGTCATCGCGCTGTTAACCGTGAAGGCGTCGCCGAGTCACGATAATCTGTTTCAAGAGGGACTTGCAAGCCCAGGTCCGGGAGTGAGGAAGTAACCCATGGGCCGGAGCAGACGTTGGTACCAATCGAGGCAGCACAACTTCAGTCGTGCCCATTTATTGACGCACGCCGAGTCAATTCTGGGCAAACCCGCCAATTCCGCGCGGTTAACCGCATAACTCGCCGTTTATTTGGCCACACACAGAAATTGGAACCGCTGAAAAGAAGCCAGCTCAGGTGGTACCGGGCAAGTGACATGCCTAGCGAGGTCTGGGCTCATAAAAAAACTAAAGTTTCCTCTTGCCTGTGACTATTTAAATTCGAATCAGCAACAGACGAAGAGAACCCATAATAGAAACACTACTTCCATACTATTTTTATTTTAGCGGGTAAGGCCCACTGAGCTACGTAGCTCTTTTTGACCTGGCTCCCATAAATCATAGCTCAACGAAGAGGCGGCTTATCGCCACGTGGGAATTGATAGCAGCTAAATGCTCTAACACACGTGATGTTGATTCAAAAAACGTGGAGGGAAAAACCGGAGGATCCGGAGGAAAATCCACGCGCTCGCGGGGCGAGAGAGACACAAACTCCAAATATACAGCAGGCATCGTCACGATCGGGTCCGAACCCACGACCTCATGTATACCAGGCGAGGTAGTTAACATCTCGTCACCGTGGCACTCATGCAGGCCGGATGCAAAGAGACTTTACTGCTGTTATGGGTTCTCTTCGTCCTGGACAAACGGCCCGTGGCTAATGGGGTCCCCTGCCTCCCACCACAGTGCAAAGGCCTCTCCATATACCGGGCTCCACCGGAGGAATCATGGCAGCAGTGAACACCGATCACCGTGTCTATGGGGCCTTTTTGCCAGCACAGGGACTCCTCTCCTTACGAACGACTCAGGTTCCAGAGGTCTGTTCGTAAGTCCCAACTTTACTCCCATCGATTCCAAACACGTCGTACGGCGTGTGTACACTGAAACACGGGGAATGCCTTTAAAAGTTGTACGATCTCCTGTAGATGCCGCTGGTTCTTCACGTTCTGCAGATGTAGATGCCACCACCGCCACCTATTGCGCGGCGGTTGAACTTACGGCTCTCGGTCCGAACGGGCAACAACATAACTCTGAAAGTTCGTAAGTTGAATGTTCAAGAGTAGAGGAGTCCCTGTAATGTATCAATAATGAAAAAATAAGAACAGGCTTTACCCCTTTCTGGCAATCAAACAGGTGTTAAGATGTGCACACACCAAACACCTATTGCAAGGTATCTGATAATGTATGCGTTGTCTTTGAAACTGATTGGCCTACGCCAGAGACGGCCTTCTTCTTGATGGCCTAGTCTCACCACCAGTGTTAGACCAGGTATCTATTTGGTGATCGAGCGTGTTTGTTTACGTGTCTTGCCACAAGTACGTGCGGTTAATGCAGACTTGATGCCTTGCAGAAGTTATCTATTTGGTGTTTGAACATCTTAACACCTTCTGCTTTATTTCCAGAAAGGGTTAAAGCCAAATGTTGTTATTCTCATTGATGACTGTGCCTCCACTCATGAAGTCTTAACGGAGGTGAAAACGGTCATCGGCTGTGTCTCCTTATCACCGCCCCCACCTCCGTTGGGACTGGCCTCACCTTCTCAACTCCCTCACAAAATGACCAAACATTCAGTTCTTTTCAGCTGGTGGTTTGGATAAGGCTGATAGCTTTATGACACGAAATGCAATTTGTTTTTGTCCGTTTCACAATTTCTCGCACCTCCGAATAACAAGGAGCATGAACCATCATCACGCCAACTCCGCTCATCCTTGCAGAAGCACCGGCTTTTAGCTCGGCCATCGAACAGAGACGGTGATGACCGCGTCGCGCGGCGCTTTCAGATGCGCTTGTGCGTCCGTCTGGAACGCTCTTCCTTCCGATATTAAGACGCCACCGGAGCCATCATCTCGATTGACAAACTCACATCTTTAGAACTGTTTTGTGCGTTTAGTTTGCTGCCCTTCCCCCGACACCTCCGATCAGCGCGGTTGATTACGTACGGTGCGAAAGAAGTCCAACACGCATGCGTACATACTTAGCCCCAAATGTCTTCCAAGAGTCTAGAAACCATCTTCTTCCAGCACTCTCCTCTCCAGGGCTATCAAACATCCCCCGTTGAGGCCTACACAGTCCTGGTGAGTTCACGTCACCGGCACGGCACGGCACGGCCTTCATCCAGCAGCGGATTGGTGTCGACGGCAACACGTGGACATGCGTGACGATTGCATAATCATTACGTGATCGCTGCCAGAAATAATTCGGAGCGCCTGAAAGCCGAAGGGGCTGCCGATTCACTTCATGATCGTTCAACGCACTTACCTTTTCAAAGCCTAATCGGCGTTTGTTATTTCAGTCATCGTAATAGCTCGGTCGATGGCACAGTCAAGCCGTCTCAGTCGGTGTACCTCATGGAGTTATTCTCTTAGTCCTTGTTTACTACAGCAGTCAAACATGTCATGAAAAACTTCTAGTTATTTAATGATTAGGCTTTCGTTCAGACTCGTTAATTGTCTCGTCACAGTCTAGCTGTAATCCCTGCTGGGTCGATGGTGGTGGTGGTGATGATAGCGGTGACAGTGACAACGATAGTGGTGGTGACAATGGTGGTAATGATGATGGTGTTGGTTCGATATGATGGTGGTGGTGATGGTACCGGTTAGTCGTAGTCATTGCCCACGATTCTCGTCCACCCGTTGCCACCGTTGCCACCGGAATTGAAAACAAGCTCATAATTTTCATCAACAGCGTTCACTTACTAAATTACCACTGCTGCCCCCCGCCTCCCCGCCGTCGCCGGTCAGCGGTTGCCGTGGTCCGGGGAATTGAGCCCCGCTTGCTCTCACTGGGACTAACCCTCTGAGAACTGGCGGTAGAGCGCGCCGAGCTCCGGGTCGGTGAAATTGGGCACAAAGTTGATGCGGACAATTTCACTGAAGCCTTCGTCCGCCGTGGGCGGAACGTACTTGTTCCTGCGAAGGGCCCGCGGGCAGCAGAGAGCAAAAAAGGAATGTCACGCGACGCAAGCGACGCAGGGGGCCGGCCGTGAAACGCTCGTCCCCAAAACGTACAAAGGATGTGCCCGGAAATGATTAAAAATTGGCGATGATGGCGGTGTGCGGAACGGGAGGTGCACGTGTGGCCGAGGCCTCCAGGGCGCAGGTGCCAAAGCCAAGACTTTTTATCACTGGGTCCTTTTTGTTGCCAGTATCAAAGTATTAAAAGTAAGAAAAGGTTGTTTATGTGTTGAGATGTTCAAACGCCAAATTGATATCCATTGCAAGGGATCAGGATACTGCATTAACCACGTGTTGTACTTGTGGTGAACATGAAAACAAACACGGCTCTGATGATAATGTGTGCATTGTCTTTGAAACTGATTGGCCTACACCAGAAACAGCAAGCAGCCTTTTGGCACTCTCTGATCTGACACTGGTGAGACTAGGCCCTCTGGTGTAGGCCAATCGGTTTCAAAGACAATGCACAGATTATTATTAGAGCAAGTTTGTGTTTGCATGTTCACCACAAGTACCGTGTGTGGTTAATGCAGATTTGATTCCTTGTAAAAGGTTTCTATTTAGTGTTTGAACATCTGAACACAACTCTTGATTTATTGAGAGGGTAACGCCAATACTTTTTAATGATGATCACGATGACGACGACCATGACGACGATGATGATCACGATGATGACGATGACGGCGATGATGATGATCACAATTATGACGATCACGATGATGATCACAATGATCACAATGATGACGACGACGACGATGATGACGGCGATTGTTATTTGTTGCGGATGCAGGCGTGCGGGGGAGACAAACCTGCTGGCGTTCATCACCATCACGTTGACCGGCACGTGCTCTTTGCCCACGGCCTCTCGGAACTGCTCGAGCCACGACGAAGGAGACACAGAGACGGCGAGACACCACACATTGTTATCATTGTTGTTGTTGTTGTTGCCCTGGTTCACCCAGCAAAGCCGTACTCGAGTCTCAAGACTGTTTGGTAGGAGGGTCCTGCCAGGTTTTGGCAGCGGTAGCGGAACGATATTGTTGCTCCTCCTGCTGCTGTGTGTGATCCCAATTGGGGAGCGGTGGTGCAGCGGTTAGCGCGTTGCGCTACGAACCCGGCGATCCGAGTTCGATTCCCGCTCACGGCCACCAACACCACTGAACCAGGTCTGGGCCTCACCTAGGTCGACTCGGCCTCAAATGAGTATCTAGTGTAAACATCGCCACTAGGGAGACAAAGGCGGCTGGGGAAGGTGCTGGCCACCCATCCCCTCGTGTGGCATGCTGGTCTTCAAAGGTGCTCGCTAACAGCACTTGCCCCAACAGTCTGTTAAAGCTACATTGTATGGTTCAGGGTGGTTCGAGAGAGCAAGTTGGCGGGTGTATGAGTGAGTGCGTGGACGACTGGGCGACTCACCCGGTTATTATGCATCGCGTGTTCGAAGGTCGTTGTGAACAGAAAGCAACGGCAAGGAACGCCAGCCTTCCGTGCACAATCCACGTACCTGCACCCAGCCCCACAGAGTAGTACTATCACTACACAATACACACACACAGAGTAATACTATCACTACACAATACACACACAGACCCACAGAGTAATACTATCACTACACAATACACACACACAGACCCACAGAGTAATACTATCACTACACAATACACACACAGCCCCACAGAGTAATACTATCAACACACAACACAGACCCACAGAGTAATACTATCACTACACAACACACACACACAGAGTAATACTATCACTACACAATACACACACACACAGACCCACAGAGTAATACTATCACTACACAACACATACACACAGCGTAATACTATCACTACACATTACACACAGACCCACAGAGTAATACTATCACTACACAATACACACACACAGATCCACAGAGTAATACTATCACTACACAATACACACACACAGACCCACAGAGTAATACTATCACTACACAACACACACACACAGAGTAATACTATCATTACACAATACACACACACACAGAGTACTACTATCACTACACAATACACACACAGAGTAATACTATCACTACACAATACACACACAGACCCACAGAGTAATACTATCACTACACATTATACACACACAGACCCACAGAGTAATACTATCACTACACATTATACACACACAGACCCACAGAGTAATACTATCACTACACAATACACAACACACACACAGAGTAATACTTTCACTACACAACACACACACACAGACCCACAGAGTAATACTATCACTACACAATACACACACACACAGAGTAATACTATCACTACACATTACACACAGACCCACAGAGTAATACTATCACTACACAATACACACACACACAGAGTAATACTATCACTACACAACACACACACAGACCCACAGAGTAATACTATCACTACACAATACACACACACACAGAGTAATACTATCACTACACAACACACACACACACAGAGTAATACTATCACTACACAACACACACACACAGACCCATAGAGTAATACTATCACTACACAACACACACACAGACCCACAGAGTAATACTATCACTACACAACACACAGACAGACCCACAGAGTAATACTATCACTACACAATACACACACAGACCCACAGAGTACTACTATCACTACACAACACACACACAGAATAATACTATCACTACACAATACACACACAGACCCACAGAGTAATACTATCACTACACAACACACACACAGAGTAATACTATCACTACACAATACACACACAGACCCAGAGTAATACTATCACTACACAATACACACACACAGACCCACAGAGTAATACTATCACTACACAAGACACACACAGACCCACAGAGTAATACTATCAACACACAACACAGACCCACAGAGTAATACTATCACTACACAACACACACACACAGAGTAATACTATCACTACACAATACACACACACAGACCCACAGAGTAATACTATCACTACACAATACACACACAGACCCAGAGTAATACTATCACTACACAATACACACACAGACCCAGAGTAATACTATCACTACACAATACACACACACAGCCCCACAGAGTAATACTATCACTACACAAGACACACACAGACCCACAGAGTAATACTATCACTACACAAGACACACACAGACCCACAGAGTAATACTATCACTACACAACACACACACAGAGTAATACTATCACTACACAATACACACACACAGACCCACAGAGTAATACTATCGCTACACAATACACACACACAGACCCACAGAGTAATACTATCACTACACCACACACACACAGCCCCACAGAGTAATACTATCACTACACAACACACACACACAGAGTAATACTATCACTACACAATACACACACACAGATCCACAGAGCAATGCAATAGCTGCACAATACCAATACCCGCCATTCGCCACGCCACGAAGGGGCAGTGACATCACTACAATGCCTGTGCCAGGCCAGGTGCACTTTGAGGCCACGTGAAGTGTTGAAGGCTCGCTGCTGGCAGGAGGTCACGGGACAGACCCAGGTGCAATGGGTTGACTGATTGAGATGACTGGCAGATGCACCAGCTGTGCCTCCTGCTGTGCCAACTTGCTGCGTTTTAGCCGCCTGGTGCTCCGCTCGTTGTTGCAAGCGACTGTCCACCGCCCTCCGTTGTTGGAGGGCGACTGCCTCCAACTGCCCAGTAGCAGCATCCTTCTCAAGCCTCCTCCACAGAGGCTGATCTTGACACCACTGGTAGCACTCGGCTCCACATCCTCTCGTACCACATCACTCCATCTCTTCTCCAACCCGTGCTGCACCCGTTTAGCCTGTTCTATCCGGCCGAACAAAACTGTTTGGGCATGCGGTGGCTGGGCATGCGGGCTACATGACCCAGCCAAAGCAGCCTTGTCTGCCGGAGGAGCTCACCGATGGGACTGTGTCCAGATCTTTCGAGGATTTGTGAGCTCCTCATACAATCCAGCCTGCAGGTTAAACCTAGGATGGATCGTAGGCAGACCAGCCTAAATGTTTCTAACCGACGGAGATGTTCCATTAGGAAGGGTCCACGTTTCACATAAAGAAGGGAGGACATGACCGTGGCCGAGAAGACCATGCACGCGTACGTCAGACTGGACGAGGCTCTCCCAGGCAAACAAGGGCAATGATGACGATGTTAATAATAATAATAACGCCGTGCAGCAGAGAGCGGTGGCAGCGGTGGCGGCTGTAGCCGATGCCGTTGAGTGACGGGGGGGAGGGCGGCACCTTTTCCGCGCGTCCACCTCCAGGTTGGTGTTGTCCACCACGACCCCATGTCCACCACGCAGGGCCTCCTCGCACGCCGCCACACACTTCTGCCAGTTCCCCAGCGTGTCCTTGCACAGCAGGCGACAGAGAGACAAAGACAAAGATCCCACCCGCCGCAAAGCCTTAACAGACTGTCGGGGCAAGTGCTGTTCGCGAGTAGCAGCGCTGATGAAGTCCGGCACGGCGCACGAGGGGGTGGGTGACCATCACCACGCCCGGCTGCCTGTTTGTCTCCTCAGCCGCCATGCTTACTACGCACAGCACCGGGTACTCATTTGAGGCCGAGTCGACCAAGGGGAGGCCCATCGTCGTCATCATCATCACTGCCACCGCCACCGTACCCTGTTCACGTAGCTGTAGCCTTTGGACACCATGTGCTCCTTGAAGAACGTCGACTTCCCAGCTGCAGCGACAAACACGCGCACGACTTTACCCACACGGAGAGACAGCGGCAACAGCAGCAGTGACGACAACGATGACGACGATGACAACAGGAGGCGGACGATTATGATTCATGGACGATGATTTGTTTGCCGCGTGATGACGATCGGCAGTGGCAGGGGCAGCTTTGCCACGCCGGCGCGGCGCTGGCAACGAGAAGCGAACGTGACGATCGGTGGCGGCTGTCAACACGGGATTCTGGGAGTTGCAATTCCGCTTCCTCATCGTCTCACCTGCGGGGAATCCCACCGCCACCACCACCTCCGGCTCCTCGTGGCAAAGCGTGGCCGTGGCCGGGAGGAACAGAGGGGAGCTGGGGCTCACCATGCGCTGGGTAAGGGGGTGGCGGACAGAGGAGGATATCAGCATCATCATCAGCATGATCATCAGCAGCAGCCTTGGCAGCATCAGCAGCAGCAATATGAACAGCATAGGCAGCAGAATCACTATTGTCATCTACAGCATCGGAAGCAGCAGCAACATCACCGGCTGGGAGGAACAGCTGAGCGATGGAACTCGCTGTGCATTGGGTAAGCAGGGAGGGAGGGAGTCATTAGCATTACCAGCATCACCGGCATTAAAGGAGTTGGCGAAACATCCAGCTTAGGGCCACAGAGCTTGGGCAATAATTGTTGGTCATGCCGGTTGTGGCTGCCTTCACGCTTTGTCCGTGGGTTTATCGCACCTGCTGCTGCTGCATTACAAATCTGCGTCTTTGTTATTTTGGCGGTCGGACTCACAGGGTCGAAGTCGGGCAGGCTGTACGGTGCCGTCTTCCATCCCAGGAAGATCTCCTCCGGAGTGTGGAACGGAAGTCCCACGTTGAGAGCAAACTTACAAAAAACGATAAAGGCGGTGATGATAATAATAATAGTAGTCGTCGAGGAACGAAGGCCACGCACACCCACTGGGTTGTGAAACGGTATACAACTTTGTGTTTGTGCCGTTTGGCTGCCACGGTGGCTAGGAGATGTTAACTACCTCGCCTGGTATACAGGAGGTCGTGAGTTCAACTCCGACCCTGACGCCCGCTGCTGTATATTTGGAGTTTGCGTGTGTCTCTCTGTCCCCGTGGTCGCGTGGATTTTTCTCCGGCTGCTCCGGTTTTTCCCTCCACATTTAGAATCAACGTCACGCGTTTAGTGTGTGGTAGGCTCTGGATTATCCGCGCTAATGACGAGGAGGACGGCCACGTATCATTCAAAATAGCGGATAATCCCAAAAAAATCTATTTTCCATGGATCTCATTGCCAAAAACCACTAGTATAGGTATAAATTACGTTAAAGTTTCTCTGCCATCGCACATTTTTCATAAATGAAAACTCACAAAATAAATGATGGGATAAATCACTCGATTGTTACTGTTTAGATATAGAACCAATACTAACGATCGACCGATCGATCAATGATGCGCATGCTCAGCGATAGTAACACTTTCCTGCTCCCGCCCAGTGGAAGACTCGGCCCACTAAGTGAATGGCAGCAGCAGAGCCACGCCAATCAACGTCAATCAAACTCCGCCCACCGTAATAAAGATATGGCAACTACTGTACTGTAGAGGCGATCGCGTGGATTTCGGATTAACTGGAGGAACATATTTGTTCGGTAGAAGCACCCTGTGACCTGTAATGAACACTTCAAAGAATAACAACGTAGAACCGTTTTTATATTATTAATTTGGGCTTAAGAGAAAAATCCACGCGTTATTTACGTAAAAATCTCCGGTGCGCGGTTAATCCGCACATCGGATAAACCGCACGCGGATTAATCGAGAGTCTTCACTGCATTTGGCTGCGAAACATTTCCAAGTGATGAGCCACTTCGTCGAGCTACCATTGAACACCTCGGCAGCGTGACGCGGCGACGCTTCCCTCAACAAACCAGCGGCCCCCATTGCGACGGCTCGCCACTCCACCGACGTTGGGACTGTCACGGCGTGGGGGGCGGGGGCGGGCGTCGTTATCGTCGCGAACGTTGAGCCGGCTGCGGTGCACCCGTGACGATTTCTCACCAGGCGATCGCTGCAGGAGAAGTCCTTCTTCTTCTTACCGGGGGCCCAGTTTGCCGGGCGTCCTGCGGCATCTGCGTACACGGGACAAGGGCGGACGCGTGGAGGGGGGCGGACGATCGCCACGGGAGCAAAAACGATTTTTGAACGTGACGTTTCGGCTCGTTGTCCGTTCCATTGTTCAAGGACGATGTCGGATATTTTTGGGTCCCACGGTTACCGATTGTTCACGCCGTGTTAAGTTGTTTCACGCGTGGGGGGGGGGGGGGGGTGCGACGTCGCCCTGACGCGGGGTGGCGTCGACATTTTGGCGGAGTGTTCGAATGGCGGTGGACGCGCACAAACAATGTAATCAAAGCAGCAAGATTATGCGCCATGGAGAAGGGCCATTGCCCGAAACATCTGACGACTGAAAAGTTTCCCTTATAAGGCCACACTTCACAGCAGCATTGACGAATGTGTTGCATTTTTGGCAACAAAAGCACCAAAGATAATTTAACGCGTGATGCCACTTCCTGTGACGTCACGCGTTCGGAATTACACGAAACTGAAATTTCGATTTAAAGCTTTCGTGACTGCAAGGATTCATCTTCTTTGGTTCTTTCGGTAAAGTCACGTAGAATGAGAATAAAATAATAAATTGATAAAATAAAATAACACAATAATATTCTCACGACGTTTCGGCCACAACACAAGCGGCCTTCATCAGGTGAAGGGGACGAGACTGTCTGGAGGACAGTCCAACAGTCCAGCGCTGTCCTCCAGACAGTCTTGTCCCCTTCACCTGATGAAGGCCGCTTGTGCTGTGGCCGAAACGTCGTGAGAATATTATTGTGTTATTCTATTTTATCAATGTATTATTTTATTCTCATTCTACGTGACTTTACCGAAAGAACCAAAGAAGATGAAACTGAAATTGTTGTTCCGATCGTCCGAAATTTTGCGTGGCTCGACCCGATTTACAGATTCTTTGGGCAATTCTGAAAATCAAGAACACATCTCCCATGTGATTTCCGCACCTCTAATTAGCACGCTTGGCTAATGGCTACATACGGCGCAAAAGAAGTTCAACATACGTACTGCACACAGACTAACACTGCCCACAGACTCAACACTGAACCTCCGATTGGCACGGTTGGCTATGTACGGTGCGAAAGAAGTTGAACACACATTCATACACGCACATCCGGAGTTGTATTAGAGCTCTGAGCCGGCACGGCTAAGACCCTGGGCTCAAGCCCTGGTTCTCCATGCCTCTCTATCTCGATTTCATAAATCGAGATTGAAAACAACATTTCATTACAACTGCTTCTTGCTGTTGTTATTGCGTTTAGTTTGTTGTGCTTACCCCCAGAATTCCGATCAGGGGGAAACCGCTCGCTCCCAAACAGCAAACGGCTTACAGCCGCGACCGACCGCCGGGCCGCTTTGCCGCCACTTGGCCTTGTCCCCGGCCCATGTGGGAGACACCCCGCGGCAAACCGCGGCGCCTCCGCACGCACTCACCTCCGACGTACAGACTCTTGCCGATGTCGACTTCGATTCCGTCGTTGGCCTACAAGGGGACGAGAGGACAGAAGAACTGCGTCGCCATTCTGCCTGCAAGGCCTCCTTATGGTGACCGCGGCAACACCACGTGCCGTCGTCCGCTTCGCCGGCAGCGGACGCCACGAGTTGCCGCGACGCCGATCGAGGAAGGGAGGAGCCGGGGCCATCGATTGGCCCGCCGATCACGTCACGGTTCAAAATGTTACGTATATTTACAAACTCAACGCCGCAAATTACTCAATCGTTATCGCACACTGCCCCGACTGCGAAAACTTGGCAGGACACCTTTTGCGAAAAGGGGTCTTCGGATTCGGCGAGGAATTCCTGGGGGATTATGCGGACGGAATGAACGCGTTCCCACTCACTTTCTGGATCAGGTGGTGCCACATGCCCAGCATGGGCTTGCGAATCAAGCCAGGTCCACTCGCCACGAACACCTGCAAAGAGACAATGACAAAGATCTCCACCGCCCCACGGTGTAGCCTTTAACACACCGCTGGGGCAAGTGCTATTCACGAGCACCTATGAAGGCCGGCACGGCACACAAACGGGTGAGTGGTCAGCACCACCACATACATTTGACTGATGACTGATAATGCTGCTGCTGATGATGATGCTGATGATCATGCTAATGATGATGCTGTTGATGATGATGTTGATGATGCTTATGATGTTGATGATGCAAGCCTCACCTGTACTGGCAGACCCAGAGTGGCTATAATTGACTCCACCTTGGCCTGAAACTCATCAGCTCTCAGTTTCCCTCGAGCAATTCCCATCTGATTGGTGAAGAACACCACCTAACGCACACAGACAACAATCACAATTCACCACTAAGTGGCGGTGATGTCACCACGGAGATTGTGACAAGCTAGGTTAGGCTGAGTGTTACAGGGCACTGATAGCATTGCGTGAAGTGGAAGGTTTGATGCTGAAAGGTCACGGGACAGACCCAGGTGCCATGGTTTGACCGACTGAGATGACTGGCAGATGCACCAGCTGTGCCCCCTCCACTGCTGGAGGGCGACCGCCTAATTCTGTGCCTCTACGTCGTGAAGCATGCTCGAATAATCAATCTCCACGACCCGCACGGTGTTGGGAGGCCCTCATCCAGCAGTGGATTGACAATGGGGCTGTAGGTGCAAATGTACTTGCGACGTGCATCTTTCAAGATCAAGTTTCAATGTCTATGACCCCCACATCCCCCAAGGTCTACGACCTTGAAACTCTGTGGGTCACCACCACCGCCCAGTCTACGAGAACACATCCGCACCTCCGATGAGCACGGTCGGCCACGTACGGTGCGAAAGAAGTTCAACATACGTACACGGTGATTTTGTTAGGTGAGAATTCGTGAGACCAGCAATGGGAACTTCATTTGCAAGAGTGACGTGAGGCATTAAAATGAGCCACTGTTGGGCAATAATTGCCTGCCGTGCGTATCATCCCGACCGAGTCACTTTGACGGTGACATTTTGGAATTCGGCACAAAATTGGACCCCCTGCCGCCCTCCGCCGACACGCCGGCACGCCGAACATGGCGGCACGCCGGACACGGCAACACGCTGGACACGCCGACACGCCGAACACGCCGACATGCGGACACGCCAAAATGCCGGACAGGCAACGGGCTGACACGCCGGACATGGTGACACGTCGATACGCCGGACACGTCGTACACGCCGGACACGCACGATGGTGGCCTTGCCACGGCAAAAGACGTCCGGGGGTCATCTTGTTAATGTCCGCCGCCGCGGTAATTACCACGGTCGTGACGCACCGCAGTAACGATCGGGGCGGCCGCTCAATTCGAAACAAGGTGGGGGGTGGGGGGTGGGGTGGAGTGGAGGGGAGGGGCTACCGATGGCCACGTGCCGCCCCCTTGAGCCTGTACCTTGTAGCCATCTTCCAAGAGGTGTTTGAGCTTCTTGGGCACCTCCGGGTACAAGATCCTGCACACAAACACACACGTAAGACGCACGTAAGACGCACGTATAACAAACAACACAAATATTCCCCCGTAGAGCCACGCAGACTTGGAGGGGTCAAGTGGAGTTTGGGGAGCACCGATTAAGGCCAGCATGTCGCTCCCAGGGGATGGGAATGTTGCCAGCAGCAGAATAATAATTTAATTCTATATAGCGTCATTCATGCAATTGCTTCCCACAATGCTGAATGTTTACCTTTCACTTTCACTATACTCATTTTGTATAGTTTTTTTGTTGTAACGTTCTGACCCTGTGCCCCGACTGGAATATCTGTGAAAAAGAGCTTTATAGCTCATCGGATTCCTCCAGTTTAACACGTAGTAGTAGGCTTTCGCGACCAATATTATCCACAACCGAGGTATTTTGGGTTCGATCGCGGAAATATAATTGTGTCGTTAAACCCATCAATGTAACGGTTGTAATTACCGGCGAAGCGTCACGGGTACTCGAACTGTAAATGTTGTAGTGGGTTTACTCTCCAACACACAACCGGTTAGTGCTGGACTAGCAACGAAATGTCACGTTTTGTTTATGTAACAAACCTTACTCATTGGCTGTGTCGGGTGGCGGTGGTGAGTTTAACGACGGCTATTTATATTTACGCGATGTAACCCAAAAAAACCTCCATTACGGATTCCTCCAGTATGAATAAAGATTCTGATTCTGAACGACCCACGGAAGCTGATATAACAGAGCTACCTCCGAGATCCCTGCAAGTGATCTCTGATCCACACACGGGAAGCGGCAGCACGAGAGCAGAGTTCGTCGCATGACAGTCAAACCGACGTTTTAAACCTCTGGACTGGAAAGCAACCGAATTTAGCAGAGAATTACATTTTAATTGTTTTATTTTTGTGTGCGGTCATTGGTGACCGCGCTGAGACCATCAACTGGCCGAGCCGCACTGTCCTTCCGATTGCTGAACGATAACGTTATAAGGTCGCAATTATTGCCACAAATGAACCACAATGCCTCAGCCGATCTTGTCAAGCAGCATAAACCATCACGCAAACTCCGGTCTTCCTCACAGCGGCTTTTGGCGAGCCATCGAACAAAGACGGTCAACGCGTAGCGAGCTTTCAGATGCGTTTCTGAGGCCGTCTGGAATGCTCTTCCTTCCGATATCAGGAAGCCAGAGGAGCTACGCACTTTTAAATCATCTAGGTTGACGAACTAATTTCTTTAGAACTGCTTGTTGTTGTTGTTTAGTTTGCTGTGCTTCAGCTACGTACGGTGCCAAAGAAGTTCAACGTTCGGCGGTCCCTCGGTTTACGATGCCGTCGATTAACGATATTTCGAAGTAACGATCCGCCTCCCATAGGGATCCCATTGTCTCTATTAACGATGCATTTTCGATTAACGATTCATTTTCGATTAACGATACGTTTACGATATCACGCGGACCGGCCAATTTCGGCCAATCGTAGCGCCCGTAAGTGGACTCGGCAGACTTCAGCAACTCGCTCTTTTATGGACGCTTTGAGAGCAACTGGCCGCTAGCTTTCAATGTTTGATGTGCGTTGCTTATGGAAACAGCTCTCTTGAATACTTTTACTTAAAAGTTAAGTAAGATCATTAGTGCTTTAACAAGTTCTTATAACGTGTATTTATTATAATTGCGTGTTTAAATATTGCAAACTACCTCTTATATTCGATTAATGATCATTTCAATTAACAATGGTTGTCATGCAACCAATTAATATCGTTAACCGAGGGCCCACTGTGACATACGTACAACTCATTACATTTGAGCACCCGGTTTCAGCCCATGTGGCTGAAATCTGGTGAACATGGTGAACATCAACTCTGGAGGGGTTACCTTCCGAAAATAAATTAAAACATTTTGACAAAGCGTGACGATGATATTTCTCACTTCCAGTCATCGGGCCCGGTTGCGAAAACGCGTCCGGATTTGGTGGTGATGATGGTTGAATCAATGTCGAAGCCGGCGACCTGAGCACAGAGGGAATCCACAATAAGCGACAAACGCAATCTCGCGTGATGAGCTGTTTGTTGCGTGGAGACAATGGTGACTAGCCTGAGGCCATCAACTCACTACACTGGAGAAGCCGGTTTAATCACAACTCGGCCTACGTGAATCGGTGAGCCTCTATGCGAGTGCATGGATCTCTCTGTGGGTCTGTGGGTCTCTATGTCTCAATGTGAGTCTATGGGTCTATCTTGAGTCTCTGGGTCTTTTTGTGGGTCTATGGGCCTCAATGTGAGTCTTTGGGTCTCTCTGTGAGGCTATGGGTCTCTATGTGCATCTATGGGTCTCTCTGGGTGTGTGGGTGTCTCAGTGGGCGTATGGGTGTCTCTGTGGGTGTATGGGTCTAAAAGAGAGTATATGGGTCTCTTTGTGAGTCTATGGGTCTCTCAGTGGGTCTCTGTGGGTGTATGGGTCTCTACATAAGTAATTGGTGGCAGGGCTGACCCCATCAATCACACCTCAACCCGTGTGAATCGGTAAGGCTCTATGTGTGAGTCTACAGGTCTCCACATAAGGTCGTGGTGACCAGGCTCAGGTCAATTCACTATACTGGAGAACCCAGTTTAATCGTAACTCATTCTGTACGAGTCTACAGGTCCCTCCGGGGTTCCATGGCTCTCTGTAAACACCAGAGTCTCCACGCAAGTGAATGGTGACTGGGCTAGGATCGTCGACAGGTTTGCCCTCGAGAACCCGGTTTAATCGCGGGCGGGCAACTGATGCGTGCATCTGACCCCGGGGTTCGTAGCGGCGCTGGATCACATCAGTGTTTCCGACGCGGCCATAATGAATCACCGCTCACCTTAGCTGACGCACGGACCCCCTTTGCGGTGAAGAGCAGGAGGTTTCCCTCCTTCTCCCAGCGGTCGCGAGTGCACGCGGACGCAGAGCCAAGTGCGGAATCCGCTGCATTCACGAACACGTTACACGAACGTGCACGCTAATGAACACAAAGATACAAATCCCCCGTATAGCCTGAACAAACTTTTGGGGCAAGTGCTGTTAGCGAGCGACACCTATGAAGGCTGGCACGGCACACAAGGAGGTGGGTGGCCAACACCACGCCCGGCCGCCTTTGTCTCCCTAGTGGCAATCATTACACACCGCACCAAGTACTAATTTGAGGCTTAGTCGACCTAGGGGAGGCCCAGAACCGGTTCAGATAATAGTCACCGCTGTTGGCCACGAGCGGGAATTGAACTCGGGTCGCAGGGTTCATAGCACAGCTTAGCACTAACCGATACACTACCGCTCTCCATAAACAAACACACACTTAAACAACACACCCAAAACAAGTCACCTTTACTTTGATTAAACACGTAAAAACTCAAGAGACCAGGAAAAATAAATATTATCTTATTGGTGACCCCGTGCCCCTTATACATCTCAACGTTCATCCTACAAAGTCCCATCACAAGGGAGAAACAAATAGACAACACATTTTAATGTTTTGCCCGTCTTGAAACGGCTGTACGCCGTATGGACCTGTACAAGGATACGGGGTGAACCAAATGGGTTGACGGCTGTGCACTAACAACACAACGGGCACCTTACCTACAGCCGCTGTTAATCCGAACCGGAAGTAACGGCACTCAACGGTGTGCCATGTGACCACCGCGTTGCGTGCGCAATGCTCTCAGCCTTGTATCGACCACCGATTCAACAGAACTGAAAGCGTGGCAGCCCCTTCCACACACACCGTTTCGACCTTTTGTGTTTTAGCCGGGCCAAACTTTCAAGCCCTGGTGTGGACAAAAGCAGATGGCATCGCACGCGCAACGTGGCGTTGGCACGGCGTGCACAAGAGGCGTATACGGGGAGCCGTGCCTTGTTCCTGTGCCGAGTGGGCGGCAGCACGCAAAGCTCCCTTGGGTGCTGTCGTTTATAATTCATTTCCAGCAACGCATGACGCAGTTATCGCCTCCCTTAGCGCGAGAGACGGTCAGATGCGAGCCGGTCCCAAACACCACGCGTTTATTCAAATGATTCTGCAGCACGAGATAAGCCACTTCGTTGAGCTGTCATTTGTGGTAGCCAAGTCGCTTCTGGAAAAAAAGCGAATAACTCAGTGGGGCCTTACCCTGGTAAGATAAAAAAATATTTTAGTTTCATCTGCAAGTGATTTGTTGACCTTTCCGATACTTTGCCCTCCTATCGTGTTTTTTGTGTTGTGTTTGTTGTTGTAACGTTCTAACCCCGTGCCCCTACTGGACATCTGTGGAAAAGAGCTTTATAGCTCATCGGATTCCTCCTGCAGTATAAAATAAATATTCTGATTCTGAGCTGCACTTCTTCCGGGATGATGACAGATTTCCCACCTCTCCCGCCAGGTAGCGCCACAGCGTTTGACGACAATGACGACGATGACGACGATGACGACGACGACGCCGTTGCTGCCGTCATCGTCGCCGTGACCTTTGAACCCTGAGCGATCTCACGGAGGCTCCTCAACTTCTCCGCCACCTCCTCGTCATCCTCCTCCTCCTCGCCCCCCGAGTCGCGCTCGCTCCGGTCCCCGTTGCCGTCCAATGACTCCTCCACGCGCGTCCTCTTCGCGTCGCCAGATTTTGGGTCGTCAGACGACCGCTTGGGCGCCTTGCTCGGGAAGAAGTCCTGAGCCGCACGCGGTAGGCAGACAGGCAGGCAATCGCCCGATACGTTTGCGGCAAATTTATAAAACATGTGGCCACGGTGAATTTGGCACCAGTGAAATGAGATTTGCCATTGCGACGCTCTCAGACACGCTTCTGCGGCCATCTGGAACGCTCTTCGTTCCGATATTAGCAAACCACTGGCGCACTTTTAAATAATCTAGTTTGAAAATGCATTGCATGTACGTATGCTTTTAAAGCAGAATTTCTGCATGTATGTATGCTTTTAAAGAATAATGTATGCACGTATGTATGCCTTTTAAGCAAAATGTATGCATGTATGCTGAACTTCTTTCGCGCCGTACTTCGCCAACCGTGCCAATCGGAGGATGGAGGCAATGTCCGGGCGGAAAGGTGGTCATGACGAGTGCGGGTTTTATTCTAAGGCTCACCTTAATGGTTTTGCGCGGAGACTCAGATCGGCCGCCAGGCTTGGAGGCCGAGTGAGAGGAGGAGGTTTTCTGGCCGCCACCGCCGCCGCTCCCGCCGAACATCACGCAGTAGGGGTATCGCTCGTTCACCATGAGCACGACGCCACCGTCCGCGAGCCGCACGGACTCGCCCACTTGGAGCTCCGTGCCGCTCACCCACGTGGGGTTGACCCCCAGCTGCGGGTGTAGAGAGAGAGGAAGAGAGAGAGACCGTCGCCCGTCTCCACTGTCGCGTAGAATAACAAAATAGAAATCGGGCAAGGTGATGATCGTGGAGTTTATCTCGAACGGTATATCACGGCAACGTTTTAATGACGGCAATGTTACCGTTTTACCAATGCTGCTGCTAATGCCGCTGCCGATGATGATGCTAATGATGATGAAGCTGCTGTTACTGTTCCCACTGACAGTGATGGTGATGATGACAAATAACTTGGCAGTAACCCGGGTCTCACCCTTTTCACCAAAACAGTCTTGGAACCGTAGTCAGCAATAAGCTCCACTGCACACAAACAACAACAAAAAAACACAGCCATCGATCGGAAATCCGTGCTAATGACGGGGAGGACAGCTGCGTATAATTCAAAATCACGGATAATCCAAAAAATATATACATTTTCCACAGATCTCTATGCCAAAAAACACTAATATTGGTATAAATTACGTTTTATAATTTACGTATAATATCCAGTTTCTGATTTAAAGTTAAAACGACAAGCATAAGTCTCTCTGGCGTCGCACGGTTTTCGTAAATTAAAACTCGCAAAATAAACGATCAGATAAATCTATCAAAATGAAGCACAACTGACGATTTCGATTTAGAACCAATACTAACGATCGACCGATCGATGATGATGCACGTGCGCAGCGATAGTAACACTCTCCTGGTCCTGCCCTGCAAAAGACTCGGCCCACTGAGTGGACCACAGCAGCAGAGCCACGCCAATCAACGTCAATCAAACTCCGCCCACTGTTGTAATGATATGGCAACTACTGTACTGTAGAGGCGATCACGTGGATTTCGGATTAACCGGAGCAACATATAGTAAAACCTTGGATTGCGAGCATAATTCGTTCCGGAAATGTGTTTGTAATCCAAAGTACTCGTATATCAAAGCACTCGTCATATATCAGTTGTGATCACGTGACGCTCGGCAGACAAAGCGTATATACGTACTACTCGAATTGCAAGACCCTCGCTCGTTTATCAAATTAATATTTATTTTAAAATTTTGCTCGTCTTGCAAAACACTCGCAGACCAAGTTACTCGTATTCCAAGGTTTTACTGTATTTGTTCGGTTTAAGCATGTGACTTGTAATGAACACTTCCAACAATAACAATGTAGAAATGTTTTTAGATGATTAATTTGGGCTTAAGGGAAAACCCACAATTATTAATTTACGTAAAAATCTCAGGTGCGCGATTGATCCACACATCAGATTAATCGCACGTGGGTAATCGAGAGTCTACTACTGTATGCAAAATATTTGTAATCCACGTCCTCCCTCGCATCGTACATTGAAAAATTCTGACGTTCCGTGCGGTACTTCCAGGGGGGCAATCGACGGTATCCAGGGATACCGGACGGGCCAGAGCAGGCGGGGTAGTAACCGTAAAGTTTTAAAACACTCACCCTGTTGGCGTGCGCATTTTCGGTCGGTGATTTTCGTGTTTGGGCCTCGGCCCAGGAGAATAGATTTCCCGTCGGGGAGGGATACGGGAGGATGCCTGCCCTCCTTACTCACGAATAAGCACTCCATTCCTGTGGAAGAAACACAAAGATCCCCCACCGTGTGTAGCCTTAACAGACTGTAGGGGCAAGTGCTGTTAGCGAGTAGCACCTATGAAGGCCGGAACTGTGGCACACGAGGGGGTGGGTGGCCAGCACCACGCCCGGCCGCCTTTGTCTTCCCAGTGGCGATGTTTACACACCGCATAGCCAGCAAAGAGCAAATATTCCACGTTGTCTTGAGAGTTTTGGGAATTGCAGATGCACCCACCCCACTCACCCCCTTCACTTATCCATCCACTCATCCATTCACTCACCCACCCACTCACCCCTTCACTCACCTACCCCACTCACCCCCTTCACTTACCCAATCACTCACCCATTCACTCACTCACCCACCCACTAACCCCTTCACTCACCTACCCCACTCACCCCCTTCACTTACCCAATCACTCACCCATTCACTCATCCACCCACTCACCCCTTCAATCACCTACCCCACTCACCCCCTTCACTTACCCATTCACTCACCCATTCACTCACTCACCCACCCACTCACCCCTTCACTCACCTACCCCACTCACCCCCTTCACTTACCCAATCACTCACCCATTCACTTACTCACCCACCCACTCACCCCTTCACTCACCTACCCCACTCACCCCCTTCACTTACCCATTCACTCACTCACCCACCCACTCACCCCTTCACTCACCTACCCCACTCACCCCCTTCACTTACCCAATCACTCACCCATTCACTCACCCACCCACTCACCCCTTCAATCACCTACCCCACTCACCCCCTTCACTTACCCATTCACTCACCCACCCACTCACCCCTTCAATCACCTACCCCACTCACCCCCTTCACTTACCCATTCACTCACCCACTCACCCAGTACCCGTCACTCATCCCTTCACTCACAACTTCACGAGGCATGAGGACTCCCTCTAGGTCCATTCAGACTGAAATGATCCGAAGTTCGACCGTATCATTAACGCAACAGGTAAACCTTTAACCTTTTAACTTAACGATAAGTATAAAACAAACTCTGTTCGATACATGCCTCAACATTAAGGCATGTATCTAACTGCAAATAGAAATATCTCTTCCTCATATTGCTTTGAACAGGCTTATTTCTGAAAGCATATGTACAGTACTTGTACGTTGAACTTCTTTCGCACCGTACATAGCCAACCGTGGTAATCGGTGCAGTGTTGAGTCTAGTGTTAGTCTATGGGTAGTGTTAGTCTATGGGTAGTGTTGAGTCTATGGGTAGTGTTGAGTCTATGGGTAGTGTTAGTCTATGGGTAGTGTTGAGTCTATGGGTAATGTTAGTCTATGTGTAGTGTTAGTCTATGGGTAGTGTTGAGTCTATGGGTAGTGTTAGTCTATGTGTAGTGTTAGTCTATGGGTAGTGTTGAGTCTATGGGCAGTGTTAGTCTATGGGTAGTGTTAGTCTGTGGGTAGTGTTAGTCTGTGGGTAGTGTTAGTCTATGTGTAGTGTTAGTCTATGGGTAGTGTTGAGTCTATGGGCAGTGTTAGTCTGTGTAGTGTTAGTCTATGTGTAGTGTTAGTCTATGGGCAGTGTTAGTCTATGTGTAGTGTTAGTCTATGTGTAGTGTTAGTCTATGTGTAGTGTTAGTCTATGGGCAGTGTTAGTCTATGTGTAGTGTTAGTCTATGTGTAGTGTTAGTCTATGGGCAGTGTTAGTCTATGTGTAGTGTTAGTCTATGTGTAGTGTTAGTCTATGTGTAGTGTTAGTCTATGTGTAGTGTTAGTCTATGGGTAGTGTTAGTCTATGGGTAGTGTTAGTCTATGGGTAGTGGTAGTCTATGTGTAGTGTTAGTCTATGGGAAGTGTTAGTGTATGGGCAGTGTTAGTCTATGTGTAGTGTTGAGTCTATGTGTAGTGTTAGTCTATGGGCAGTGTTAGTCTATGTGTAGTGTTAGTCTATGTGTAGTGTTAGTCTATGGGCAGTGTTAGTCTATGTGTAGTGTTAGTCTATGGGCAGTGTTAGTCTATGTGTAGTATTAGTCTATGTGTAGTGTTAGTCTATGTGTAGTGTTAGTCTATGGGCAGTGTTAGTCTATGTGTAGTGTTGAGTCTATGGGTAGTGTTAGTCTATGTGTAGTGTTAGTCTATGTGTAGTGTTAGTCTATGGGCAGTGTTAGTCTATGTGTAGTGTTGAGTCTATGGGTAGTGTTAGTCTATGTGTAGTGTTAGTCTATAAGCAGTGTTAGTCTATGTGTAGTGTTAGTCTATGTGTAGTGTTGAGTCTATGGGTAGTGTTAGTCTATGGGTAGTGTTGAGTCTGTGTAGTGTTAGTCTATGGGTAGTGTTAGTCTATGGGTAGTGTTGGTCTATGGGTAGTGTTGGTCTATGGGTAGTGTTAGTCTATGGGTAGTCTTAGTCTATGGGTAGTGTTGAGTCTATGGGCAGTGTTAGTCTATGGGTAGTCTTAGTCTATGGGTAGTGTTGAGTCTATGGGTAGTGTTAGTCTATGGGTAGTGTTGGTCTATGGGTAGTGTTGGTCTATGGGTAGTGTTAGTCTATGGGTAGTCTTAGTCTATGGGTAGTGTTGAGTCTATGGGCAGTGTTAGTCTATGGGTAGTCTTAGTCTATGGGTAGTGTTGAGTCTATGGGTAGTGTTAGTCTATGGGTAGTGTTAGTCTATGGGTAGTGTTGAGTCTATGGGTAGTGTTAGTCTATGGGTAGTGTTAGTCTATGGGTAGTGTTGAGTCTATGAGTACATTGCGGGGGTCACAAAAAAGATCTCCAAAATCTTGAATAAACACAATATCCAGGTCCGTTTCAACACATTACATAAAATCCGTGATCCGGTTCCGTCTGTAAAAGATGTTATTCCGGACATACAGTACCCTGGTGTCTACAAACTAAGTTGCCTCTGTGGTAGTAGTTACATTGGAGAAACCAAACGCCATGTCTCGGACCGCATTCGTGAACACAAAGCAGACCTTAAACACGGTAGGACCAACACCTCGGCCGTGGCAGATCATTGTTATAATTCAGTAGGCTCACGTGACATTGACTTTTCCAAGACAGAGGTTCTTTGTAAGCCATCTTGGCTACCATGAGAGATTCGTTCATGAGGCTATCCACATATACAAGCACAGATACAATTTCAACCAAGATGGATTCTGGCTTAGCAATCATTGGAAAGATTTGATTAACCATTTCAGGTCTTACTTGATTGTTCACGCTTACGGTGACTTTCAGACAGCATACATTAATTTTTCGCCTCCCCCCTCCTCTTTTTAGAACATAGATGGACTCGTCCTTCTAAATAAACTGCCAAATCGCTGCGCGTGGCGCTGACGTTTTTTTTATAAATAAATAAACCGTTTAAAAATAAATTAATTAATGCGAACCGACACACCTGATGACGACCGTTTGTGTTATGGTCGAAACGTCGTGAGAATTCTTGATTGTTTTATATATATTTTGTTTCCCTTCAACGTGACTTTACAGAAAGAGCTAAGAATATGAATTACTGCAGTCACGAAAGCTTTAAATCAAAATCTATGAGTAGTGTTAGTCTATGGGTAGTGTTGAGTCTATGGGCAGGGTTGAGTCTATGGGCAGTGTTAGTCTATGGGTAGTGTTAGTCTATGGGTAGTGTTGAGTCTATGGGTAGTGTTGAGTCTATGGGTAGTGTTGAGTCTATGGGTAGTGTTGAGTCTATGGGCAGTGTTAGTCTATGGGCAGTGTTAGTCTATGGGTAGTGTTAGTCTATGGGTAGTGTTAGTCTATGGGTAGTGTTGAGTCTATGGGCAGTGTTGAGTCTATGGGCAGTGTTAGTCTATGGGCAGTGTTAGTCTATGGGCAGTGTTAGTCTATGGGTAGTGTTAGTCTATGGGCAGTGTTAGTCTATGGGCAGTGTTAGTCTATGGGCAGTGTTAGTCTATGGGCAGTGTTAGTCTATGGGTAGTGTTGAGTCTATGGGCAGTGTTAGTCTATGGGTAGTGTTGAGTCTATGTGCAGTGTTAGTCTATGTGCAGTGTTAGTCTATGGCAGTGTTAGTCTATGGGCAGTGTTAGTCTATGGGTAGTGTTAGTCTATGGGTAGTGTTAGTCTATGGGTAGTGTTGAGTCTATGGGCAGTGTTAGTCTATGGGCAGTGTTAGTCTATGGGTAGTGTTAGTCTATGGGTAGTGTTAGTCTATGGGTAGTGTTAGTCTATGGGCAGTGTTAGTCTAATCGCGCTAATCGGAGGTGCGGGGAGGGGGAAACAACAAACTAGACACAAAAAGCTCTTCTGAAGCAATGCGTTTTCAATCTGGATGATTTAAATGTGCGCGGTAGCTCAAGTGGCATCCAAAAATCGTAAGTACTGTGAGCGCGCACAGATTCAAGGCCGGCACGGGTGGTGGTGGCATCACGCCCGGCCGCCTTTGTCTCCCCAATGGCGAAGGTTTTACCCACCGCGGCAAGTTCGCATTTAAGGCCGAGCCGACCGAGGCGGAGGCCTTGCAAACAGTCGCGCGTACACGGACAACAGTGAACCATCATCATCAACCATCATCAACCACCACCACCATCAACACCACCATCATCATCACCACCATCAACACCATCATCATCACCACAACCACCACCATCATCACCACCATCAACACCACCACCATCATCACCACCATCAACACCACCATCATCATCACCACCATCAACACCACCATCATCAACACCACCACCATCAACACCACCATCATCATCACCACCATCAACACCACCATCATCAACACCACCACCATCATCACCACCATCATCAACACCACCACCATCATCACCACCATCAACACTCGAACCACACCGGAACGGACATCTCACCGCGCTTAAAAGTTGACCGATTCCAACGTGAAAGGCCGGCGGGCGAACGGCTCCAAAGCGTGCACTTGAATACCGCTAAATTATCTTTCAATCGCTATTATAACGACAACAGAACAACAATAAACAACAAATTAATAACAGAGCTCCCTCCCCACAAAGTGTCGAAGCCTCCTCGATTCAACCTACCCCTCCACTCTGCGCTCAGACACGACAGAGGGCGGAGACTCTTGGAAACCCAAGACGCCCTCGGGGCGCAGCCTTCAACGGCGCCGAGGTCGACGCCCCCCCCTCCCCAGCGCATCAAATGCCCCAGGGGCATTTTACTTATTGACATGTTGCATCGTCGCAGCGCGCCTCGCACTGGCAAAGGCGATGACGCGCGGGACGGATTCCGTACAACGTATAAGCACGGGGGGCATTGTTTACACTGGATTTCATAGACCATATTAGTATCGGCCTCAACCAGAATCTGAAAAAAATAACAAAAATCTAAATCACGACGTTTCGATCGCAACACAAGCAATCGTCTTCAGGTGAAAACGAGTTAAATCTGCTGAGGCGTCTTCAGGCAGATTTCTCTCTGCGTCGCCCCCCAACAACCTCGCATTCATCATAGATACAGAAAGTTGTTTATATATAGATATAATTTTACATCTGGAAGACTTCATTTAAAACGACATTTCGTGAGAATTTTTCTCTCGTCGTTAAGTAGATGTCCTTGCCGGGGGGTTCGGTTCGACGCGGACTTTCACCTGTTTGGGTGAAAGTCCGCGTCGAACCGACTAAAGTCTATGTCTGTTTGTGTAAGTCGATTTGTGTGTAACTACATGTGTCACTAAAGTCTATGTGTGTGTGTGAGTCGATTTGTGTGTGTAACTACATGTGTCACTAAAGTCTGTGTGTGTGTAAGTCGATTTGTGTGTGTAACTACGTGTGTGTCACTAAAGTCTATGTGTGTGTGTAAGTCGATTTGTGTGTGTAACTACATGTGTGTCACTAAAGTCTGTGTGTGTGTGAGTCGATTTGTGTGTGTAACTACATGTGTGTCACTAAAGTCTATGTGTGTGTGTAAGTCGATTTGTGTGTGTAACTACATGTGTCACTAAAGTATATGTGTGTGTGAGTCTATTTGTGTGTGTAACTAAATGTGTCACTAAAGTCTATGTGTGTGTGTGAGTGGATGCTTCTACGTGTGTGGGTCCATGTCTGTGTGTAAGTCAATGTGTGTAAGTCGATGTGTTTCTACGTGTGTGAGTCCATGTCTGTGTGTAAGTCCATGTGTGTGCGTGTAAGTCGATGTGTTTCTACGTGTGTGGGTCCATGTCTGTGTGTAAGTCCATGTGTGTGCGTGTAAGTCGATGTGTTTCTACGTGTGTGGGTCCATGTCTGTGTGTAAGTCCATGTGTGTAAGTCGATGTGTTTCTACGTGTGTGGGTCCATGTCTGTGTGTAAGTCCATGTGTGTAAGTCGATGTGTTTCTACGTGTGTGGGTCCATGTCTGTGTGTAAGTCCATGTGTGTAAGTCGATGTGTTTCTACGTGTGAGTCCATGTCTGTGTGTAAGTCCATGTGTGTGCGTGTAAGTCGATGTGTTTCTACGTGTGTGGGTCCATGTCTGTGTGTAAGTCCATGTGTGTAAGTCGATGTGTTTCTACGTGTGTGGGTCCATGTCTGTGTGTAAGTCCATGTGTGTAAGTCGATGTGTTTCTACGTGTGTGGGTCCATGTCTGTGTGTAAGTCCATGTGTGTAAGTCGATGTGTTTCTACGTGTGTGGGCCCATGTCTGTGTGTAAGTCCATGTGTGTAAGTCGATGTGTTTCTACGTGTGTGGGTCCACGTCTGTGTGTAAGTCCATGTGTGTAAGTCGATGTGTTTCTACGTGTGTGGGTCCATGTCTGTGTGTAAGTCCATGTGTGTGCGTGTAAGTCGATGTGTTTCTACGTGTGTGGGTCCATGTCTGTGTGTAAGTCCATGTGTGTAAGTCGATGTGTTTCTACGTGTGTGGGTCCATGTCTGTGTGTAAGTCCATGTGTGTAAGTCGATGTGTTTCTACGTGTGTGGGTCCATGTCTGTGTGTAAGTCCATGTGTGTGTGATTGCCTTTTTCGCCCGGGCAACGCCGGGTACTAACCGCTAGTACTACTCTATATAATCGCTAGTACTACTCTATATAATCGCTAGTACTACTCTATATAATCGCTAGTACTACTCTATATAATCGCTAGTACTACTCTATATAATCGCTAGTACTCTATATAATCGCTAGTACCCTTTGGCCACTTCAGCAAGTGTGTATTGCTGTGGTTGTCCCACCTGATGACGGAGGCTTGTGTTGCTTCCGAAACGTCACGTGATTTATTTTTTATTTTTTCTCATTTTTATTTTTTTCACCTCCGTGACGTTTACCGAAAGCAGCCAGGAGTATGCGAAGCGCAGCGTTCGTCAAATTAAATCTTCATTTGAAGCTTTCGTGACTGCAGGAATCCATACTCTGGTTCTTTCGGTAAAGTTACGTAGGTATAGGAATAGTATAGTTCATAGTTCATTTATTTGGTATAGTCCTGTGAGCCATTCGGCTCTTGAATCGGGTGCAACCGCAACAAACAAAAAACATGAACAAAAAAACATCTTAAAGTGTTTATGTGACTGTGGAAACAGAAAATACAGGAAAAAAATATCAAAATATTCCTGAAAAAGCACCGTACACCAACGCTGTGTGCAAAAATCCCAGTGGGATGCAAGTCAAACAACAACAACCACAACAACTACAAGACAACTAAGATTAAGGCCATCAGTCAACTCCGCACTACAATAAACAAAAACATGGACAAAACAATAAAAGCCATAAATCCAATGTAACAGTGATCATAGGGACTGTGACCGAATTTTTAATAATAAACTACATAAATAAATGATAACACCAAAATCTAGAGCCATATTTTAGGCCACTGAATAGCAGTGGCAGCTAGGGTTGTACAACTCCTCTAGAGCAGTTTTGAGTGAAGATCTCATAGGTAGTGATTCAAGTTGCAGTTTATTGGCAATAGCATTCCAGACCCTGGGGGCATCAATAGCAAAGGCCCTTCCTCCAGTTTTTGTACAGCAATAGGGAATATGAAGCTGGTAAATGAGCGAAGACCTGAGGTCAAATTTGTTCTTTGAAACAGAGAGGAGATCCAGTAGGTAGTCTGCGGAATTTTTTGTAAGTACATCGTGAATAAATAATATCTGGTGCACAAGCCGTCGAACATTAACAGATGTTAAGTTTGACCCAATGTAGAGATCACAGTGGTGAGTCCTATATGGGCAGTTCAATGCAAATCTTAAGGCCGAGTGATAGATGGAATCAAGCTTCTTCAGTACAGTACTTGGGGCTGATTTATACACGATGTCACAGTAGTCAAGTAGAGGCAGTATAATCATCATATTCATCACAGATAAAGTTGGGCGTTTTATATTGTTAATAATATTATTAACAATATAAAATTCCCTTTTAGTGACGTCATCGCTCTGCGTTCAAAATACTTAAGGGGAGGTTGATAATCGCGCGGTGGCGTCACGACGTTTGCAAACAACGCGAGGGCAGCGATGACGTCATCGGGTAATTATTACTTTAGTGACGCAATCGCCTTGCGTCCAAGTGATGTCGGGGCAGTTGACAATCGCAATGACGTCACCGCGCCGTCGGGTTGCCGAGGGGGGGGAAAACGTCACGACGTCGTGAGCGCGGTGGCGTCACCGCGTCGGGGAGGCCGACGACGCGGCGACGTCACCGCGCCGGGGGGGGGGGGCCGACGACGCAATGATGTCATCACGTCGCGCGCGGTTGAACTTTTAAAGAGAGGGAGGATCGAGAGCGGAGTCGTAGCGAGGATGGCAGCCGCCCCGGAGCTCGACTTCGTGGTGCGCAAGGCGCACGGACTCGCGGGCCGCGACCCGTGGGCGGCCAAGGCGTGGCTGCTCACGGCGAGAACCATCTACCCCGGGGACTTCGCCATACAGGTGCGCGGCGCCACGGGGGCAGCGAGAGAGAGAGCGAGCTCAGAGCGGGCAGGCCTGCAGCAGTGTTGACACGTAGGCCTCCATCCATCCATTCGCTCGCCCGCCCGCTCATTCATTCGCGACTTGGCTCACTCGTTCGCGACTTGGCTCACTCGTTCGCGACTTGGCTCACTCGTTCGCGACTTGGCTCACTCGTTCGCGACTTGGCTCACTCGTTCGCGACTTGGCCCACTCGTTCAGTCAGTTGCGGAGTCGGTCGCGAACGAAGTCACTAATCGGGCCGTGTTCGTCGTGCTGGTGGAGGGCTGCGGTGGATGTTGTGTGCACGTTGCGTCTGGCGTCCAGTCAGTAGCTCGGTGGGCTTTGCCTGCTCGTGTTTGTTCATGTTTGGGTTATATGTTTACCTTTCTTGTACGTTGCACTATTATTATTATGTTTGTGTTGTTGTTGAAACGTTCTGGACCCCGTGCCCCCTACTGGACATCTGTGGAAAAAAAGAGCTTTATAGCTTCTCGGATTCCTCCTGCAGTGTAAATAAATATTCTGACTCCAGCCCATTACCCCGGCACACCACATCCAGTATCTCATCTCACCGTGGGCTCTGGCACGTGATTACGTGCCGCCACCACCTCCAGGTTCGCAGCGATCCATTGAAATATTTAGTGAGGAAAATAAGCCTCGGTTAGTAACCTACTTGCTGTACTGTGTATTGACCCCCCCACCCCATCCCCCCCCACCTAGTTTGAAATGTATCTTCTGGAGAAGAATGCTCAGCGAGCGACGGACGCGGCGCGGCTGCTGTGCGAGATGTGAGTATGGTGGCAGGGAGATGTTGACTCCCTCGCCTGGTACACAGGAGGTCGTGGGTTCCACCATCATCATCACGGTGGCTGGGAGATGTTGACTCCCTCGCCCGGTACACAGGAGGTCGTGGGTTCCACCATCATCGTCATCATCACGGTGGCTGGGAGATGTTGACTCCCTCGCCTGGTACACAGGAGGTCGTGGGTTCCACCATCATCATCACGGTGGCTGGGAGATGTTGACTCCCTCGCCTGGTACACAGGAGGTCGTGGGTTCCACCACCATCATCACGGTGGCTGGGAGATGTTGACTCCCTCGCCCGGTACACAGGAGGTCGTGGGTTCCACCATCATCATCATCACGGTGACTGGGAGATGTTGACTCCCTCGCCTGGTACACAGGAGGTCGTGGGTTCCACCATCATCATCATCACGGTGGCTGGGAGATGTTGACTCCCTCGCCTGGTACACAGGAGGTCGTGGGTCCCATTCTGACGCCTGCCGCTCTATATTTGGAGTTTGGATGTCTCTCTCATCATCATCATGGTGGCTGGGAGATGTTGACTCCCTCGCCTGGTACACAGGAGGTCGTGGGTCCCATCCTGACGCCTGCTGCTGTATAATTGGAGTGTGGATGTCTCTTTCTCACCATCATGGTGGCTGGGAGATGTTGACTCCCTCGCCTGGTACACAGGAGGTCGTGGGTTCCATCCTGACTCTGACGTCTGCTGCTGTATAATTGGAATGTGGATGTCTCTCTCACCATCATCACGGTGGCTGGGAGATGTTAACTCCCTCGCCTGGTATATAGGAAGTCGATGCCTGTTGTATATTTGGAGTTTGTATGATCTCTCCCCGTGCTGAGTGTGAGATAGTGAGTTTGTGGGGTTTAGGGTCGCAGTAGTGCAGCGGTTAGCGCGCTGTGCTACGAACCCGGCGACCTGAGTTGTGATGATTATCTAAACCGGTCCTGGGTCTCCCGTAGGTCGACTCGGCCTCAAATGAGTATCTGGTGCGGTGTGTAGTAAACATCGCCACTGGGAAGACAAAGGCGGCCGGGCGTGGTGCTGGCCACCCACTCCTTCGTGTGCCTTGCCGGCCTTTATAGGTGCTCGCTAAACAGCACTTGCCCCTACAGACTTTATCAGGCTATCCGGGGAATCTTTGTCTTTGCAGGTTTGTGCAGTTCCCAGAAAAGCCTCCGCTGTGGAGAGAAATCAACTGCATCACCTCCGCTCTGCGTGCGGAAAATCCCGACGCTCAGACACAGTTCCTGCGCTGTGGGTTCACGCACGGCTCGAGACGGGCGCACGCACGCACGCACGGGCACGCGCACGCACAGGCACACCGCTGCATCAACACAGGCAGCAGCAGCAGCTCCTGGAAGTCATCATTCACAGATTCCACAGTGGTTGGCATCAGCTGAGCTAGCAGGCCCCAGGGTGTGGACGTAGGGACTACACGTGGACGGTTCCCAGGAGCCTGACTCTGCAGCAGTGGGCACTGGTGCCCCTGTCGTGCTGATGAGTCCTAAGTAGGGGTGAAAGTGGGCCGCAGTTTGTCTACCGCTGCGTCGCCGCCGCTGTCGGTGGGTCCACAGGTGCTCGCATTTATTTTTGATGGTGACTTAAGAAGAGACGACCACAATGCAGTTCTTCAGGAGCTGCTGATGATCAAGTGTAGAATGCACAAAGGCTGACTGCTATTCACACGCTGTGTGCGTTGTGTGCAATAGCAACAACAGTAGCAGTCGCAGTAGCAACATAATTAGCGGGACCAGCAGTGTTATTATCAGAATCGTCAGCAGCAGCAGTGATAACAGCGGCAGTGTGAGTAGCAAGGCAACAACACCAGTGGCAGTAGGGAGAAGCAGTGGTAACAGCAGGAGTAGCAGCAGCAACAGTGGTAACAGCAGGAGTAGCAGCAGCAACAGTGGTAACAGCAGTAGTAGCGGCGACAACAGTGGTAACAGCAGTAGTAGCGGCGGCAACAGTGGTAACAGCAGGAGTAGCGGCGGCAACAGTGGTAACAGCAGGAGTGGCAGCGGCAACATTGGTAACAGCAGTAGTAGCGGCAGCAACAGTGGTAACAGCAGTAGTAGCGGCTGCAACAGTGGTAACAGCAGTAGTAGCGGCGGCAACAGTGGTAACAGCAGTAGCAACTGCATCGGCAGCAGTATCAGAATCGACATCATCGCCATCGGCAGCAACATCAACAGTGCTGGTGACAGCAGCAGTAGCAACAGCAGTAGCAGTGTCAGGGGTGCAACATGCACTCACAGTCGGCGGAGGAGCAGTGAATAGAATATGGCTCTTGTATTAGTGCTGTGAGCAGCAGTGTTTTGAGTTTCTAATGGCACCAGTGTGACTGTGACGGGGCCTTCATGCAGCAGTGGATAGATCACGGCCGTGTCGTCTGCGCGCTCCGGGCAGGTGTGTTCGAGTGCCTGCCCGCCCCCGTGCAGTGCGACGTGCTGTACAAGTCGGCGGAGCAGCAGTACGGTGCGCTGCAGCAGGCCGAAGCGGTGATGCTGCTGCTGCGACGCTTCCCCGACGCCGTCGTGCAGCACGGGGTCAGTCTCGGCGACGCGACACCGCCGATCGCTCCCGAGGGGGCGGCGTCGGGAACTCCGGCGGGAGGGGCCAATCGGGAGAACCCCCTCCCCCCATCGTCCCGGAATTAGCAGCTCGTTGTATACAGAGACAAAGATCCAACCCCCGCCCCCCCCCCCTCCCGTATAGCCTCAACAGCCTGTTGGGGCAAGTGCTGTTAGCGAGTAGCAGCACCTGTGAAGGGTGGCGCTGTGGCACACGAGGGGGTGGGTGGCCAGCACCACGCCCGGCTGCCTGCCTTTGTTACATGCGTACATTGACATAGTATATATACTTATTGTACTTACCCCGCACCTCCAATTTGCGATACCGTAGGGGTGGGAGTAGTGAATATAGAACACTACACGGTGCATACAAAATCGTTTAAAATCCTAGAGTCTATGTGTCTCTGCCCGAGTCTATGGGTCTGTGAGTCTGTGGGTGTCCAATGTGGAGGGTTAGGATAACAAACAACACCGGTTACGATTATCTGAACCGGTCGTGGGCCTCCCTTAAGTCGACTCGGCCTCATATGAGTACCAGGTGCGGTGTGTAAACATCGCCACTGGGGAGACAAAGGCAGCCCGGGTGTGGTGCTGGCCACCCACCCCCCTCGTGTGCCGTGCCGGCCTTCATAGGTGCTGCTCGCTAACAGCACTTGCCCCTACAGTCTGTTGAGTCTATACGGGGGATCTCTGTCTCGTCTTTATGCCTCCAGGTGAAACTCGCCGAGACGCTGCTGGACTCCGAGAAGCAGGAAGGGCAAAACTCGCCCACCGGCTGTTTCCGAAAGCTCTTCGGTAACCGCGCGTCAACATTTTCTCCATTTCTCATTTTCCCCGAACTTTATTCGGATTGCGCTCTCCGCGGCGCGTCCCCGGATTAGAGTCTCCGTTGGGGAGTCGCGCGGAGGGCAGACGCTGGGCGTCTGTGAAAGGGGGCTTCGTGACTCGCCCCGGAAACTTCCGGTCGAGATCAAAGACTCCGATTGTTGAACGCGTCGGCCTGTGCGCGTGTTCGACAAGAGGGGCTCGTAAGAGGCGGAACATCGCAGAGCCACTTCCGAGATCTCTTTTCACGCGACTTCCAGTCCACGATGGAGGGCGCTGAACTTGTCTTTTTTTGCCGCGTGCAGTGTGCGAGCTGTTGCCCGTGATCTTGGGCACTCCGGACTTGTGCCTCCCTCGCCCGCTGCTCTACAAGTACCTCCTCAAGGCAGCAGAGTTCTACATCACCACCACGGCGCGCACCAACCTGGGCGACTCCCCGCACCCCGGTGAGCAGCCACGGTCTATCCACTGCTGGACGAACGCTTCCCCGAACCGTCGCAGTCTTGTCGCGATTCTTGCGATGCGGCAATCCGTTGAGCCGAGTTCGTCGCTCCATCTCCGTGGTGGACGTACTCACAGCTGTCAGGCGCCTTCCTTTGCCTGCCACTCTGTCATGCGTCTTGACCACCGGCCATCGTTTTCGGGAAGCGGCCTGCTGCTAGTGACGATGTGAATGTTAGGTCTTGTGACGATAGCGATTCCATTGATGCTGATGATGAGGATGATATTATTACTACCGCTGCTGCTGCTGCTAGTGATGCTGATGATTCGACTGTTGCTGCTGCTGCTGCTAGTGATGCTGATGATTCGACTGTTGCTGCTGCTCGTGATACTGATGATTCAACTGCTGCTGCTGCTAGTGATGCTGATGATTCAACTGTTGCTGCTGCTCTTGATGCTGATGATTCAGCTGTTGCAGCAGCTGCTAGTGATGCTGATGATTCGACTGTTGCAGCAGCTGCTAGTGATGCTGATGATTCGACTGTTGCTGCTGCTCGTGTTACTGATGATTCAACTGTTGCTGCTGCTGCTAGTGATGCTGATGATTCAACTGTTGCTGCTGCTCGTGATGCTGATGATTCAGCTGTTGCTGCTGTTAGTGATGCTGATGATTCAGCTGCTGCTGCTGCTGCTAGTGATGCTGATGATTCAGCTGCTGCTGCTGCTAGTGATGCTGATGATTCAGCTGCTGCTGCTCGTGATGCTGATGATTCAGCTGTTGCTGCTGCTGCTTGTGATGCTGACGATTCAGCTGTTGCTGCTGCTGCTAGTGATGCTGATGATTCGACTGTTGCTGATAGTGCTACGAATGGTGTTGCTCCAGCTGATGCTATTGATGCTGCTGATGCTGCTATCAGTGCTGCTGCAGGGCGATGCTGCTGCTGCTCGTGAAACCAGGGCTGCTGTTGATGATGCTACTAATGCCGCTGCTTGTGTATGGGATATTAAACTTCTTTTGCACCATGCGTATCCAACCGTGCTAATCGGAAGTGCAGAATGCTACTGATGCTGCTGCTGCTGCTCGTGAAACCAAGGCTGCTGTTGATGATGCTACTAATACTGCTGCTGATGCTGCTGCTGGTGATGCTGCTGCTGATTCTGCTGCTACTGCTGCACGTCCTGATGTTCCCAGTGGTCCCGGACTGCGGCGTGGTGGAGACCTGGTCCCGTCTCACTCAGCTGCTTCACACCATCGGCTCTCGCTGCGACTGGCAGACCGACCGCCCAAACCGGTGAGCCTGGGCAGCCGGTAAATTGTTAATCCCCCCCCCCCCTCCCCAGAGAGAGTCGCTAGAACACCTTGGTACGTTGTCTGGTTGCTTAGCAACTCGGCATCCCAGACCCGGCCATTGTGAACCCGCTGAGAGAGACACGCGGACTAAGAATCTGGAATCCTGCAGGCATTCTGAACCCCGATGGGACAGTCGGATGCCCTCGCCCCCCCTATTTTATTTTCTACAGTAGCTGAGAAGCGGCTCAAAGGCTCGAAAACGCCAAAGCGGCCAGCAGCAAACAGCACTTGAAGGAGTAGATGAAAGAGTGTGACGACGCAATCCCCTTCTAGCCTTGAATTGAGCTGAGGTTATTATGAGAACTTGTAAATAGGGACGACGATGATGACGATGACGGGACGATGGGAGGATGGGAGGCGGGAATTCCATGGTGGAGCAGCGCGAAGCAAGAAGCGGATTGAGAAGTGTGGTGAACGAGCGAGTGGCCGTATGGGAGGTCGAACGAGTAAAGACTCCTCCGATTAGCATTGTGGGCTACGTACGGTGCAAAGGAAGTGCAAGTGTGTTGTTGTGGCCTGTAATACGGTGGCTGCGTGAGTGAGCGAGTAGGTTTTTTGTATGTTGGACTTCTTTTGCACCGTACGCAGCCAACCGTGTTCATCGGAGGTGCGGGGGAAGGACAACAAACTAAACACAAAAAGCAATTCTAAATAAATCAGTTTGTCAATCTAGATGATGATTTAAAGGTGCATAGCTCCAGTGGCTTCCTAATATCGGAAAGAAGAGCGTTCCAGACGGCCGCAGAAGTGCGTCTGAAAAAAGCGCAGCGCGATGCGGTGACCACCGCCTTTATTCGACGGGTAGCCAAAAGACGCTGTTGCTGTTGCGAGGATGACCACCGGAGCTCACGTGACGGTGGTTTATGCTCCTTGACGAGATCGGCAAAGTTATTATGGTTCATTCGTGGCAAGCGCTTTGTGGCTAATGAGCACGACCTGATAGGCTAATGTGTGGTCGAGTGAGCGAGCGAGTGGGTGAGCGAGTGGATATTGAACTTATTTCACACCGTACGTAGCCTACCGCTCTAATTGGAGATGCGAGGTGGGTGAGTGGGTGTCTGTGTGAGTGTGTGAGTACATGAGTGCGGGAGTGGGTGAGTTGGTGAGTGCGTGAGTGGGTGAGTCGGTGAGTCGGTGAGTCCGTGAGTGGGTGAGTTGGTGAGTTGGTGAGTGGGTGAGTCGGTGAGTCGGTGAGTGGGTGGGTGAGTGCGTGAGTGCGTGAGTGCGTGAGTGCGTGAGTGCGTGAGTGGGTGAGTGGGTGAGTGCGTGAGTGCGCGAGTTGGCGAGTGAGTTTTTTTGCTACCTGCAAATGTGGCTGTGGTCGAACGCAACTACGGGGATGAGACGAAGCAGTCCTGCTTTCGGCAAGGGGTCCCCACGTGTGCACGTGAGAGCGTGCGCCGCCTGAGCCCTGCCGTCGCGATGGGCGCCCCAGGCCGTGCGGGGAGGTGCTGCAGCGCGTGCGGGAGGCGGCGCGCTACGTGACCGGCGGGGAGGAGGAGGCGCAGAGGAACCTGCGCCAGCAGGTGGTGATGACCGCTGCCATCCTCTTCTTCCGCCACGCTCACGGCTACCTGAGCAGCGTCATGCCCACGCTCTTCTCGGGTGCGTCTGTGCGCGTGCGTGTGTGCGTGCCCGTGTGCATTTGCGCGCGCGTGTACGTTCGTATCTGCGCATGCGTATACGTTCACGTGCGTGTGTGTGCGTATGTGTGTGGGGAGTGATAGTGGGAGTGAGCGGTAGTGTAGCGGTTAGCGCTACGCTCCGCTACGAACCTGGTGACCCGGGTTCGATTCCCGCTCACGGCCAACACCAGTGACGATTATCTGAACCGGTCCCGGGCCTCCCCTAGGTCGACTCGGCCTCAAATGAGTATCTTGTGCGGCGTTTAAACATCGCCACTGGGGAGACACAGGCGGCCGGGCGTGGCGCTGGCCACCCACTCCCTTCGTGTGCCGTGCCGGCCTTTCGTAGGGTGCTACTCGCGAACGCCACTTGCCCCAAAAAAGTCTTGTTACGAAGCTGCACGGGGGATCTTTGTCTTTGTGTGCCGCGTGCAGGCGTGAGCGGGGTGGGCGGGCTGGTGCTGCTGGAGGAGCTCCCTCAGCTGTTCGTGAGCGGCGAGCCCGACCGCGCCAAGCACGGCGGCGGCGGCGGCGGCAAGCGGCGCAAGCTGGAGGAGGCCGGCCAGGCAGGGACCTCGCCACACACTCAACGCGCCACCATCCTACACCGTCGTACCACGATTTGGCTGCTATGAATGCGCCGTGCGGCTGTTTTTCAGAAGCGACGTGGCCACAAATTATAGCCGAACGAAGTGGCTTATCGCGTGGAAATTTACAGCATCGGCCAAACACTCTTAAACGCTGCGACGTTGATTCTAAATGTGGAGGGGAAAAAACCGGACGACCCGGAGAGAGAGAGAGATAGACACGCAAACTGAAAATATACAGCAGGCGTCACGGTCTGGATCGAACCCACGACCTCCTGCGTATCAGGCGAGGGAGTTAACATCTCGCCACCACGGATGCGTGACGTGTGGCACCTGACGCTACATGGTAGTAGTAGTAGTAATAACATAATTACTTACCCAGGAATGCCACACACTCTGCTTATCCCAAGAGCCACCCGTGACGAGTGACTCTTTTTTTGGGAGGGTCCCGCCTGTGTCTCTCGCTGCCACGGGGGGAGGCGGTGAGGGCGGATGAAACCGCGATTTTCACCGAGCGCCGACCGGCGTGCGCGCCGCCGCCGCCGCCGCCACCCGCCGCTGTCTCCCCCGGCAGAGCGCGGAGGAGGAGTACTACCGCAGCCGGCACGTGGCGGTGCCGAGCGGGCTGCTGCCCGGCGCGGCGGGCACGGCGAGCGCCGCCGACGTGCTGGAGAGCTTCCGCATCGCACGCGAGGCCTGGGACGTGCTGCACGCTCACCCGGCACTCGAGAAGGGTGCGTGCGTGCGTGGGCGTGTGTGTCTGTGTGTGTGCGCGTGTGTGTGTGCTTGTGTATGCGCACGCTTGTGTGTATGCGGTCATAGTGTAGCGGTTAGCGCTACGCCGCGCTATGAACCTGGCGACCCGGGTTCGATTCCCGCTCACGGCCAACACCAGTGACGATTATCTGAACCGGTCCCGGGCCTCCCCTAGGTCGACTCAGCCTCAAATGAGTACCTGGTGCGGTGTGTAAACATTGCCACTAGGGAGACAAAGGCGGTTGGGCGTGGTGCTGGCCACCCACAGCCCCTCGTGTACCGTTCCGTCCTTAATAGGTGCTCGCTAACAGCACTTGCCCCTACAGTCTGTTAAGGCTATATGGGGGATCTTTGATGCGTTCATGTGTGTGGGCTCATGTGTGTGTCTGTGCACTTTTTTGCGTACGTTAGTGGAGCAGTAGTGCAGCAGCGAGCACGCTGTGCTACGCACCCGGCAACCCAAGTTCGATTTCCCGCTCACGGCCAACACCATTGACTTATATCTGAACCGGTCCCGGGCTTCCCCTAGGTAGACTCAGCCTTAAATGAGTTCCTGGTGTGGTGTGTAAAAACATCACCACTGGGGGAGACAAATGCGACCGGGCGTTGTGCTGGCCACCCACCCCCTCGGGTGCCATGCCGGCCTTCATAGGTGCTACTTACGAAGAGCACTTGCCCCAGCAGTCTTTTAATGCTACACGGGGGAATCTTTGTCTTTGTGTGGGCGAGAGAGTGGCTTTGTGTGCGAGTGGATGACGGTGATCACGGCCGTGTGTTTGTGTAGAGTTCCTGTGGGTGCGCATGCAGTGGAGAACTGAGACATGGCCCTGGCTCCTTGCGTTCCTGTCCGACATGCTCATATACCAGGTACAGAGACAAAGATCCCCCGTGTAACCTGCACGGGCTGTTGGGGCAAGTGCCGTTAGCGAATAGCACCTGTGAAGGCCGGCACTGCACCCGAGAGACACCACGCCCCGGCCGCCTTTGTCTCTCCGGTGCTGATGTATTTGAGGCCGAGTCGACCCAGGGGAGGACCAGTGCCAGTTCGGATAATCACCACTTACGTAAACCGCGATTGGGAATTGTGCAGTTTGCTAACCGCAGCACCGCCACTCCCAAGGTACGCGTGCACACTCTCCTAGTGTGCTATTTCAGCCTGAATAGAGGCTCACCTGCAGCATTGGCACCCACAGTCTGTTGGCCACAGGGCAGGGGAAAGTGATCTCCATATATACTCAGCTGTGTTTGTGAGTATTCATGCATTACAGGGACTTGTGCAGTGATTGGCGCACTGCACTACACCAAGCGGACTCCTGGCCACGGCTATCATCAGTGCTGAGTGATATTAGAACCAGGCACCGGGTCTCCCCTTGGTCCACTCGGCATTAATGAACACCTGGCGCGGTGTGTCAACGTCAGCACTTGGGGGGCGTGGTGCTGGCCACCCACCCCCCCGTGTGCCGTGCCGGCCTTCATAGATGCTACTCGCTAACAGCACAGTCTGTGTGGGCTACTCGGGAGACCTTTGTCTCTTTCTGTTCCTTTAATTTATATTTGTAGAGCACCTTCATTCGCGGTGCTTGATGACGTGGCTTACACAATGGTGCGCAGATTGAGGAAGGAGTGATGACGATGGAGGGGTGCTTAGGGGTCACGAAAGCAGAATAAGAAGAGAATGGGGAGTGGATAAGAGGTGAGCTTTTAAAGAGGAACGGAAGGAGGTGAAGGGGAGGGACTGCTTAATGTACAAGGGCAGTATTGAGTCTATGGTGCAGTGTTGTGTCTATGATCAGTGCTGAGTCTATGATCAGTGCTGAGTCTATGGGTAGTGTTGAGTGTGGGCAGTGCTGCTCATTGTAGAGGGGAAAGTTTATCCGAGTGGAGGGGTGCAAGGAGGGAGAAGGATCAGAAACGGGATTGGACACGGGGAGGAGGAACAGGGAGAAGATTGGGAAAGACACTGACCTGACTTGCCTCTCACCCACCGTTCACTCGCGTCCAAACGGGAGAATCCTATCGCGGATAATTATCAGAGGATGGCGTTTAAAATGAAGTGCAAGGTGTAGCGCCCGTTGCTTCTCGCCCGCCGCTACGCACGCAGGGGCAGTACCGTCACGCCATCGCCACTCTGCAGCAGCAGCAGGCCGGAGGTCAAGCCGGCGTCAAAGGTCAGGTGTGGGCAGATGCCAAGCGCGTGCTGCTCCAGATGGCGACGTGCCACCTCGCTCTGGGTGAACACCTGGTACGCGCACGCACGCGCGTGTGTCTGTGCGCGTGTGTGTCTGTGCGCGTGTGTCTGTGTGTGTGACGATTATCTGAACCGGTTCCTAGGCCTCCCCGAAGTCGACTCGGCCTCAAATGAGTACCTGGTGTAGCGGTGTGTAGTAAACATCGCCACTGGGGAGACAAAGGCGGCCGGGCGTGGTGCTGGCCACCCACCCCCTCGTGTGCCGTGCCGGCCTTCATGAGTGCTGCTCGCTAACAGCACTTACCCCGACAGTCTGTTGCAAGCTATACGGGGGGGTCTTTGTCTTTGCGTGTTGCGCTACCGCCCGGATTGAACGGCACGAGACAAATCGGCTGTTCTCTCCCACCCGGCTTGTGACGATTCATCAGCCCTAGGTGTGGGCATCTCTCTCGCTCCAGTGTCAGAAGATTGACTGCGGTTTACTCGCGGGCGGCTGAATCTTTGATTCGAACCCCGAGATGAGAAAACCGGACAAATTGAATCCCGCCGTGACCCACGGCCTCCGCTGGCCAGAGCCGCCCTCCCAGTGCCCCCTCGTCTCACCGCGGTGCGACCGTTTAGCGTCGCTAATGAAACACTTCCTTCTGAGGATGCAGCCTCCCGGAGGCTTCTGGCTGGACATCGGACAAAGACGGTGGTCACCGCATCGCGTGCTTTTACGTGCACCTCCGCGGCCGTCCGGAACGCTCTTCATTCCGATATTAGGAAGCCACAGAGCTATACACTTTTAAATCTTGGATCGAAAGCTAATTCCTTTGAAGCTTCCTTTTGTGTTTAGTTTATCGTTGTTCCCGCCGCAACTCCATTTAGCGCGGTTGGCTACGCACGGTGCCAAGGAAGTTCATCATACGTGCACGCATACGGAGCGCTGCGCGTGATTTGTCTTCCCCGCTTGAATGTTGTGCAGGCGGCGTGCGAGAGGGTGCTGGAGGTGGCGCCGACCGTGGCGCCGAACGCCACGGACGTGCCCAGGCTTGCCGACGAGCCGCCGTGCGTCAAACCCACCAAGTTCGCCAAAGGTTTGAACGCCCGCGTTTCTCGCTTTTACAAAGTCGCGGTTGCTGAGCAAAGGCCCGAAGAAGGCCCAAATTGCCAAGTGGCCGGTAAAGATATATATAATTGGCACGGTCACCGTTGAAGGTGTCGCAGTTTGGAGTTCGTTTGCTTCTCGAATTGACTTGAGGCTGTTATTATTTATAGGAGATTCGGGGGGGTGGAAGAGACGATGACGAGAGAGGGAATTCCGAAGTGGAGCAGTGCGAGGGAACATTGAGAAATATAAGTGATGTGTGCCGCAGTGTGGTGGGTGGGTGATTGTGTTGTGACCCGCAGTGTGGTGGGTGGGTGGGTAGGTGAGTGGTGTGGGTGATTGTGTTGCGACCCTCAATGTGGTGAGTAGGTGGGTGAGTGGATAGGTGAGTGGTGTGGGTGATTGTGTTGTGACCCTCCATGTGGTGAGTGGGTGGGTGGGTGAGTGGATCGGTGAGTGGATCGGTGAATGGGTGGGTGGTTGTGTTGTGACCCGCAGTGTAGTGGGTGAGTGGGTGGGTGGGTGATTGTGTTGTGACCTGCAGAGTGGGTGAGTGGGTGGGTGGGTGATTGTGTTGTGACCCACAGTGTGGTCGGTGAGTATGTGAGTGCGTTGTTTTGACCTGCAGTGCACGCATGCGTGTTGAACTTCTTGCGCGTCTCTGTACATCTTGCGTCACGGGTAGCGCGTGCGTGTGTGTGTGTCGCTCGGCGTGCGCGTGTGCAGGTTCAGACCTGCAACTCGTCCCGTGCACTGACCGCGCCGTCATCTCGCACGGCGTGCAGATCGTCCTCTCCTGCTTCAAGGTGAGCGGCTCGGTGGCCGGCGACGGCGAGTCGGCCCAGAGGGAGGGGGCAGGAGAGGGGGGGGCGTGTGTGGGGGTACGGCTCGGGGCACGGTGCGTGGGGGAGCCCTTCACCCCCTCTCCTCGCCTCCCCCGCCAGCCGCACGCGTTCAGCGAGGTGTCGCGCGACGACCTGGCGCTGGGTCACGTGATCGTGATGCTGCAGCACGATTGGCCGAAGGGCGAGGCGCTGTTCCTGCGCGCCGTGGAGAGGATCTGCCTGCAGGGCGGCCTGCAGTACGAGAACTTCTTCAACTACGTCACCAGTATCCTCACGGGCACGGCCGTCGCCATGGAGATGGAGCCATGAAATTGGGGCACCGCGTTGGCGAGATGTCAAATACCTCGCCTGGTATGCGGGAGGTCGTGGGTTCGATCCCGATCTTGACGCCTGCTGTACATTTGGAGTTTGCGTCTCTCTCTCCCAGTGGTGGTCGTGGGTTTTCTCCGGGCCCTGCCATGCCCACCCAGACGAGACGCAATGTACAACACTCTCGCTGCGGCATGGGGCGGAGGGTTTGTAGCACTACGCTACAAACCCTTGCCACCGCCCGAATTTGATTCCCGACCACAGCTGACATGAGTGGTGAGTGATAGCCAATCTGGACCTGGGCCTCCCCCCGCCCCCATTCGACAAACCAGCACTGACTACACATTTAGATTCAACAGGCGTTTCGAGTATTGGGCTGCTGCTTCAAATTTACACCTGATGATGATAGGCCCACTTCGTTGAGCTATCATTTGTGATAGCCAGATGCCTCCGGTGGAGCTCTGTGTATATGGAGAGGGCTTTGCACCTTGGCACTGTGGGAGGCGGGGGACCCCGTTAGCCATGGGCTTCAGGTGACAACTGCCGTTTGTCCAGGACGAAGAGAACCCATAACAGCAGTAAAGTCTCTTTGCATCCGGCCTGCATGGATGCCACGGTGGCTATGACATGTTAACTACTTCGCCTGGTATACGGGAGGTCGTGGGTTCAATCTCGACCCTGACGCCTGCTGCTGTAAATTTTGAGTTTGCGTGTCTCTCATCATCATCATCATGGTGGCTATGACATGTTAACTACCTCGCCTGGTATACGGGAAGTCGTGGGTTCAATCTCGACCCTGACGCCTGCTGCTGTAAATTTTGAGTTTGCGTGTCTCTCTCTCTCATCATCATGGGGGTAAAACATGCAAACAACCACGTTTTGGTAATAATGTATGCATTGTGCTTGAAAATGACTGGCCTCCACCAGAGATGGCCTCCTTTGTGGCCTTGTCTCACCGGTGCTGTAGAGCAAAGGATTCCAAAAGGCCAAAGTGGGCCTGTGTGCCTGTGTGCCTGTGTGCCTGTGGTCCTGTGTGCCTGTGGGCCTGTGTGCCTGTGGGCCTGTGTGCCTGTGTGCCTGTGGTCCTGTGTTCCTGTGTGCCTGTGTTCCTGTGTGCTTGTGTGCCTGTGTGCCTGTGTGCCTGTGGGCCTGTGTGCCTGTGTGCCTGTGGGCCTGTGTGCCTGTGGTCCTGTGTTCCTGTGTGCCTGTGTGCCTGTGGGCCTGTGTGCCTGTGGGCCTGTGTGCCTGTGTGCCTGTGGGCCTGTGTGCCTGTGGGCCTGTGTGCCTGTGGGCCTGTGTGCCTGTGGGCCCGTGGGCCTGTGTTCCTGTGTGCCTGTGTGCCTGTGTGCCTGTGTGCCTGTGGGCCTGTGTGCCTGTGGGCCTGTGTGCCTGTGGGCCTGTGTGCCCGTGTGCCTGTGGGCCTGTGTGCCTGTGTGCCTGTGGGCCTGTGTGCCTGTGTGCCTGTGGGCCTGTGTGCCTGTGTGCCTGTGGGCCTGTGGGCCTGTGTGCCTGTGGGCCTGTGTGCCTGTGGGCCTGTGTGCCTGTGTGCCCGTGTGCCTGTGGGCCCGTGTGCCTGTGGGCCTGTGCTCGGCAACTGCAAGACATTAAACGTTCCTTGACCCTGCCGCTGCCGCCCCCGCGTGAGACGTGGACATGCTGGAGGAGTTTGCGTTCCTCCGGACCCCGGAGGGGGGTCGCGTGCAGCTGGAGCTGCTGCCCAACCAGGCCATCCTCACCAAGTGAGTGGGTGGGTGGGTGGGGGAGCTGCGTGTGTTTGTGCGCGTGCGCTACGAACCCGGCAACCCGAGTTCGATTCCCGCTCACGACTAACAGCAGTGACGGTTATCTGAATCGGTCGTGGGCCTCCCCTAGGTCGACTCGGCCTCAATTGAGTACCTGGTGTGGTGTGTAAACATCGCCACGGGGGAGACAAAGGCGACCAAGCGTGGTGCTGGCCACCCACGCCTTCGTGTGCTGGACCGGCCTTCATAGGTGTGCTGCTACTTCCTAAAAGCACTTGCCCCCACAGTCTCTTCCAGGCGAGACGGGGGAGCTGTGAACTATACAGGTGTCGCGGTTGAACCCACGACCTCCTGCATACCGTGCGAGGGAGTTGACATCTCCTAGCCACCGCAGCGCCCTTTAGATCTCGCGCTGCATCTCAGTTGGTTCTATGGACGCAGACGGCATCAATTGCTCCACATCACGTGGGGGGGGGGGGGGATGAGTTTAACAACTGTCCGGTGAGTGCAGCAGCGTGGAACGAGTTCGAATGGGGAGGAGTAAATTGGTGAACGCGGAGAGACGGAGCGTGGTGGTGATGGTGGTGAGGGGGGGGGTTCCACGAGGACTGGATTTGGGGAAACCCCCCCCCCCCCCCGCGCTCTAACGCGGCCGCTTCCCCCTCCTCCCCCGTCTCCCCACGGCGCCCAGGCAGCACACGGTGACTCGCGGCGTCACCAAGGGGGTGAAGGAGGACTTCCGCCTGGCCATGGAGCGCCAGGTGTCGCGCTGCGCAGAGCCCCTCTTCACCGTCCTCCACCGCTTCCTTCTCAGCGAGCGCAACCTCCTCCTGCAGGGTCTCGGCTGATCCTGCCCTCCGCTCCCCCCTCCCCAACGTCGCCCCCCCCCCCTCCCCAACGTCGCCCCCCCCCCTCCCCAACGTCGCCCCCCCCCCCACTCCCCAACGTCACCCCCCCCACTCCCCAACGTCGCCCCCCCCCCCTCCCCAACGTCGCCCCCCCCCTCCCCAACGTCGCCCCCCCACTCCCCAACGTCGCCCCCCCCCCCCCTCCCCAACGTTGCCCCCCCCCCCCACCTTCACCCAATGCAGGAGTTTGTATTTGTAATGGTGACGTTTTAGATGTTGCTACCGTGAGATGTCTTCGTGCCCACTTAGCAACGTCCACCAGGCATCTTGGGCGGCGCCGCGCATGGCACCGCCGTGTCTAACGTGGCGGGGATTTGTTTGACCATACTTCACCACGCTGGTCAGTGCTGGTTAGTCGAATGGGGGCGGGGGAGGCCCAGGCCCAGATCGACTTTCGCTCGCCGCCGATGTCAGCCGTGGGCGGAAATCGTCGAGCAGTGGCGAGGGTTTGTGGCGTAGTGCACTAAACGCTGCGCCCCATGCCGCTGGGAGTGTTGTACATTGTGTCTCGTGTGGGCTGGGACATGGTAGGGCCCAGAGAAAACCCACGAATGTGAGAACACTCGCTTTGTCTTGTATCAACTGCATTGTAAAGTAAACGTTGGTTGTCTGCCTTATGGCCGTGGGTCTCTGTCAACATTTCAGCGACTGTGAGATGTGTAGTGGCTGCAGGAATTTTCGCGATTGTGGACGAGTCAGTGGTAGGGTGGATGAGTGACAGGGTGGATGAGTGATTGAATGGATAGGTGGATGAGCGAGTGAGTGGTTGCGTGGCTGGGTGGATGAGTGAGTGGTTGAGTAGCTGGGTCGATGAGCGAGTGAGTGGTTGAGTGGCTGGGTGGATGAGTGGGTGGTTGAGTAGCTGGGTTGGTGGATGAGTGAGTCGTCGTGTGGATGAGTGAATGGTTAAGTGGCTGGGTGGATGAGTGAGTGGTTGAGTAGCTGGGTGGATGAGTGAGTGGTTGAGTAGCTGGGTGGATGAGTGGCTGTATGAAATCCACACGGCCGGGCGTGGTGCTGGCCACCCCCACCCCCTTGTGTGCCGTGCCGGCCTTCGCAGGTGCTACTCGCTAACAACACTTGCCCCTACAGTCTGTGTGGGCTACTCGGGTGACCTTTGTTGTGTGGGGGGGAGGGGGAGTGCCTGTGTTCTGGAACGTATCATGCGTGACTGATGAGTGCCGTGCAGTTTGAAGGTTCCTGCGTGCTGCTATCCTTCACTCCGATCTCGAGGGGAGGCGGGGCGGGTCAATGGTTTGTATCGATCGGGGACAAAAGCAAATGGTCCCAGAATGACGGCCTGTGATTGGATAGACGACTGACTCTGATTGGATAGCGACAACTTCAACTGAACTTCTCTGTTACACGGAAAAATCCCGTGCAGCCAGTTACCCAGCTAGCTTTGGTGGCAACGGCCCGCACACAACAACAGTGGCCCCGTGGGCCGCGCCGGCGATGAGCGCGGTTCGGTTCCGTATGGTGCGAAAGAAGTTCAACAGCCGTACAGAGTCTACCGGTCCGTTTAACATGTGGGTTTTCGCGACCAATATCCATAATAAGACAGGAGCCCGGCCAGCAGCCAGCCAAGAAACTCGAGGCATCGATAAATTATTTTTAATAGTAGCATGATTGATGTATTATCCAAGTGCAATTTAAATTACATTACTGTCACCGATTTGAATGTTATTTAAATGTATATATTTGAAATATAATTTAAGTAACTTTTTAAGCGAGGGCCCTAATTATTTTCATAGGTGGCCATGTGGAATATCCTCCTGCTGCCTGTTTTAGTTTGTCTTACTAAACAAACTACGTTTAAAAGCGTATCGAGGAAATATTACCAATATTAGTAATAGTGTTAATATTAGTAACTATTTAAACTAAATTAATAACTATATTATTAGTATCTATATTTAATATTACTAACTATATTTAATAATAGTAACGATATTCAAACTAAATTACTTCATATATTTGTTAATAACTATTGAATATTAACTATATTTTATATTAGTAACTTCATTTAAACTAAATTAGTAACTATATTTATGAGTAACTTTATTATTAGTAACTAAACTAAATTAGTAACTATTTTATATTAGTAACCTATTAGTAACTATATTACTAGTAACTATATATTATTCGTAACTATTATTAGTAACTATTTTATATTACTAACTATATTTTATATTAGTAACTATATTTTATATTAGTAACTATATTATTAGTAACTATATTTTATATTTGTAACTATATTATTAGTAACTATATTTTATATTAGTAGCTATATTATTAGTAACTATATTTTATATTAGTAACTATATTTTATATTAGTAACTATATTTTATCTTAGTAACTATATTATTAGTAACTATTTTATATTAGTAACTATATTATTAGTAACTATTTTATATTAGTAACTATATTATTAGTAATTATATTTTATATTAGTAACTATATTATTAGTAACTATATTTTATATTAGTAACTATTATCAGTAACTATATTATTAGTAGCTATATTATTAGTAGATATATTATTAGTAGCTATATTATTAGTAACTATATTATTAGTAGCTATAGTATTAGTTACTATATTTTATATTAGTAATTATATTATTAGTAACTATATTAGTAATTATATTATTAGTAACTATATTATTGGTAACTATTATTAGTAACCATTATTAGTTACTATATTTTATATTAGTAATTGTATTATTAGTAATATTATTAGTAACTATTATTAGTAACTATATTATTAGTAACTATATTATTAGTAACTATATTATTAGTGACTATATTATTAGTAACTATATTATTGGTAACTATATTCATATTAGTAACTATATTTTATATTAGTAACTATATTATTAGTAACTATATTATTAGTAACTATATTATTAGTAACTATATTATTAGTAACTATATTATTAGTAACTATATTATTAGTAACTATATTTTATATTAGTAACTATATTTTATATTAGTAACTATATTATTAGTAACTATATTATATATTAGTAATTATATTATTAGTAACTATATTATTAGTAACTATTTTATATTAGTAACTATATTATTAGTAACTATATTTTATATTAGTAACTATATTATTAGTAATTATATTTTATATTAGTAACTATATTATTAGTAACTATATTTTATATTAGTAACTATAATATTAGTAACTATATTATTAGTAACTATATTATATTATTAGTAACTCTATTATATATTAGTAATTATATTTTATATTAGTAACTATATTATTAGTAACTATTTTATAATTGTAACTATATTATTAGTAACTATATTTTATGTTAGTAACTATATTATTAGTAATTATATTTTATATTAGTAACTATATTATTAGTAACTATATTTATCACATGGCACATTTTTCTCTACGGGCCACAAGTGGGGGTCCTCGTGTCTTTCATAGGTGGCTTAGTGTATCTACTATCCGCCTGTTTTGAGTAACCTTACTAGAGACGCCACCATTTCCTTTTCGAGCGGTGTCATTACGGTTGGCAATAACGGCGTGACTAATGCAGTAATCGCAGAATTATTCTAACAAGAATAAATGAAAACCACGATTTTTTTTAAAAAAAAATCACTTTTGAGGTGGGAGGGGGGGTCCTAATGTTTGTCTTTAGGTGTCCGTGCGGATCGATCACGGGGTGCCTGCGCGAATCGAGCGCGCGCCATCGCCATGGCGGGGAGGAACATCGCCTACGTGAAGCCCAAGGAGCCGTCCTTCCTGCGCAAGTTCAAGAAGGACGTCGGTTTCAAAGAGGGGCCCAACGTGGACACCAAGGTAGCTGGCGTCTCTCCCGTCGTGTACAGTGGGGGCGTACAGTGAGGGTGTACAGTGCGCAGCGGGGTGTGCCGCACGCAGTGGTGTGTACAGTGGGGTGTACAGTGCACGCAGCGGTGTAGTGCGTACGTCGCCGTGTACAGTGGGGTGTACAGTACGCAGTGGCGTGTACAGTGGTGATCTGCAGTGCGCGGTGTTGTGTACAGTGGGGTACAGTGCGCATCGTGGGGTGTGCGTACAGTGGAGGGGGTTACAGGGTGGTCCAGATGTATTGTTGTCTTGTGACCCCCATTTAATTCTCCCAACACTTAATGTATATTTTTTAATAAGTTAGGTTTATTTAAAACACGAATGAATCTGCGAAGGAAGATAAATGTTAGGAGTTCAATAAATTGGGGGGGAGGGGGTCCCGAGACATCTGGACCACCGTATCCAGCGCGTGTACAGTGAGAGTACAGTGCGTGTTCAATAACTTTGTGGGGTAGGAAGTGCAGCATGCGTCTTGTGCAGTGTGTAGTGTGTGTGTGCAGTGTGAGAGTGTGTGCAGTGTGAGCGTGTGTGCAGTGTGAGTGTGTGTGTGCAGTGTGAGAGTGTGAGTGCAGAGTGTAGTGTGTGTGTGTGCAGTGTGAGTGTGTGAGAGTGTGTGCAGTGTGAGAGTGTGCAATGTGTGTGTGCAGTGTGGTGCAGTGTGAGTGTGTGTGTAGTGTGAGTGTGTGCAGTGTGAGAGTGTGTGGTGCAGTGTGTGTGTGCAGTGTGTGTGCACTGTGAGTGTACAGTGTGAGTGTGTGTGTTTGCAGTGTATGTGTGTGTGTGCAGTGTGGTGCAGTGTGTGTGTGCAGTGTGGTGGTGTGAGTGTGCAGTGTGGTGGTGTGAGTGTGCAGTGTGGTGGTGTGAGTGTGCAGTGTGGTGCAGTGTGAATGTGTGTGCCACTGGGGAGACAAAGGCGGTCGGGCGTGGTGCTGGCCACACACCCCCTCGTCTGCCGTGCCGGCCTTCATAGGTGCTCGCTTAAAGCACTTGGCCCGACAGTCTGTTAAGGCTACACGGGGAATCTTTGTTTGTGTATAGTTTTCTAAACTCTTTCCTCGGTTCATTCGGGATTCTGAGTCTGTTTCACTTTTTAGATCACGTCTTGAAACTCACGCATTTATCCTAAAGGCTTTCCATGTAAATTAACATAAAAATAGTCTGATTATTTTACTCTGTAATTATTATTTGCTTTTATCATAGTTCTTCATTTTATTGGAGTGTAGTCATTGCTATTGTTAACAGATTTCGGTTAGATGTTACGTATGTTGAACTTCTTTCGCAGCGTACGTAGCCAACCGTGTAGTTTATTTTTATAAGACACTTAATAAACTAGAGCAGACTCGATTAGTCGCGCTCATGACGGGGAGGAGAATAATTCAAAATCTCGGATAATCCAAAATGATCCATTTTACGTGGATCTCTATGCCAAAAAACACAAATTTAGGTATAAATTAAAACTCACAACATAAATAATTGGATAAATCAATCAAAATAAAGCACAACTGACGATTTCGATTTAGAACCAATACTAACGATCGCCCGATCGATGATGATGCGCTTCCTCGGCGATAGTAACACTCCCCTACTCCTGCCCTGCAGAAGACTCGGCCCACTGAGTGGACCACAGCAGCAGAGCCACGCCAATCAACGTCAATCAAACTCCGCCCACTGTCGTAAAGATATGGCAACTACTGTACTGTAGGGGCGATCACGTGGATTTCGGATTAACCGGAGGAACATATTCGTTTGGGTTTAAGCATGTGACTTGTAATGAACAGTTACAAGAATTTATAATTATTCATTTGGGCTGAAAGGAAAATCCACAAAGTTATCAATTTACGTCGAAATCTCAATACAATGTACGTCAAAGGTGCACTGTTAATCCGGACATCGGATAAACCGCACGCGCGGATAATCGAGTCGCCAGTATACGTTATTTCATATTCTTAGCTCTTTCGGTAAAGTCACGTTGAAGGTCGTCATCAGGTGTGATGATGACGACCGTTTGTGTTACGGTCGAAACGTCGTGAGAATTTTTATTGTTTTATATATATTTTATTATTTTATTGTTTCCCTTCAACGTGACTTTACCGAAAGAGCTAAGAATATGAATTACTGCAGTCACGAAAGCTTTAAATCAAAAGTATACGTTATTATTGACCGTTGCCCTAATGACCTTTGTCGACCCCTGCCCTCGCCTGCGCCTAGCGAGGACCGGCCATGATGCCTCACCGGGACGACGACGACGCGGAGGAGAAGGAAGACGAGCGGCCGCAGGTCGTCGTCATGAAAGACGGAGACCTCACGGAAGAGGAGGCTCGCAAACTTCAGGGTACGGCACCCGCCCAGACGCCGCCAAAACGGTCCACTAAGTTGTTACGAACATTAGTCCCCCCCCCCCGCGCGCGTGACTATTAAAAAAATAACCTACATCTCCAGTGTCTTGACTGGCTGGGCTACTTTGATGCCACCGACGGTGAACGTTGATGATTCCTCGGCTTGTCTCCTCCCCCGCTCCCCCCCTCGTGCGTCCTCACAGGTGGAGCCTCCCCGTTCGTCACTGACGACCGTCCCGCCGACGGGCGAATTCTCTTCCGGAAGCCGGCGAAGCGCGAGGGGGGGACCCCCGACACCAAGGCGAGCTCCAAGTCCGCAAAGCGCTGGCGGGAGGGCAAGCAAGAGGGTGGACGTTCAAAGAAGGGCGACTCCGCATCGTCGTCGACGACATCATCGACGTCGACGACATCATCGACGTCGTCATCATCATCATCCCAGGCCGTGAAGAATGCCAAACTCCTGTCATTCGGAGAGGATGACGATGGTGGTGGCGGCGGCGGTGGAGAATGAAACGTGCGAGGTGATCGTGTTTGGTTGATGGCCTACGTGTTCTGTACGCCCCCCGCTGCCACCGTCTCGTCAGTGAGCTGCTGAAAGGCCCCCCCTGTGTCGTGTCAGTCATATGGGGGCTGTTTAACCATACGTCACCACAGTGGGCAGCGCAGGGTGACACCCGTGGGGGAGGGGCAGCGGTCTTGGTTGGTGGTACCGCTGCTCACCACTGATGTTGACTGTCTGGGGATTAATCTCAGATGGCCGCAGTTTGTTTCGGTGTGTTCACCACTGTGGCACCAACTGTAGGGGGAGGCGTGAGTTAAACTTCTTTGCATTGGTCAACGTGTGTGTGTGTAACGGCTTTAATAATAAAAAAAAAATTCCCGTATATCAACTGGGCACCGATGATAAAGACGTCATCTCTCGATCTCATGACATCTCAGAAGCCAAGCAGGCTTGTAACCTGGCTAATTGGTGCAATGGGTGACCAGCACGACTGCTGCTGCGGTGGGGAGCAGAGGGCAGCGCTGGAAAATCCACCGTTGGGCTGCCCGGCCCTTCCTCGCTCCCACCCTCCGCGGCCGGCCGAAACGAAAGCGGTCAAATACGGGGTAGGGGGGTGGTGGCGGCCCGGCTCCTGCCCGCGACTTCTCCCGCGTGCGGCGAGGTCGCGCCCTCCGCTACGCTCTGCGGGAGGAGACGTTGCACACACAAAGAAGATGCCGCGACGTCGTTGGAAGAAGACTTTGGCCATTTGTGCGCCGTGGGCGAGGTCCAAATAGGAGCAAGCGAACTGCAGACGACTCGACCGGGGAAACGCAAAGCGACATCGCCGGCAATCCCCCCCCCCCCCCTGCTGAGAGTACTTGGCAAACCCTGCGAGGCTTTTGTGGTTAAGCGGGCTCTCTCGATACCGAAGCGGCTCTGGTAAACATTGCGAGTTGCACACACGCACGCCGCGCGTGTGTGCACAGGAAGCGCCGAGCGATATTGGAGTTTACATATTTTTTTTTAGAAAAAGGCTGGAGTAGCTTTTATTTCTGTTTCAAATCTGCACCGCACAGCACAACAAACACGGGGAGGCGAGGGGGGGGGGGCGAGGTGGGGGGGGGGGGTGTCTAGATCCACGCATTCATCGTCGTACTCCACTCACGAAATTAAATTTCGCTGCGGCTCCAATCACCCTCGGCCCTCCTCCCCCGGAGAGCCGCCGAGCCGCGCGGCACCGATGGCCGCTGCTTCTCGACGTGGCGCCGTTCCCGTCTCGGCCTCCTCGCCGCTCCACGTCCCGAGGGAGCGAGCGGCGAGGGAACTTTAAAGCGGCTGCGGTCAAAGTTCATGACGACCGCAGCCACGCGGGGCAAGATCGAGCGTCTCCGCCGCGAGCAACCGGTCCTGCGCGAGTTGCAAGCGACCGGTCGCAGGCAACTGTTTTCGTAAAACAAAACGACCAAGCAAAACCCCACCCCCCACCACAACACCCCCCCCCCCCCGTCACAATCGGCTGACTTTTCCTGCCATCCGATTGGCTGAAATCCGAGCGCGGTGGGGGAGGAGGCAAAGGCGGCGTCCAACTGGGGACTCGTCACACTCGCGAGTTTGCGTCGACCCCCAAGCAGCGGCCGCTTTCTCTACGCGTGACGATCCCCCTCCTCCCCTCCCTCCCCCGTATGTTAAAGCAAAAAGTTGGGGAGGGTGGGGTGCGTCTTACAATGGCGGTATAGCCGCGTGTGTGTGTGTGTGGGGGAGACCCAATCTGTTACAGCTCTGACACACTGGGCACGTGCTGGAGGCGCGCGTCTCTTTAACTTTGTGGACCTTCGAATAATCCGGAGTCGGCTCACTGGGCTGGTGGAGCAGGGGGGGGGTGGGGTTAAGGCTGCACTCTGTTAAAAGTGTTGCACGCTACGTAGTTGCGTTCAAACATCAGCCCCCTCCCGCTCCTTTCGGTTAATAGTTTTGCCCGGCCTGTGGGTTGGGCCCCCTTACGCCAAACCGACCTATCGGACGTCGGCGACGTGCCCGCCTCGTTCCATCTCGCTCGGAAGACAACATCCAAGATGCTCATTTAACAGCGGACACGTCGCAGTGACCGCAGTTCCGACTTTCAGAGGTCCATCTATGGCCGTGGACATCCATTGCGTTCACAGAGCTCCAATCACCGACTTGGCAGCTTCACAGAGACCCGTTGCGTGTCAACCTCCTGTGCGACCATCGCAAACCTTGACGGAGATCTCGCCGTCGTCCCGAGCCGCACTCGCGTGGAGCCAAGCAGCGGCCGCGGCATCTCCACTCGCACCAGAACACGACGAGACCTCACCTTGCGTGGAGCTGCCTTCCGAGGCGACCTCGCGAGATGTCCGGCCGCTCCCCATAGACTATCACCCCCCCCCCCCCGGGGTAGGAAGACCACCACCACCACCTCGCATCGACAGCTCAGAATTTTAGTGAAATCCACTTACGGCCACTCCCCCCAACCGATCATGAGCTGGGCGTGACGGCACAGGGGGCCATCATCACCTTGTCACCGGACTCTCGCCTCTTAACGAACCCGCAATGGGTCTCTACAGCGACCGATACGGCACCAGTTCGTCGATGCGTGGATGGATGGACCACGCGCCACGCGAATGTGGAATTTCCGCCGCTGGATCAGGGCTGCAAACTGATAATGGAATGGCAAAGGGCCGGAACATTAACCACGGCGAAGGGGCAAAGGTGCAGACCTGCAACCGCTCGCTCTCTAGAGAGTGACCCCCCCCCCCCGGGGAGAGCATTTGACGAACTCTCCCAGACAGTCTTGGGAGAGGTGGGAGATGACACCACACTCGACCGCACCACCACACGCGACCTGCCGACTGACCGCCGCCCGCCGTCACCGGTTTTAAAACAAAGTGGACACTCAAAACGAATGCCAAATCCAAAACGACGGGGCGACTCACGGGGCGACTCACGGGGCGACTCACGGGGCGACTGGCGCCCGCCCAGATTAAAATGTTAACGACCGAACCCCGGGGGCCACGACACAGCTCGGCGTCCTTCCCATTGGCCGCTGTCGATGTGCTCAGCGCGGGCACAACCCACTGTTGTATTGTACTTCTACACCCCCCCCCCCCCCCACACGCAACCACGCCCACCGCTGCCGTTACCGACTCGCAGAGCGCCCGGCCTTACGAGGTCCTGTCGACTTAACCCCTAGGGACAAGCCTGCGCGCGCGCGCACACGCACGCACCGAGGAATCCCTCATCCAGCAGCGGAGTGACGCGAGCCGGGAGGACCCGGCCCCCCGTGGCCACCGACGACGACGTCTCCCGTCCCCGACTGCGGCGGCGGCGGCGGCGGCCCCCAGAGTTCGATTCCCGGCGACGGCGAGCGAGAGGAGCGGGGAGCGACACCGGAACCGGTCCGGCATGGCGAAGCATGGTCGACACTGCGCGCGAGGAAAGCCTTCGTCCGGCGGTGGATCGGCAAAGAGCTGTCGAGATCCGCTGCTTTTAGGCGGCGGGGGGTTGGTGGGTCACGCAGGACAACCGCTGCACCACCGCTCCCTCCTCCTCCCCCACGCTAACTCAAAACAAAAATAAATGCGAAAGTAATTGGATGCACAACGACCGAGCAGGATCCCGCGACCCTACGGCCCGCGACCTCTCGAGTGACCGGGGCAATATTCGGACGGGCGTCGCCGAGGTCAAAGCGGTTTGACCCCAACAGTCCGGCCGGGGGAAGCGTGGCCAAACATTCCCCCGTGACCAAATGACCAACATGGCGCAAGGGGTGGGTGGGGGGGGTCCATCCAGCAGTGGATTGAGGACGGCGGAGGTGGGGAGGGGGTGTGGGGGCCGCGCGTGACGGTGAGGCGTTGTTGCCGTGGGCAGAGCGTCCCGGTGAGAGTCGGCGGAGGGAATCCGGTGGAGATTTCAACCCGGGGCACCCCGGTGCATGAGGAGCCAGGGGGAAGCACACCGCACTCTGCGTCACGTTTGGAAAATTTCCGTTTCCTCGGGGCGATAGAGGAGTTGTTTTTTTATTTTTGCGTTTGTCATTTCGATGACCCCCACCCGAAGATCATGGTGACGAATGAGAGACTCCCCCCCCTATCCTGATCTCTTGTCGAGTTCTCACCCCGGTAAGCTCCAAACCTCAACACCTTGATCTCGCTTCGAATCGAATCAATTTGGCCTCACTTTCACCGCTGAAATTCTGCTTCCAAGCTCCACCACGATTCCGATATCGTTTGTAGTTGTTTGTTTTCCATCGCCGAGACTTTCCCCTCTCCCTTCGTAACGGCGAGCGGTCGTTTACCGCCTTACGTGTAACGGGGAGCCCAGACGGTAGTGGGTGACAGCAGCCGCTTCCGAAGCTGCTTCAAGTAAACTCCCTCACCCTACGGGGGCAGCCTCTCTATACGCCCTGCTAGTTACAATAATATCAATAACAATAATATATCATATGACAATAATACATTATTGTTGTTATTCTGCTCGTAATTTTTCAGCACTTACGGACGTTTGGCCAAGACCGGTTTACATTGCGTGCGAGGTTTACAAAACAATAACAACACTGATTATTTATCTGTCTGTTAGTGCTGCCCTCCTTTACGTGGGGGGAAACGTCTTGGGAGCACTGCACGCGCGACTAGCGGCACGCGTGGCAACACGCGTGTTCATCGCACGCCGACCTGTGAGCTCTCAACCGCTGGAATTTAGCCCAATTTAACGACAAAACGATGTTTTGTGTGCGTGTGTGCAGTCAACGGAGACCGGGCTGAGACCGCGTCTCCGCGCTCGGAACGGCCGGTCTCACCACTCGCGGCAGACTCCCAAATCCGAACCCAGTATCTCACGACGTTGCAAACTCGATGCCTCCAACACGGCTGCGATGATGCCACCCCTCGCCCCCCCCCCTCGTCCCCCCCCCTCGCCCCCCCGCCCCGTCCCACCCCCACTGTGCTCTGTGGGCGCGCCGTCCTCCCACCCGCAAGAGGCCCACAGCGGGGGCCCCGCCACGGTGCCGGGTGACCAACTCCAAAGCCGACTCGGCGCAACGATGACGGCAAAGCCACCAGCCGGGCTCCTCAAACTCTCCAAAACGCTCCCAGATTCCCCCAGACTCTCCCAGACTCTTCCAAACTCCCTGCAACACAAGCTCTCCTATACTCTCCCCAGATCATCCCAACTCTCCCCCATACTTCCTTCCCCAGACTCCTGAACTCCCCCCCCCCCCCCCGGGTAGAACCCTTTCAAAACTGTCCCAGATTCCCCCAAACTCTCTCTCAAACTCTCCGATGCTCTCTGCCAGACTGACCGGCGGAGAGGAGTCACTGACGAGGTCGCGTGCAAGATGTTCCCCCCCCCCCCCCTACCCACCCCCCCTCCCCCCACACCGCCACCCCCCCCGCGGGCGGCTTCGCGCCGAATCTGCGCCGTGGACAAAATTCGAGAGCAGTTCCGCGTGCCGGCTCGGAGCGTGGTGGTGGCGGCGTCGTGCGCCCGCGGGCACAGAGAGGCCCCCGTTCCTCTTCGTCCACCTCCTCTCCTCTTCGTCCTCCTCCTCTCCTCTTCGTCCTCCTCTCCTCTCCTCTCAGTCCTCCTCTCCTCTCCTCTCCGTCCTCTTTGTCCTCCCCCCCCACCGCCGAGCGAGTCTCTGCGTTTCTTGCGTTTTTTTGTTTCCCGGTGGACAGCGCGGGCGTGCGATTGTCCTCCGTGTGTGCGTGTTATCTTGTCGGTGGGGAGAAGGGCGGGGGGGTGGGGGGATGGGGTCCCCCGGGGATCGGTCACTGGGGGGCCCCGGCGATGGCGGTGGCGGGAGTCACGGGGACCCCCCCCCGCGGCGTTTGCAGGGGACAGCATCGAGCCCACGGCCGTCAGGCTCCCGCGGGGAGAGTTGATGGCTGCAGGAGGAGAGCGCAGATACACACACAGATACACACACACAGATATACACACACACACACAGATACACACACATACACACACACAGATACATACACACACAGATACACACACACAGATACACACACAGATACACAGATATACACATACACAGATACACACACACACACAGATACACACACACACACAGATACACACACAGATATACACACACACAGATACACACAGATATACACACAGAGATACACACACACAGAGATACACACACACAGACAGATACACACACACACAGATACACACACACACAGATACACACACACACAGATACACAAACAGATACACACACACAGATACACAAACAGATACACACACACAGACACAGATATACAGACACAGATACACACACACATACACAGATATACACACAGATACACACACACACAGATACGCACACACAGATACACACACACACACATATACACACACACACACAGATACACACACACACAGATACACACACACACAGATACACACACACACAGATACACACAGATATACACACACATATACACACACACAGACACACACGTGAGCCGCGTGTGAGCCGCGTACCCGCCACGTTGCTGGGCACGTTGCCGCCACCGCCGCTGCTGCTACTGAAGAGGCCGGCAGACGATCCCTTACGGCCATGCTCCTTCACCACGGGGTCTGAGACGAGACAGACACACAGGGACGACGTGGTGAGACAGACACACAGGGACGACGTGGTGAGATGGGGACGACGTGGTGAGACAGACACACAGGGACGACGTGGTGAGACAGACACACAGGGACGACGTGGTGAGACGGGGACGTGGTGAGACAGACACACAGGGACGACGTGGTGAGAGACACACAGGGACGACGTGGTGAGATGGGGACGACGTGGTGAGACAGACACACAGGGACGACGTGGTGAGACAGACACACAGGGACGACGTGGTGAGACGGGGACGTGGTGAGACAGACACACAGGGACGACGTGGTGAGACGTGGTGAGACACAGGGACGACGTGGTGAGACAGACACACAGGGACAACGTGGTGAGACAGACACATAGGGACGACGTGGTGAGACAGACACACGGACGACGTGGTGAGACGGGGACGACGTGGTGAGACAGACACACAGGGACGACGTGGTGAGACGTGGTGAGACACAGGGACGACGTGGTGAGACAGACACACAGGGACGACGTGGTGAGACAGACACACGGACGACGTGGTGAGACGGGGACGACGTGGTGAGACAGACACACAGGGACGACGTGGTGAGACACACAGGGACGACGTGGTGAGACAGACACACAGGGACGATGTGGTGAGACGTGGTGAGACAGACACACAGGGACAACGTGGTGAGACGGGGACGACGTGGTGAGACCGACACTATTCGTGTCTGTGTATCTCCATGTGGGTCTGTTTCTATGTAGGTATCTCTATGTACATCTATGTCTCTGTACCTCTATGTATGTTTCTTAAGTGTATCTCTACGTAGCCATGAGTGTGAAGGAGACAGATATAGAGAGGGGGGGGGGGGGTCTCACAGAAGTAGGGGTGCTCCATGCCCTCGCGCGCCGTGAGCCGCGCCTGGTGGTCGTAGCGCAGGAGGTTGTCCAGGAAGTCGAGCGCCTCCGGGCTCACGAGGTGCTGGTTCTCGCTGTGCACGAACCGCTCCCAGCGCTTGCGCGAGTGCCTGCGCCGCCACCCAATCACCGCCACAAAGCACAAAGATCCCCCGTGGAGCCGTTAGCGAGTAGCAGCGCCTGCGAAGGCCGGCACGGCACGCGAGGGGGTGGAGCGGCCGGCACCACGCCCGGCCGCCTTTGTCTCCCCGAGCGGCGATGTTTACACACCGCACCGGGTACTCATTCGAGGCCGAGTCGACCTCGGCGAGGGCCCGAACTCGGGCCCTCGCCGGGGTCGCGGCGCCACGCCAACCGCTTGCCCCGCACGCGGCCGCCGCCCCCCAGCGCGCAAACTCGCTCGGGCCTGGGCCCGACCCGTGGGCCAGGCGCCGGATCGCCCTGCAGCAGCGCCGCACAGGGCCAGCGGCCACCGGGAGTGCCGCCGTTGTTGAAAATGCGCTGAGACGAGGTGCGACGGGAGACGCCCCCACCCGCTAGCGGAGGAGGGCGGGCCCATCAATAACACGAAACTCGCTCTCGCTGTCGTCGGCGTCATTGTGGAGCGTGTGCCTGTGTCTGTGTGCGGGTGTGTGTCTATGTGCCCATGTGTGTGTGCCTGTGTGCGGGTGTGTGTCTGTGTTATTGTGTGGAGCGGTAGTGTAGCGGTGAGCACGCTGCGCTACAAACCCGGCAACCAGAGTTCGATTCCCGCTCATGGCCAACACCACCAGTGATATTTATCTGAACTGGTCCTGGGCCCACACTAGGTCGATTCGGCCTTAAATGAGTACCTGGTGCGGTGTGTAGAAACATCGTCACTGGGGAGACAAAGGCGGCCGGGCGTGGCGCTGGCCACCCACCCCCTCGTGTGCCGTGCCAGCCTTGATAGGTGCTGCTGCTCGCTAACAGCACTTGCCCCGACAACCTGTTCGTGGCTATACGGTGGGGATCTTTGTCTTTCTGTATGTAACAGACGACAGGGACACGCACCTGCCCAGGATGTCGTTGAATCGCGGGTCCAGGTCGATGTTGTATTTGTCAATGTAGTTGAAGAGGTCTTCTGTTCCCAGAACCCGCGCTATGCGCACCAGCTGTGGCAGAGGCAACGCAGTCACATGTCAGCATGCGCAGGTAATAATCCTGGTGGTGACAGGGGGTGTGGTCTACTGCCACACTTTATTTGTTGATTAACGGTTGATTTAGTGACAGAAGGTGTGGCCTGATAATTTAAGTCTTGAGGTTGTGACAGACAGCACTCGCTACAGACCATCCCTGGCCTCGAGACAGAAGCACTCCATAAAGACAAGCCCTGGCCTACAGACAAAACTCCAAACAGACAGAAGCACTGGCCTACAGACAGAAGCACTCCATACAGACACAAGCCCTGGCCTACAGACACAAGCCCTGGCCTGCACAGAAGCACTCACTACAGACCATCCCCGGCCTCAAGACAGAAGCACTCCATAAAGACAAGCCCTGGCCTACAGACAGCACTCCATACAGACAGAAGACCTGGCCTACAGATAGAAGCACTCCATACAGACAGAAGCCCTGGCCTACAGACAGAAGCACTCCATACAGACAGAAGCTCTGGCCTACAGACACGAGACGTGGCCTTGCGCTGCACGTGCCTGGTCGTAGTTGTCGTGTCCGTGGAAGAAGGGCTCCTTGCGGAAGATCATGGAGGCGAGCATGCAGCCCAGACTCCACATGTCCAGGCTGTAGTCGTACATCTGGAGGGGTGGTGGGGGGGGCGCAGGAAGGAGACCCCCAAGGGAGATTTCACGGGGACGTCAGATTGTAAATGTTGTGGCTTGGCTCTCCAACACACAACCGGTGTGCTGCACTAGTATACTACACTATACACTACACTACTATACACTACACTACTATACACTATACACTACTAAACACTACTATACACTTCACTATACACTACTATACACTACATTATACACTAGGTGCTGTACTAGTGACGAATTGGCAAGTTCTGTTTACGTGACAACCCTTACTAGTTGGCTGTGTCAGGTGGTGGCGGCTTTAACGACACATTTATATATTCACGCGATCTAACCCAAAAAAACTCTATGATGGATGATATCGATCACAAAAGCCTACCACGTGTTAAACTGACGTCAGTGGTGTTTGGAATAAAGACAAAGGTCCCCCACCTTGTAGCCTACACAGGCTGTTGGGGAAAGTGCTGTTTGCGAGCACCTCCGAGGGGGTGGTGGTGTGTGTGGGCGGGCTGCGTGTATGCTACATGTGCGTGTATGTTTGCGTGCGTGTATGCTACATGTGCGTGTATGTTTGTGTGCGTGTATGTTTGTGTGCGTGCTGCGTGCATATTGCGTGTACGCTGTGGGTGCACGGTTGGCGACATACGCTGCGGAAGACATGTATGCGTACGTACATGCGTGCTGCATCTATGCTGTAAGCTCTGTGTGTACACTACGTCTATGCTGTGTGTACACTACATCCATGCTGTGTGTACGCTACGTCTATGCTGTGTGTGTTCTGGGTCTATGCTGTATCTATGCTGTGTGTACACTACATCCATGCTGTGTGTACGCTACGTCTATGCTGGGTCTATGCTGTGTGTGTGCTGGGTCTATGCTGTGTGTACGCTACATCCATGCTGTGTGTACGCTACGTCTATGCTGTGTGTGTGCTGGGTCTATGCTGTGTGTACACTACATCCATGCTGTGTGTACGCTACGTCTATGCTGTGTGTGTGCTGGGTCTATGCTGTGTGTACGCTACATCCATGCTGTGTGTACGCTACGTCTATGCTGTGTGTGTGCTGGGTCTATGCTGTGTGTACACTACATCCATGCTGTGTGTACGCTACGTCTATGCTGTGTGTGTGCTGGGTCTATGCTGTGTGTACGCTACATCCATGCTGTGTGTACGCTACGTCTATGCTGTGTGTGTGCTGGGTCTATGCTGTGTGTACGCTGCGTCCGTGCTGTGTGTACGCCGTGTCCATGCTGTGTGACGCTACGTCTATGCTGTATCTATGCTGTGTGTACGCAACGTCTATGCTGTATCTATGCTGTGTGTACGCTGCGTCTATGCCGTGTGTACGCTGTGTGTGTACGCTATGTGTGCGTTGCTCTCACCTGGTAGTCCACCAGCAGCTCCGGGCCCTTGAAGTAGCGCGAGGCGACGCGCACGTTGTACTCCTGGCCCGGGTGGTAAAACTCGGCAAGTCCCCAGTCAATGAGACGCAGCTACAGCCACAGGAGCCACAACCACCGCCGTCATTGTCACGGCAACCTTCATCACCACCACATCATTGATACGACGACAACCGTCGTCATCACCACCACCCCCTCGTGTGCCGTGCTACTCGCTAACAGCACTTTCCCTAAAAGTCTAAGGCCACAAGGCTGATCTTTGTCGATTTAAGCATGTGTCTGTGTGTGTGCCTGTGTGTGTGTATGTCTGTGTGTGTCTGTGTGTATGTCTGTGTGTGTGTCAGTGTGTGTGTGTCAGTGTGTGTGTGTCAGTGTGTGTGTGTCTGTGTGTCTCTGTGTGTGTGTGTCTGTGTGTGTCTCTGTGTGTGCGTGTCTGTGTGTGTGTCAGTGTGTGTGTGTCAGTGTGTGTGTCTGTGTGTGTGTGTGTGTCTGTGTGTGTCTGTGTGTGTCTGTGTGTGTGTGTCTGTGTGTGTGTGTCTGTGTGTGTGTGTCTGTGTGTGTGTATCTGTGTGTGTGTCTGTGTGTGTGTCTGTGTGTGTGTGTCTGTGTGTGTGTATCTGTGTGTGTCTGTGTGTGTGTGTCTGTGTGTGTCTGTGTGTGTCTGTACGTGTGTAGTGGCATAGCGCTAGCTGCTGGCGAAAAAGGAGATCTGCGGTGTACAGCTGTACTGATGTCAGCAGGCCATGATAGACACGAGAGGGAGACATCTAGAGGAAAGGTCACAGAGGGGGTCACAGAGGGGGTCACAGAGGGGGGCCCATCGGGAAGCCTCGGGAACCCGCTAGTAGGTTCCAGAGAGGGGCCGGGGCGGAGCGAGGCCACGCTGGGAGTGTGGGAGGGGCCCCTGTGGGGGACCTCGTGGCTGTTGCTGGAAGTGGGATCCCAGTCGTGCTGTTCAAGATCGTCGCCATCGTCACTGTCATCTCCACTCGATATTGCGCTGCTAGAAAGTAGTTGGCCGTCTCGGTTCTGCGCCGTCAGTGTTAGACGGTTAGTGTTGTGTATAGGCTAGCAACAGTAATAGTGTGTACCCACGTGGTGTTGTGTATAGGCTAGCAACAGTGACAGTGTGTACCCACGTGGTGTTGTGTATAGGCTAGCAACAGTAATAGTGTGTACCCACGTAGAGTGTTGTGTATAGGCTAGCAACAGTAATAGTGTGTACCCACGTAGAGTGTTGTGTATAGCATCAGTAATAGTGTGTACCCACGTAGTGTTGTGTATAGGCTAGCAACAGTAATAGTGTGTACCCACGTGGTGTTGTGTACAGGCTAGCAACAGTAATAGTGTGTACCCACGTGGTGTTGTGTATAGGCGAGCAACAGTAATAGTGTGTACCCACGTGGTGTTGTGTATAGGCGAGCAACAGTAATAGTGTATACCCACGTGGTGTTGTGTATAGGCTAGCAACAGTAATAGTGTGTACCCACGTAGTGTAGTCTATAGGCTAGCAACAGTAATATTGTGTACCCACGTGGTGGTGTGTATAGGCTAGCAACAGTAATAGTGTGTACCCAAGTAGTGTAGTCTATAGGCTAGCAACAGTAAGTGTGTACCCACGCAGTGTAGTCTATAGGCTAGCAACAGTCATAGTGTGTACCCACGTGGTGTTGTGAATTATCCCGACAGTGCTCGTTAAATAAGTGCCTCCAAGTCGTACCGTCTCCGAGTTAGCCACTACACGTGTACGTGTCTGTGTGTGCGTGTTTGTGTGTGCATGTCTGTGCAGGAGGCTCGTAAAGGACGCTGCTGGGCAGTTGGAGGCGGTCGCCCTCCAACAACAACTGAGGGCAGAGGAGCGATGCTCACAACAACCAAGCGCCGGGTGGCTAAGATGCAGAAAGTTGGCACATTAGGGGGCACAGGTGGTGGTGCATCAGCCAGTCATCGCAGTCAGTCAACCCATGGCACATGGGTCTGTTCCGTGACCTCCTGTCAGCGAGCCTTCGACACTTCACGTGGCCTCAAAGTGCACCTAGCCTGGCACAAGCGTCGCGGTGACGTCACCGTCACTTAGTGGCGAATGGCGGGTATTGGTATTGGTGTATGTGTGCGCGTGTCTGTACGTCAAGTGTCAAAGGTTGGCTTAGTGCGAGCAGGGCGTAAACTCTAAAGGCCACGAGTCTCATTCGCAAGAGTGACCGGGGCTCACCAGAATGACAAAAGCAAAACTGAAAATAAACAAAAACTCGCCACACTCCGTCAATAACACCATGTACGCGTGGGCCTTAGATATTAAATGTGTGTAACAGGCGACGCTTCCGGGCGATAGCTCCTCCACTGCCTCACGCGTCGCCCGTCGTACATATTTTCCTTTTAAAGGCCATGGTGTTGCCGACATGGAAGGTGTTCAGTTGTTTTTTTTTTTAATTGTGCTTTGTGCGCTGCTGCCACCTATACGTGGGATGTTCGGGGAAACCGGAAAGAACCGGAAAGAGAGGAAGAGCTAACAGAGAACGGCTTGACGACGATGACGACGACGACACGGAGAGAGATCGGTGTCAGAGAGATGGTGCCACGGTGTCAGAGAGATGGTGCCACGGTGTCAGAGAGATGGTGCCACGGTGTCAGAGAGATGGTGCCACGGTGTCAGAGAGATGGTGCCACGGTGTCAGAGAGATGGTGCCACGGTGTCAGAGAGATGGTGCCACTGCTCGAGCCATATTGGCACTGGAAGGCAGAGAGGAAAGCGGAAACAAATGACGAAATGTGCAGTGGGCACCTTCTACGAGCCATCTGCCCATGGATCGTGATGATGATGACCGCTGCCAATGCGTGCGCAGGTCACGCATGCGTCTGTGTGTGCGTGCATCTGTGTGTGTGTGCGTGCGTGCATCTGTGTGTGCGCGCGTGCACGTGTGTGCGGGTGCGTGTCTGTGTGTGTGTGCGCCTGTGTGCGTCTGTGTGTGTGCGCGCGTCTGTGTGTGTGTGCGTGCGTGTCTGTGCGTGCGTGTCTGTGCGTGCGTGCGCATGCATCTGTGTGCGTGCGTCTGTGCGTGCGTGTCTGTGTGCGTGCGCGTGTGTGTGTGCGCGTGTCTGTGCGCGTGTGTCTGTGTGTGTGCGTGTCTGTGTGTGTGCGTGTCTGTGCGCGTGCGTCTGTGTGTGTGTGTGCGTGCGTGTCTGTGTGCGCGAGCGTCTCGCCGGAGCGCCAGACCTTCCGACTCTCGTGGTCGATCATCACGTTGTGAGGCTTCACGTCCCTGTGCATGATGCCCATGCTGTGGCAGAAATCCAGAGCCTGTCAAGACCCGACGTGGAACGTACACGCACGCACGCACGCAGGCGCGCACCCACACGCGCACACAAGCACGTGGTCAGCTCAACCGGGCCCCCACGTCTCCAGACCCTCAAAACTCTTCCTCTCTCCCGAGCGTTCAAAGAGGCCCGGCCGTCGGCGGGCGCTGCCGGCCGCCGGCCGGCGAGGGCCCGAAGGTCGTGGCGCTCACCTTGAGGATCTCGTACATGTAGAAGCGGATGTCGAAGTCCGACAGGGTCTGGTAGAGTTGCTGAAACAAAACAAACCATCGGCGGCCTATTAATGTCGGAATCGGAACGTTTTCTTGGACTGGAGGCGGAATCGAACACGCGGCGGGGCGCCGGTCGACCCCTGACACGGGAGGTCACCACCGGTCGGTCGGTGTGGCCGTCGTCGTTGGCTCGTTTGAGCCAGGGAGAGGTCGCGGCCAGAGAGTTCGACGTCGAGATCACAACGGGGCATTGGCGAGTCGCGACGTCATCACGTGGCGTGTCCACGGAGGTGTCGTGAATGCGATCGGAATGTTTGTTTATCCTGGAGGAATCCGATGAGCTAATGAAGCTCTTTTTTCTCAATGTCCAGTAAGGGGCACGGGGTCAGAACGTTACAACACCAAACACCTCAACAACACGATACGGCTGGCGAAAGGTAAACAAATCACTTGAAATAAAATATACAAATAAAACTATATTTTATTTTACCAGCTAAGGCCCACTGAGCTATTATGCTTCTTTTTCGGAAGCAACCTGGCCACAATTGACAGCTCAACAAAGTGGATTATTATCGTCGTGTGGATAGCAGCCGAATACGCCTGATGTCCATTCTAATCGTGGAGGTGAAAAAGCGGTGCGCCCGGAGAAAAATCCACGCGACCACCACGGGGAGAGAGAGAGAGAGAGACACGCAAACTCCGAATATACAGCGGGCGTCGTCAAGGTCGGGGGTCGAACCCCCTCTCCGCGGCGAGTCCCACGTAGCGACGCGACTCCTGACACTACAGACTATTCAACGACACGGCGTCGGCAGTGGCGCGCGAGCGACCGCACGCGACAGGAAACTCGACGTTCCGCCCCGCGGCGACGTTCCGCTCGTGTCGCGAGTCGAGTCGCGAGCTCTCCGCCAAACGGGAGGGGTGGACCGCGTGACGTTCAAAAAGGCTTGCGCGGGCCACTGGCGAGAACAGGCGTGGTGGGGGAAAGATCTCTCGGGGTACGCACCTTGTAGTCTGTGTTGTTGATGAACTCGAACACGAGGGCCGGCGTGCGGGACTGCGGAGAAGACGCGGCAAACGCACGTCACGCGCATACACACGACACGCAGACACATGACGCACACGACGCCACATACAACGCATACGTTTAGAGTATTTGTCCTGCTGCTATAAATTGCCACATGGTAAGTCACTTTCGTTGAGCTATCATTCGTCACTTCTGAAAAAGAGCTATACAGCTCAGTGGGCCTTACCTGGTAAAATATTAAATAGTTTAGTTTTAAATTTTTATTTAAAGCTTTCGTGACTGCAGGTATTCATATTCTTGGTTCTTTCGATAAAGTCATGTAGAAGGGAAACAATAAAATAATAAAAAATATATTTGTATTATTAGTCACATAGAAGGGATACAATAAAATAATAAAAATACATTTTTATTATTTTATTTTATTGTTTCCCTTCTACGTGACTTTACCGAAAGAACCAAGAATATATATAGTTTAGTTTAAACACACGACGCACAAAACACACGATACACAACAACACACAACGATACACAACAACACACAATGCGAGCTATATCATTAATCGGCATCAGAGTTCGATTCTCACTCACGGCCAACATCGGTGACGAATATCTGAACTGGTCCTGGGCCTCCCCCAGGTCAACTCAGCCTCAAATGAGTACCTGGTGTGATGTGTAAAAACATCGTCACTGGGGAGACAAAGGCGGCCGGGCGTGGTGCTGGCCACCCACCCCCTTCGTGTGCCGTGCCGGCCTTCATAGGTGCTGCTACTCGCTAACAGCACTTGCCCCTCCAGTCTGTTAAGGCTACATGGGCGGGGGGGGGCTTAAGGAGCGTGAGCGAGTGAGCGAGCGGAGGGCCGTGCATTGCACCACAGGGTCCTTGACGATGTCGACGAGGGAGATGATGTTGGGACCTCCCCTCAGGTTCTCCAGGATCTTTATTTCCCGCTTGATCTTCTTCTTTTTAACCGGCTGCGCGCGGGCACACAAAGACACGAATACCAACACAACTGCCATTCGCCACTAAGTGACGGTGATGTCACCATGGCGCCCGTGCCAGGCCAGGTGAACAAAAACAAAGGATTCCCCCGTATAGCCTGTCACAGACTGTTGGGGCAAGTGCTGCTAGTGAGCAGCTATGAAGGCCACACATACAGACGCACGCGCACACAGAAGATCTTCCGTGTAGCCTTCACCCTTCCCCGTTCTGAGACATCTGCAAGTTGCGGGGTGTGATGTCTCCGTTCACCGCTGAATCTCGGAACGTGCGAGCGGCTCGGCGTTAATTTTTTTTAGAGAGGCAGAGCAGCAGCAGCGCCGTTGTCTTTAACGACGTCGTGACTCACCGCACGGAACCGTAGCGACACGACCGCCGCCACTCTACGATAGCTGGCGCCAAAACCGTGCCACACTCCCTCCCAAACCGTGCCACACTCTCTCCCAAACCGTGCCACACTCCCTCCCAAACCGTGCCACACCACTCCCTCCCAAACCGTGCCACACTCCCTCCCAGACCGTGCCACACTCCCTCCCAAACCGTGCCACACTCCCTCCCAGACCGTGCCACACTCCCTCCCAAACCGTGCCACACTCCCTCCCAAACCGTGCCACACTCCCTCCCAAACCGTGCCACACTCCCTCCCAGACCGTGCCACACTCCCTCCCAAACCGTGCCACACTCCCTCCCAAACCGTGCCACACTCCCTCCCAGACCGTGCCACACTCCCTCCCAAACCGTACCACACTCCCTCCCAAACCGTGCCACATTCCCTCCCAAACCGTGCCACACTCCCTCCCAAACCGTGCCACACTCCCTCCCAAACCGTGCCACACTCCCTCCCAAACCGTGCCACACTCCCTCCCAGACCGTGCCACACTCCCTCCCAGACCGTGCCGCACTCCCTCCCAAACCGTGCCACACTCCCTCCCAAACCGTGCCACACTCCCTCCCAGACCGTGCCACACTCCCTCCCAGACCGTGCCGCACTCCCTCCCAAACCGTGCCACACTCCCTCCCAAACCGTGCCACACTCCCTCCCAGACCGTGCCACACTCCCTCCCAAACCGTGCCACACTCCCTCCCAAACCGTGCCACACTCCCTCCCAAACCGTGCCACACTCCCTCCCAAACCGTGCCACACTCCCTCCCAGACCGTGCCACACTCCCTCCCAAACCGTGCCACACTCCCCCCCAAACCGTGCCACACTCCCTCCCAAACCGTTCCACACTCCCTCCCGCGCGGCCTTTTTCTTCTGATTCCGGTGATGCAACACGTACGCACAGGTACGTCATCGGAATGGGAAACGGTTAACAGACTGTTAGGGCACCTATGAAGGTTGGCACGGCACACTAGGGGGTTGGTGGCCAGCACCACGCCCGGCCGCCTTTGTCTCCCCAGTACCGATGTTCACACACCACATCTATAACTAATTTGAGGCCGAGTCGACTTAGGAGAGGCTCAGAACCGGTTCAGATATTCGCTACCGATGTTGGCCACAAGAATTGAACTCGGGTCACCGGGTTTATAGTGCGGTGCGCTAACCGCTGCCCCACACAGACATTGTGGGTGCCGGCCTTCGTAGGTGCTACTCGCTCACAGCACTTGCCCCGACAGTCTGTCAAGGCTATGGCGGAGGGGACCTTTGCCTTTGTGTGTGTGTGGACGCGTGTACACGCACACACACACACTCACCGTTTAATTAAACCTGCGTTTGTTTACCCAGGAAAGCCTCTCCGAACCTCAGGGCTCTTCCGCAGCGGCTGTTAGGGGATCCTGTGTTTCTTGCGAACGTTCTGCCGCCAAATCTCCGCAGAGACGCCCCCGCGCAAAAAACTAACAAGGGAGTTGTCAAGTGAATACTCCGGGGTACTCGACAAACTGCACCGCCGTAAAGACCCCACGGCATCCGGAGGGAGTACGGGCTGAACCCGTATCTCAAGCGCTGCTGCCTCAATGATTTTTTGGCACTTTCCATTACGACGCTCCCAAGATTCGGACACCCACACTCGGGACTCGAACCCGGGTCTCTCAGCGGCGCTGGCTAAGTGTTTTCAACACGGCCATTATGAACCCCCCTCCCCCCCCCCCAGGTGGGTGAGCAAAGGAGTGAGTGAATTCGTAAATTAGTGAGTAAGTGAACGATCAAGCGATTGAGCGATTGAACTAGTGGATTTATGATTGAATGAGGGGATGCGTGAGTGAATGAGTTGAGAAAATGAATTGGCGAAAGAGCTAGAGAGTGAATGAGTGAACGAGCGGGCTAGTGAGTGAAGGAGCGAACAAACTAGTGAGTGAATGAGCGAACGAGCTAGTGAGTGAATTAGTAAGTTAATGAGTCAATGAATGAGCGAACGAGCTCGTGAGTGAATGAGCGAACGAGCTAGTGAGTGAATAAGCGAATGAACGAGTGATTGAATGAGTGAACGAGCCAGTGAGTGAATGTATGAGTGTGTGAATGAGCGTGCTAGTGAGTGAATGAGCGTGCTAGTGAGTGAACGAGCGAGCTAGTGAACGAGTGAGCGAACGAGTGAGCGAGTGGGATCACCACCTTGAGGATCTTCACGACCACCTTCTCGTTGCTCGTGATGTTGATGGCCTCAAACACCTCGCTGTATTTCCCTCGCCCCAGCTTCCGCACCAGCTGGAAGTCGTCCTGGTTCCTGTAGCCACGCGGGACGAACGAAACGCCACGGGAGCCACAGCGCGCGAACGTCAACACGGGCAGCCCGACCCGGCCATTCGACCGGTCACCCACCACCCTCCCCCCCACCCCTCATCCTCTCGGTCCTGAAGAAGAACCACTGCCAGAAACGTCAGCCTCTTACACACATACACATCAACTGTTGTGATAGATCACACACGAACACACGTGCGTTGTAATAGATCACACATGCGCGTGTTGTTTGTGACCTATCACAACAGTGCTGTTTGTTGCTCTCCGCCTGGCGGTTTGAGCCTCTGCTCATCCAGCAACCCGAATTTATATTTGTATTCTTTTTTTTTAACTTAAATCCTGGCACAAAGCGTGGATGTGTACGGGCTGGGCGCGTGACCACCACGAGCATCGCCACCAGTTTGCCGACCCCTCCCCCCACCTCCCACGACGTACGGTGCGGAAGAAGTTAAACGTACATACTACATCACCAAAGGATCCCCTCCCCGCCCGTGTAGCCTTCACAGACTGTAGGGGCAAGTGCTGTTAGCGAGCAGCACCTGTGAAGGCCTCCACTGTGACGCACGAGGGGGTGGGTGGCCATCACCACGCCCGGCCGCCTTTGTCTCCCCAGTGGCGATGTTTACCACGCGCCGCAAAGGGTACGCGTTTGAGGTCGAGTCGACCCAGGGGAGGCCCAGGGCCGGTTCAGATACTCGTCACCGGTGGTGTTGGTGGCTAACCGCTGCACCGCCGCTCTCCATGCATCACCACCACCACCACCACCTCAATCATCATCATCAGCATCATCCCACGTCGTCGCCAAACTCACCCCCAGTCCACCACGTGGGCCTCGTAGTCCCAGTAGTCGCGGGCACGGTGCGTGTTGGCGTCCGCGTACAGACGGGCCCGGCTCGAGGCCACGGCCGTGGGGCCCGCGGGCACCGCGCCGCCGCCTCCGCCGCCGCCGCCCCCTCCGCCGACCACGGCCACCACCCCGCCCGACATGGCCAGACGCCACCGGCCCTCGAGACCGGCACGCAGCTGGCGCGGCCGGTACCCCGGCGGGTGGCACGCGAGTCCCAACAGGGGGGCCCGCGAATGAGCGAACAGGCGATGCGATCGGTGGCCCGGGGGGGACCCCGAGAGATGAGCCCGCGAGCGGGCCGACGGGTCACCCGAGGGCTTCCCCGGCAGGCGGGGAATTTGGCCCAGCCGCTGACCCGACCGGTGGCCTTGGTGCCTCGCCAAGTGGCCGAGGGACGAGACGTGCGACCCCGTGGCGGGCCGACGCGTGGCCAGGCGGGGTGACTGACAGAGCCCCCAGCAAGGCCCCCCTCCTCTCTCGGCCTCGGGAGGGGGCGACGAATGAATGAATCGCCGGGGGCTGGGGGTGACCAACGACGCCGAATGGGGTCAACTGGTGACCCTGGAAGGTGACCAGGCGGTGAAGCCCACAGCTGGACAACCACCACCACTAACTCCACCACCACTAACTCTACCACCACCACTAACTCCACCACTACCACCACCAACTCCACCACCACTACCACCACCACTAACTCCACCACCACCACTACCACTAACTCCACCACCACCACTACCACCACCACTACCACCACCACTAACTCCACCACCACCACTACCACCACCACTACCACCACCACTACCCCCAAGTGGCTCGACCTAGCCACCCGATTGACGATGCCCTAGACGGTCGAGAAGTCCCCCCGCCGCCTGCGTGGCCCTGAGGGGCTGTTTGTCCACCACGGGGCGAGATCGTTCGCGACCTGCCTCGCCCAGTGACCCCGAGACTACCCCCCCTGAATAACCCCTCACTCAACAAGCCCCCCAAGACCCCCCCTGAATAACCCCTCACTCAACAAGCCCCCCAAGACCCCCCCTGAATAACCCCTCACTCACCAAGCCCCCCAAGACCCCCCCCTGAATAACCCCTCACTCACCAAGCCCCCCAAGACCCCCCCTGAATGACCCCTCACTCAACAAGCCCCCCAAGACCCCCCCTGAATGACCCCTCACTCAACAAGCCCCCCAAGACCCCCCTTGAATAACCCCTCACTCAACAAGCCCCCCAAGACCCCCCCCCCCTTTAATAACCCCTCACTCACCAAGCCCCCCACCACCACCTCGGCGCGAGTCAAAATAAAAAGACGAAGCGCTCGAGGGGCCTAGCGCGAAAACCCCCTCAACAGAAAGAGCCGCGACCCGCGAAGCCGCTCTTCAAGCGGCCACCGCGGCACGAGGCTCGAGACTCATCGAAACTCTCTCGGCGATCACGACGACGACAACGACAACAACAACAGGCGGCGGTGGTGGTGGTGAAGCCAATGGCTGATCGCTGTGGGCTACAGGGCGCCTGGCCGCTCCATCACTCTCGCCAACGCCGCCGCCTGCAGCCTGCAGCCTCCCCCCCTCCTCCTCCTCCCTCCCAACGCCGCGCCGCGCTCTCTCCGGGATGTGGCGACGGCGGCGGCGGCTGCTGCCTCACCACCACCACTGCCTCTACTACCACCACCACCACTACTCCCTACCACCACCACTCTCTACCACCACCACCACTACTCCCTACCACCACCACTCTCTACCACCACCACTCTCTATCACACCACCACTCCCTACCACACCACCACTACTCCCTACCACCACCACTACTCCCTACCGCTACTCCCTACCACACCACCACCACTCCCTACCACCACCACTCCCTACCACCACCACTCTCTACCACCACCACTCTCTACCACCACCACTCTCTACCACCACCACTCTCTACCACCACCACTCTCTACCACCACCACTCCCTACCACCACCACCCCCTACCACCACTACTCTCTACCACACCACCACCACTCCCTACCACCACTACTCACTACCACCCCACGACTCCCTACCACACCACGACTCCCTACCACACCACCACTCTCTACCACACCACCACTCCCTACCACCCACCACTACTCCCTACCACTCCCTACCACACCACCCCCTACCACACCACCACCACACCACCACCACACCACCACCACTCCCTACCACACCACCACCACACCACCACCCCCTACCACACCACCACCACCCCACCACCCCCTACCACACCAGCACCACCCCCTACCACACCACCACCACCCCCTACCACACCACCACCACTCCCTACCACACCACCACCACACCACCACCCCCTACCACACCACCACCACCACACCACCACCCCCTACCACACCACCGGGCGGGTTGTGCTGCCCGCACCTCCCCAACCACCCAACCCCCCCCCACACCCCGTGCTGCTGCCCGGTGTCGGCCGCCTCAGCCGCGGCTGCCCCCGCCGCCTCGCCTCAACATGGACGAGAGACGCCCTCGACCCTCGCCTCCTCCTCCTGCTGCTGCTGCTGCGACTGCTCCCTCCTCCCCTCCTACTCCTCCTCTTCTGCTTCTTCTTCTTCAGCCGCCGCCGCGGTGACGTCACCTCGCTACCCCGCCAACACGGGCGGCCATTTTGGGTAGGGCGGGGGACGCCTCGGAGCCATGTTGGTACGGTGACGTGGGCACCGCCCCCCCCCTCCCGCCCATCTCCCCGCCCTCAGCCGCAACTGCCAACGGCCACGGACGGCCATCTTGGGTAGGGGCGAGCCGGACAGCTGTGCCATGTTGGTCCGGTGAAATAGAACCACTTCCCGCCAGCCAACCATGTTGGGTAGGGACCCGGACAGCTCGGGGCCATGTTGGTACGGTGACGTAAGCCCCGCCCCTCCACAACCCAGGCGGCCATATTGAGCAGGGGAGAGCCGGACAGCTCGGCGCCATGTTGGTCCGGTAACGAAGGAAGATTATTGTGAGACTGACCATTTTTAGCACAATTACAAAATCAAGACATCCAAAACAGATATATGGTGACTATAGCAACTCGTATATAAACTAATCTGTCAAAATGCAATTTGCTAGCGACGTTATAAAGAATCGACGGTGCAGCATCTGCGATTTAAAATAATCAAGCGATGGAATTCCGGTTATTTGACGCATGATCTATCAACTGCTGGATGTCGGCCTCCCCAAGCAGCCGACACCTCCCACTGTTGCTGTTCTTGACGCAACCCACTCTGTCGCCCTGCTAAGACGGGCAATGGCGTGACGTGCGTCTATTTCATGCCCTGGTTAAAAAACGAAAGCAAACGTTGGGGATATGTGCGTCTTATAATCCGGTGTGAACATGCCGTGTTTCTACATCGGTATTGACACCGGCAGTAAGTTTGAGGTGCGTCTTACATTCAGTACCCGGCTTATAATCCGGAGATAACGGTAAATACGATAGTTTTTTTTTCCTAACAACGCGATTTCAAATGTTATTCTTGGGATATTTCCTGCACGACAACGCTGCAAAGCCAAACAACTTCACGCAGAAAATTCAGTCATGGGTTTCTTTTTTTCAAATAACTTTTTATTTCAATTTTACTTCTCACTATACATTTTCTCAACGCCGTTCGAGTTATTACCTTAGCTCTGCTATCATTTCCGTTCAAGAACCAGATGTTTGGTTTAATTAGAGAGCACCAGGACAAAGTGTTTGCTGGTACCCAGATGCGAGCTCCTGCCACAGCCTCCAACCGCTCAAGATGGACTGAGCATCAGCTCACTCACTCCCCCGTTAATCAATAATCTTTAATTCAACTATACCATACGTAGTTTTTTTTCCCTGGTTGTGCAGAATTTTCATCTTTTTGTGTTTCAGTATTAATATCATGGCCCCTGTTGGGGTGGCGGATTGTGGCAGATTTGCCGTCGGGTGTTGAAGCAAAAATGACATGGACTTGAAAAATTAAAATCGCCAGTCACGGCAGATTATATCCACTGGGACACGTTGGAGCCTCTTAAAATTGGGCCTCGCCAAGCGTAGCGGAGTTCATATTGACACCTCACCACCTCACTATTATATATCTTCGTGATTCCCCAATCACTCTCTACGCCCCGGTATCGTTTCGCACACTCCAGGTAGAGGATTCTAATACTGGTACAGTGGTACCACACAGGCTGGAAGGCTCTCAGAGGCAGCCTTTTAACGGGATAAGGCTCGCAAAGCCACAGAGATACAGATTTAGTGAAGGAGCTTCTAGCGCCAAGGGAGGCCTGGAGACAAGCGAGAAGTATTCCTAAGGGATGTGCAGCGCAAGAGAGATGAAGAGATGAGGACTCGTGAGATGACAAGAGTTAAGCAAGAGAGACTTGGAGACTAGAGGCACAATTAAGCATAACTGATTGTTGCCCAGCGTCAAGTTTATTCGAAGATTTAAAAAATAGTAAAACGGCCAAAACGAGAGACTCATTTGAGACTGAGCAGAGGACCTGGACGAGGACCCTTGTGAACAAATTCATGGGACTGATCGTGGGTCCTTCAATAAGGTTTAGGAGAACAGATACTCAAAGCTCCCGATCCACTTGCCAAACGATAACAATGCCGTTCCACTCGGGCCTTCACCTTTTAAATCAAGTACAAAAATGAACGATTAAGTAAATAATCTGCAACAATGCCACATTCCCTTCAACGGCCGGGCTCTTCTCAACACAATCTGCCGCAAATGGTTATCGACGAGGCATTGACCATTGACAGGGGCGTTCTGTAAAACCTTATAATCCACACGATCTCAGAGTTAACAAAGCAGGAGTGGGCTTCTGTTAAGTGGAGAAAAGATTAAATACATTTATTGAGCAGCCATTCTGTGGGAGAGACGTTACAATAAAACTACCAAAAAAATCGACTGTAAACATTCAAATGACGCTAGCTAGCATGGTTGTCTTCAGAAACAAAACGGGAACTACGTGGGGGTGGTTACGAGGCCTTTCCGGGGACACTGATCAAATTGTCGCGCGCGCGCCCATCTCGGTCAACATTTAGAGGAAGGCAAAACCTGACCATGGCTGCGAATTTGCAAAGCAAGCCTGGGGCGACGCATCGAACGCAGCCCCTTCCCCCCCCCCGCTACCAGGCCGGAAGTTTGCTCGTGGCAAAAAAAAAGGTTTTAAAGCCACGATCTGCAGTGGCACCGCCACTCCCCAGCGCGACATGCAGTGCGTTGTAGGAGCCGGCACGAGAGCCACACACAACCACGTGACAGTCCAATTGTGGGATCCAGCCATGTGAGAGCAATGGAAATTTGCGCATGCCAGGCGACTATTTTTTTTTTTACTCAAAAGTGAACTCTTGGTCCAGAAAGGTGAACCACTGTAGCGCCTCTCTCTCGGTTTTATTTACAAGGAGCGGATTTTGACCGTCACGCCGCTGCGAACCAATCGCCGCTTCGTAGCCAAAGCAAAAAGGGCACCTGACTCGTGTTTAGGCGGCGGGAGGGGACGATGGAACGGTTGGCAGCACGCCGCGTTATGAACCCCGGCGACACCAAACTTGATTCTCGGCCACGGCCAACAACCCCCCATGCGGACGGATCCCGACTGGTGAGCCCCATGACCGACGCGACACGTGGGGAGGGGGGGTGGGTATTCGTCTGGGACTGTATTGATAAAAAGGGGGGGGGGGGGTCTGTAAACACAACTCCGCGCGAGCGCGCTTCAGGCTGCGTCTACCCGTTTGGCAAGTCAGTCAGGACGATGGGCTAAGGTGCGGACAACCCTTACAACAGCGGGGCTTCCACGCGCCCGTCGATTAAACGAAATATCATTCCAAGTGCCTCCCACCCGCCGCCACCACCGCGGAACTCAAAACGAGCGGAAGCGATGGGCAACCGCTCGTGGGCACTGCCAGCCCAGATGCACAGGTCGAAATTCCACATTCCTCGGGCTTCAGTCTCTTTATATAACGAGCACCGCTGTGTATATCCTACACAGTGGTGCTACTCACTTCATTGATCCAAGGGTGGTTGATTTGACAAAGATGAGGAGTTAAAACCCCCCAAACGGGATTTGTTATTCGCAACGTTTCTGCTTACGAGTTTAACTTTTTTACCGTGGCAACCGCGCGGCCACAAACTTTTTCCGTCTATGTTGCGCGGGATATAATTTGTGGCATCCGTCTCACTCGCTCTCCCAGGAGTGGCAAATGATTTCTGCGTTCCACCCTGACCGTTGGCAGGCTGAAATAGTCGTCTTGCTACTAAATTACAAAGAGCAGGTTTTGTACAGGGCCACGAGACTTAAAAAAAAAACAATAAAATATAACAAAAAGTAAAATGTATCTTGTCGGGAATAAAAAAAAAATGTGATCCACAGTTGTCCCACTTCTTACTTGTAGCAGATCTGAAAAGTGAAAAAATGGAGACAAGCAGATGGTTAAGAACTGGTGAGCATGGGATGCGACTTAATGGGCTCATTTATTTGCAGTGATAACTTTTTCGATGTGTGTGTGTGCCTATTGTTTCAGTGCCATTTCTTTGCTTATTCAATTTATTTTCTGCCAGTTTTCATTTGCTTGGTATAAATTATAGGATGTGGCGCTCGTATATAATCAACATACCGAATTGTGAGATGCAATTAGCATGAACGACGCTATATACAATTCAATTATTATTATTGAGCAGGTAACCAGGTGGTTCAGGGGTCAGGGTAGGCCGAGCCGGCACCACAGAGACTACCTGCTCGATCTCCTCACTGTTTCGAAGAACAAATGTGACCTAAGGTCCTCGCTCATTTACCAGCTTCACATTACTTATTGCCGTACAAATACTGGAGGAAGGGCCTTTGCTGTTGATACCCCCAGGGTCTAGAATGCTATCGCCAATAAACTGCAACTTGGATCACTACCTGTGAGATCTTCACTCAAAACTGCTCTTGAGGAACTGTACACCCACCCCTAGCTGTCACTGCTATGCAGTGGCCTGAAATCAAATGCATTGCCCCGGATGACTGCTGCAAAGTATGATCTTGAGTTTTGATTATAGTGTTCTGATCTTTAAAGGTGCATTGAAAATTTGGGTATTTATCTCAATGAACCAGTTTTTTTCCCATGGCCAGTTGTACGTGGCTCTGTCTAGATCGAAATATCCTCAGCGGATCAAAGTGTTCATCAAGGATAGCCAACTGCAGGGAAACCTTTTTAACAGTGATATCGTATACCGAGAAAGCTTCCAAAGTCCTTAATTTAATTAAATAAACAATAAAATAATAAAATACTTATAAAACAATAAAATTTTCACGACGTTTCGACTGCAACACAGTCATCATCAGGTGTGAAAACCAACGGCAAGAAACAACATATAAATACAAACCGCCACTTCTTTCAAATGTTTCTTGCCGTTGGTCTTCACACCTGATGATGACTGTTTTGTGTTGTAGTCGAAACGTCGTGAGAATTTTATTGTTTAATATATTTTTTTATTATTTTATTATTTCCCTTCAACGTGACTTTACCGAAAGAACCAAGAATATGAATCACTGCAGTCACGAAAGCTTTAAATAAAAATTTAATCAAATAAGAAAAACGTATTCATGTGCTACATTTCCTAATAAAATTAACAATCACACAATAAAACGTTCATTTACATCTTTAATATTACAGCTTCCGTCCTAGGATGGGCTTACAAGCTAGTATAATCTTGATTTGAAGCTTTCGTGACTGCAGGAATACATACTCTTTGGTTCTTTCGGTAAAGTCACGTAGGTAGAAAATAAAATAAATCACGACGTTTCGTTCGCAACACAAGCAGTCGTCCTCAGTATAATATATTAAATCACATGCGGGGGATGGCGACGGCTTGCGGAAGCCTTCAATCCAGCAGTGGATTGACAATGTGCACGGTTGTTTGGCTTGTGCGTGTGTGTGGGACCTCACCTGTGGTACATACGAGTCCTTGTCTGGCCTCTTGTAATGAACGTACTGCAAAAATAAACAGACAAGGCACAAGCGCGACAATTAAAGTCACGCCACTGGACAAGCACACACACACACACGGTCACTCGCGCCTGAAATTAATAACACCTGGTACTTAAGGAACGCAACCGGGAATATGTAACGCAAAGTTTTTGAGCAATATCGTGGACAACTGAAAGGACAATCGCCTCCGTCTGAGAGATAATGTATTAAATATAAGACATTATATATAATACATTATCTCTATTATCTCTCAGAGATGTTATTGTCGCTTGTCACGCTCGTTCGCCCACAAGAGCCTAATGGCTCTTTTTCAAGAGGGTTCTGCTAAGTGTTTTTCAGTATGGGGGGTGGGGGGGGGCGGGCAACGTTGTTGTTGCTTCTGTACGATTACAACCGAGTATATTTGCAGGTATAATTTTCTTCACCATCGGGATTGTTTGGGATATCAGCAGTTACATTGTTATCTACGTGGATTTTTTTGTTATCTATGGGAGAAAACCTGGAGGAGCCAGAGGAAACCCATGCAGTTCAGTGGGGCCAAAGGACAACACACAAACCGCACACAGAGAGGTGCCCGAGTGGGGAATCGAACTCGGGCCCCTCTTTACGCGAGGCAAGAGTAATTAGCACCACGCCGCCGCCACCACTCTGCTGAAGAAGTGAACTTAAACTGCTCTTTAGGATTTTTCCCAAAAAATGAGAGATGTACAGTACAATGGAGCTGTAGACAATCGTGAGATGATAAGAGTTGAACGAGATGAGAGACCTGGAGACTAGAAATACATTTATCTCCGGGTCCTCCAGGTTTTCCCTCCACATTTAGAACCAACGTGCTAAAAAATGTCCACACAATGAGCCACTATACGTTGAGTTATAATTTGTGGCCAGGTCGCTTCTGAAATAAGAGCTATGTAGATCGGTGGGCCTTACCTGGTAAAATAAATGAAACATTTAGTTTCATCCAGTGCCACAGAGGAAAGGGTTGGTTGGAGCGTGGGAGACGGTGTGGGTCGTGGCGGCAAGCGCACGCGCGAAGAAACGCTACGTACGTGAGTGACCGTGTACTCGTCAGACTTGTCCTTGATCTTGAACGGGTGATGGATGCCCTCCGTACTCTGCGGGATCGTCTCCTCGTCGCCCTCATCGTCCGACGTCACGGGCACGTTTACTGGCTTGTCATCGTCCAGACTGTCCGCGATCATCTGGCAACGCTGCGACGGCAAAAAAAACATCGCGCAGCTTACTACACCAGCTGCAGCATATGCTACACATGCTACACAAGCGCTACGCTTCCTCTTCCACGCGGTTATTCCATTCATGTCAGGGGTTGTGCTCTCCTTGCCAACCTTATCCACGCTGCCCTGTCCTGCGCCATCTCTCTTTCCGCTCCTCGGGCCGTGTCCGATCGCACATCGCCCCACCCCCACCTCGTTTGATGCCTTCCCCTTGATCCATTTCCTTCCATTGCATCACTTGCACAGCTTCTGACCCACACACACTTTTCCTGTTGTCTCTCAACATGACGAAACGACAGCACAGCCTTTTCTCTCTCTCATCTTCTCTGCGATTTCTACAACCTCGAGTCTTACTCTCACTTCTTCATTTCTCACGCCCCTGTCCTTCCTTGTTAAACCCAACATCCACCGCAACATCATCTCTGTGACTACCATAGCTTGGTCCTCCCACTTTCTTGTGCACAAGCACTCAGCCCCATACAACAGCACCCTTCAACCATACTGGGACCCTCTTATAACACACCACACCGGTCAACTCTCGCCATTTCAGCCATCCAACCCTTGTTCTTATTCTCAACTCTCCTTCTGGTGATCCATCAGCACCACATCGTTGCACCCAGGTGCTTAAACTCGTTCCCCTTCATTAACTGGTCACTTCCAATTTACAATCCTCCTTCTGCATTATTTCCACTGAAATTTGCCACCATGTACTCTGTCTTTGTCCAACTGATCCTCAACCCATTCCCTTCAATATATTGCAACCAGATCTTAAAATCATGTTCCACTATCCCCCTGCTTTCACCACATAGCACAATATCGTCTACAAACAGAATACACCAGGGGGCTCCCTCTGAATATCTGCGTGCCCAACATGCACTACACAGTCCTCCCTAAGTTAGAGCAGAGGCTGCGGTAAGCCTCCTCATTCTTCGACGTGGGGAGCTGTAGACGGTGGGAGTGGGCCTGTCGTTTTCTCGCAGCGAGCCGGAACACCTCCTCCTGTCGGCCAGGGTCTCTGGGGAGGTCCGGACCGTGTACCAAATGCAGCCATTGAAGCTGCATAAGCCGCAGTAATAAACCTCGGCCATTTCCCCTCGCCATCATGAGGGGGGATTTGATCCCAACCCCAGCTCCAAGCATTGATGAAAATCTCACTTGCAACTTTCATCAGCCAACCAAGACCAGGCCATTGTGACGCATCACGCATGCGACATATCACACACGCATCACACCACTCTCTCCACGACACCCACAGACAGGTCACACATCGTGCAGGCACGCACGCACGCTCACTCACCTGCGTCAACTCTTGTATCGTGTTCATCATGTGGTCCTTGTTCACTCCGGCCACCACTGCTCGTAGCTTCTCAAAGTCCGGCTGGTTGTTGTTGCCGCCACCACCACCGCCGCCGCCGCCGCCACCACCACCACCCATACTGCTCATACCGCACATGCCGGCCATGCCGGCAATGTTGGCCATGTTGGCAATGTTGGCCATGCTACTCATGCCGCCCATGCCACCCATGCCGCCCATGCCGCCCATCCCGCCCATGCCGCCGCCACCGAACATGGCCGCGAACGGGAAGGGGTTCCCCATTCCTGTTCCTCCGCCGCCACCCATCTGGCCGGTGGGCAGCGCCTGCTGGTTGGCGAGCTGGATGGCGAGCGCCGCCAGGGGGATCGGCGTGGGAGGGGAATTGGGCGACGGCTGGTACGGCTGCTGAGGTGGCGGCGGAGGCGGCGGCGGCTGGTTCATGATGAGCGGCAAGAGCGCCGCAGCCGGTCCGATGGAGTTCATGATGCCCACGCTCACCTTGTAGCGTGAAAGGTGGGAGGGGGGGGGGATAGGGCGGGCAGATTCACGAGATTTATTTGAGTTAATTTTGCCCCCATCCCAGTTTTATGCGGGCCGTTCCACCACCGGTGCCACGGCACACGATTAAGAATTCATTCGGATCTCTCGAAGGGCGACCCGTCTTGTTTGAGAACGGCCCACGGAAGCGAACGTCACAGAGCTACCTCTGAGATCCCTTCAAGTGTCCTTTGGTCTAGACAGCGATAGGAGGGGGGCTGCATTTCCCCCCCGCTCGCTCTTCCAAACGAGAGTCCCGTTTGTCTCATGACAGTCAAGCCAATATTTTAAAGTCTTAAAAGAGCTGGGAATTCAGCCAAATTAAGTGCACAACTGCAGCCCTGGCCACGCTTCCCCCACCACTGGCCGCACATAGACGTAACACGGCACCGGGGACAGCGTGCCTCCAAGTGTCACTCCTCTTTCCCACCGTTCCTGGCCCCGACTTTCCCACCTGCAACTCTCACCGCTGCGGCACCACTGGGACAATAGCGGCGACGTGACTTTGCTCATCTCACCTTAGGGTTCACCACCGTCGAATTGGCCCGAGCAATCTCCAACAGCTGAGCCTTGTCTGCAGACACCCACACACAAATACACAACGACTTTAACTTTATGGTATTATTACACTTGTTTACCCAGGAAACCACCACAAAGTCACAACTCTTTTACAGCACGGTCCGGGCAAGTTTGCAAAGTAACGAGCCAAAGTTGCCACGCGCGATCCCAAATTAGTAATTTGCTGGTAATTTTTCGGCATTGCGATGTTTGTACCAACACCAATGTATGCTTATTCTTCAGCTGTGAGGAGGAATCCAGCATAGCTGGAAGAAACCAATACAGAAAGCTGCCCGAGTTGAAAATTTTACCCAGGCCCCTCTTGGTGTGAGACGCTAGAGTTACCACCTGCGTGCGTCCCCACCGGCCCGCCCAGTAATGCAATACACAGTAAAGTATTTTCCTCGTTATTTGCGAGGGATATGTTCCCGGAGATGCTCGTGAATAGCAAATGTCGCGCGATAATGGTATGGGCCTTCGAAAACCTCAAAACATATTTTTCATGCATTACGTTAAATATATAAACTATCGAATGCATGACAATTATCATAACACGAAAAATAGGCTAAAATAAACAAAGTAAATAAAAATAAATGTCAAAATATGAATATCTCATCGCTATCTTATCATATTATATGTGATCACCATCTCGCATCACATTCCCTCTCATCACTTTATTTTTCTCTCTCCCGATGCAGCAGTTATGCAGAGTTCCAGATGCGATTCGCAGACCGCTACAATCGCGGATAGCGAGTTCGTGAATAACGAGGGGATACTGTACAACAGTAAAGAGTCCTGCGCAGAACCAGTGGTGGAAGTTCCACAACCTAAGACAACAATTAGGTTCTTTGTAGTATCCCAAGCTGTCCTTATGAATGAGAAAAAAAAGACTAAAGCATGATGCATATGCGTGCGTGGAACCTGTAACTCTTACCAACAAGCATTGGTTTTAGTTAGTACCTCAGATTGGCGCGACTGGCTAGCGTACCGTGCGAAAGAAGTTCGACATACGAACAATTAATCGGTGGTGACGAAGCATTGTAAGTCACACGGGATGTTGTCGCGCGTAATTATGTCATCTTCCTGGCCGACAAGCGGCGGTTTCAAGGAAGCAAGACGCAGATTTACAACTGCCGCACGGATCCGCATCGTTTGGACGGTGAAACAAAACGGCACAACACCCGGGGGGAGCCCCCCCTCACCCCAACTCACCCTCCTCGGAGAGGCGCAGCGGCGACAGGCTGGGCTCCCTCCTCCTCATCGGCGACCTCCGCCGACGCATCCTGAAGGGGCTCACCCGAAACCCGCGCCGCGCCGGGCCTCGCGACCTCGACCGCGACTTGCGGCGCCCCTCCTGCGCCTTCTCCTCTCCCGCCGCCTTCTTCTCGGCGTCGCCGCCAGCGGCGCCGGCGGTACCGCCGGCGTCGGTGGCGGCGGCGGCCGCCTCCGTCGCTTTGCCGTCGCCCGCCTCTTTGTCGGACTTGTCGCGCGAGCGCCGCCTCTTGCCCCCGGCGGTGTCGTCGTGCGACGCTCGCTTGGCCCCTCGGGAGCGCGAGCGCGCGGCGCGTCGCGTCCCTTCGCGGGGGGAGCGGGAGCGGCCCAGGCGCCGGCGCGCGATTGCCCCCCTCGAGCGCGAGCGCGACCTCCGGCGGAGTCCCCGGGAGCGCGATCGCGACTTGCGCTTGGCGTCGCGCGACCGCGACGCCGACCTCCTCTTGGCGTCCCGCGACCGGGACACCGACCTCCTCTTGGCGTCCCGCGACCGGGACACCGACCTCCTCTTGGCGTCCCGCGACCGGGACACCGACCTCCTCTTGGCGTCTCGCGACCGCGATGCCGACCGATTCTTCACCTCCCTCGATCGGGATCGAGATTTCCTCTTGGTTTCCCGGGATCTGGATCGGGATTTTTTCTTCACGTCACGAGAACGGGACGCCGATACCCTCTTGGCTTCCCGGGATCGGGAGCGGGATTTGCGCTTGGTCTCCCGGGATCGGGACGCCGACCTCCTCTTGGCGTCTCGCGTTCGAGACGCCGACCTCCTCTTGGCCTCCCGGGAGCGCGACCTCCGCCTCGCTTCCCGCGACCGAGTGGCTGCCGCAGCATCCTTGCGATCCCGCGAGCGCGAGCGGCTCCTGCGCTTCTTTTCCGCCGACTCCCTCCTCTTGCGGTCGCGGGAACGAGAGCGGCCCTTCGTGGCGTCGCTCCGATCGCCGGCACGGGCGGGGTCCGCCAGCGTCCTGTGCCTCGAGTCCGAGCGCGAACGCTTCCTCTGCTCGGCCGCGCTGCGCGGGCTCGGCGACTCCTGACGCCGCTTGGGCGAGCGGCTGCCGGAGCCGGAGTCCCTCTTGCGTTTCTCGGCCTCCTTGCTCGTATCGGCTGCCTCTCCCGGAAGACGATCGTCCGTCGACGCCGTGGCGAGGTCAGCCAACTTTGACTCCTCGGTATCGGAAGAGTCTTTCGGTTCTTTGCAGGCAGATACGGCTTCTGTGGTTTTAATCGGCGAAGTATCTTTAGGTGCTTCATCTTTAGAAAAGGAATCTTCTTCTTTTACAGTGGCATCACTTGACGCCGCCTTGTGTGGGTCCAAGATGTCATCTTTTTCTCCAGCAAGTGGCTTCTTCACATCGTCGTTTCCGACGGAAATCTGAAGCTTCACATCCTCCGCTTTTCCCTCATTTCCTCCGCCATCATTTGCCGAGCTGTCACCGGGTTCCACCTTTATCGCCACATAAGTCGCCACAGCTTCCCCTCCGCTCGGCCGTTCTACACCAGCTTCCTCCGCTTCCGCCTTTGCCACCTTCCCCCCCACTTCAACTGCTCCCTCACCGGTGCGTTCAATCTTCAATCCTTCCACTTTGGGGCACTCCTTGGCGGGCGAACGAGACCGAGAACGAGCCTCCGTCTCAGCGCCCCTTGCAGCGACGTCGCTCTCCTCCGTGGATGCCTTCTTGCCACCGTCCGGCGAGGCGGAGCGGGACCTCTTGCCGCGGCCCGGCGACGCAGACCCGCTCCTCGCCTTCTGCTTGCGATCGCGCGACGCCGATCTTGACTTGGGCACTCGCTTGGTGCGATCCCGAGACAAGGATCTCGACTTGTGTTTACGACTGCGATCGCGCGATGCCGATCTCGATTTCACCGCTCTCTTTGTGCGATCGCGCGACGCCGATCTCGACCTGTGTTTACGATTGCGATCGCGAGATGGCGACCTGGATTTAACTCTCCTGTTGCGATCCCGAGATACCGACCTCGACCTGTGCTTGCGATTGCAATCGCGAGGCGGCGTCTTGGATTTCGCTCTCCTGTTGCGATCGCGCGACACAGATCTCGATTTCACTCTCTTGCTGCGATCCCGAGATAATGATCTTGACTTCTGCCTTCGAATGCGATCGCGCGACACCGATCTCGATTTCACTCTCCTGTTGCGATCGCGCGACACCGATCTCGATTTCACTCTCCTGTTGCGATCGCGCGACACCGACCTCGACTTCACTCTCCTGTTGCGATCTCTCGACAAAGTCCTCGACTTTTGCCTCCGCATTCGATCCCGCGACACCGACCTGGACTTCCCTCTCCGGCCTCGATCGCGCGACGTCTGCCTCCTGCCACGGTCGCGAGAAGAAGGCGGCAGCAGCGGCGTCACCGCCCTCGCCCTCGCCCGCCTCCCGGTGGACGGCGAGCGCGACCTCGCCCGCAGGCCCCGATTCCTCGGGGGCGACGGGGAGCGCGAACGGTTCCGCTCGCGCCGGTTCCGCTCGCGCGACGCCGAGCGGCCCCTTCCCCTGCGGAGCCGGTCGCGAGACGCCGAGCGAGATTTGGCGCGGACGTCGCGGGCCCGCTGGGCCGACCGCGAGCGGCTGCGCGGCTTGCGGTTCCGCGACGCCGACCGCGAGTCCCTCCTCTGCCGGTCCCGCCCCGCCCCCGGGCCCTTGGCCTGCCGCTCCCTCGAGTGGGAGCGCGAGCGGCGGCGCGGGGCCGCGGGGCTGGAGCCTCTGCGCCGGCGCTCCCGCAACGGAGAAGGAGACTTTTGTCGCGAGCGGGAGCGCGACGGGGTCGGCCGCCTCCTCGCGGGGGCCTCGGGGGACACGCTCCGCTCCCTCGACTTGCGCTCATCGGAGCCGGATCGCGAGCCAGCCTGCAGACGCCCCCTCGCGACGCCCTCCTTGGCCGTCGATGCCCGCCCACCTGGCTGCCCTGTGGAATTGATATGCCGCGCAATCACCGAAAGCATTGATACAGCTGGATTTTCACTGTCGTCCGTTATTTCAAAGTCCGAGTCCAGCTCTGAAGATGAACCTGCGTTCTTGACGTTCTTTTCCTTCTTGGTGTCGGCGTCCGACTCATCGTTCTCCGAGCCGCTCTTACTTTTTTCCTTCACGACTCGTCTTGGGCTCCCTCTACTTGCCTCGCCCGGCTTTCCCGTAGACTCGGCGGCGCCACCGCCGCCTCCGTTCTCCACGCGTTGCGCCTCCGGCGGATCCACCTCTCGCTCCTTCTCCGGGACTCCTTTGCCGCTCGGGTCCGATGAAGCCGCAGCGCCTGCACCGCCCAGAGACGCTCCTCCCATCTCCTCCTTGCTCCCCGCCACCTTGCCTTCCGCCGCCTCGACCTCCGACGACGCGCGGCCGGCGCTCTCCGTCACCTCCTGTCCAGCCCTCACCTCCTCGCCTCCGCTGTCGGCGACGGCGCTCGACCGCACCCGGGCCTCCTTTGCTCCTCCTTCCGCGCCGTCCCGGGTCCCGCCGCCGCCGCCGCCGCCTTTCACGTCGGCCGCCACCGCCTGCAAGCACCCACCGTCACCACCGCCGCCCAGTGAATCTTTCGTCGTAGGCTCCGGTATCTCCGTGGCCTCCCCGCTCGCCTTTCTGCGCCGGCTGCGTCCGCCGCCGCGGTCCTCCTTGTCAGAGTCGGCCTTGCTCTTTGACTTCTTGGAGCGGCTGCTGCCCTTGCGCCTGTGCTTCTTCTTGCGGCTCTTCTTCTTCTTGCGGCTGCGCGGCTCCTCCTCGGTCTCCTCCTCCGCCGAGGAGGAGGAGGAGTCGGCGCCGCTGTCCGCTTTGCGCTTCTCCGCGGAGCCTTTTCCTGCGGAGTCGGGGCCGGGGGGGACGAGGAGGAGGAGGGGGGGGGGCGGGGCAGGGCCGGGGGACGAGGGTGGCTGTCAGTGAGTGCGGCGCAGCGCGCGCTCCAAACCGCTAGCGCTTTAGCCCTAGCTCGTGCCGGATTTAATTGTGGCGCCGCCCAATTCTGCCCATCTCACTCCAGAAAGTGGTGCCGTTTGCCCGAGATGTCAATTACGGCATCTATAAAACGGCCTCTGCGTGTGCGTCAGACGCCGACCCCCCCCCCCCCGCTCTGGCCTTAGCGTTGCAATGTTTCGCTCGGTGCACTCGAGCAGGGGTTGTTTAGGAATGTGTCAGGTGGCATAGCGTTTGTACGGCCCTTTGCCAATCCACTGCTGAACAAAGACCTTCACATTCAATGGAATAAACTAGAGCGAAATGGCCTTAGTCAGAGGTCGTCCTGCATCTCTTAGGGGTCAATGTCTCCCTGCTCAAACCAGCAATGAGGTTGGATCTTAGCTCCAAGCGAGGCAGAAAAAGCCATGGCAGGCACCAGTCTCTCCTTAGGACACCATTCAAAAGCGGCGCTACTAACGTTATTGTTCTCGGATGAATTGCAGCCATGATGATGACGACGACGAGCCGAGTTAAAAAAAAAAACCCCGAACGAAACTTTAAGCGACGACCTTCCGGTGACGATTCGAGTGCTCTGACCACAGCACCACTCGACCAATAGCACAAACCTCCCCCAGTGGACCGGCATGATGTCAGTCACAGAGCACCCATTACTTTATTCCCTGCAACCCTTTCACAGCAACCCAAGCGGCACTAGATTCTCGAAAACAACCCCCCTTACGGGTGCGGTTTATAACAAAGTGGATGAACAGTAACAAAACTGGAAACTATTTTTTATTTTACCAGGTAATGCCCACGAAACTATTTAGCTCTTTTTCTGACGTGACCAGGCCACAAATGATAGATCAACGACGTGGCTTATCATGTGGAAATTATAGCAGCCAAATACTGTTGTTGATTTTAAATGTGGGGGGGGGGTGAAACCAGAGCACCCAGAGAAAAATCCACATAACCACGAGGAGAGACATGCAAACTCCAAGTATACAACAGGCTTCAGGGTTGTGTTCGAAACCAGGACATCCTGCACAACAGGCGAGGTAGTTAACATATCCTAGCCACCGTGGCGCCCAAAAGCTACGCGCAAAAATCAACGCACAAAAATAATCTACTGGGCTTCATGCAGGGTCGGGAGGAAAGCTTCGAGGCCAAGTGACGTCAGGAGTTGTGAATGTTACTTGCTGTGGTCGTGTTTACTTAACGGCAAACGTAACCTCAGACGCCGATGCCTCACCCAATCTCCGGTCACCACCACTGATGTCTCTATGGATTTTTGGACTCGCGGGTTTCTGCTCGAGGATTCCATCGGCAAAGACCTCAGTAAAGTCGTCAGCAAAGACCAGTGCATGGTACAGGGGCCGTCAATAATTGGGACCCAGGGCTCATGAAATGTGAAAGTGACAACAGACGCTGGTGGGCAGAAAGCATCTATAGGAAGCAGCACAACACCCATCGCATGCAAAAAACAAGTTGCAGATGAGAGAAGGTTAGGCACTGGGAGAAACTGGACTGGCCGACTAGCTTGTCTCGTTGCACACGCCCTGCCGCAAGATTTTAACCGCGGTCGTGGTCAGAACCCTCAATTTACAATCGGAAGGTCGCAAAGTCAAATCATGGTAAGAGGTCGACCAAAGCTAATCATTCATTCATCCGCAATTGATGAAAAGCAAAGCACTATGTAAAGATGCCATAAGCAGGCATTCTCTGGAGAGGCTGGTCCCCATCATAGTGATGTGGAATGTTTATCACTGGCTCGTGCCATCAGTGGAGATAAGCGCCGCTCAACGCACACACATTTGAGCAGAGAGACTTTTGCTTTTTCTTTACTTTTTGAGAGCAGCAGCAGGAGCATTGCCTCTTCCCGGAAAGGGGCACACCCAAATAATCACAAAAATTGCATTGGCTATTCTCGCTCTCGCATCCGAGGCCCATTAATAAAAACAAACGCACCACGGCAATCGAACAACGTAGCAATCACTGATCGTTAACTTCCCATCTGATTCGGACCGCCAATTTGACAAAAGTAAAATGTAGCTTTGGACCCACACCGCTCACCACACCAAATCCCAACTTTACTACCCCTAGCCCACAGCACCCCCACCCACCCCCCGCCACCCCCAACAGACAATTCCTACCACACAACCTTGCCCCAACACCCTTCCCCAAACACACCCCCCCAACAGCCGGCTCAGAGCGGCCTCCGGATGCCAGTGGCTGTCATCGCAGCCCCCTCACAGGCCTCCGTCACAGCGCTGGGATGAAGCCTGGTTCGCCTGCGCGCCTTGACCCACGCACGGACGCACGCACGCACGTACTCCAATATGGTGAGGGTGGTGGGGGAGGGGGGTGTGTGGTGTGTGAGTGCGCGTACTGACGGAACTTGCAGTGTGTCATCATCATCATTAGGAAGCCATCTTAAGTCATCGCATACCGGTTAAGAACCCCGAACAGCATCAGTAACTTTACATTGAAATTTCTAAAGATAACATTTTCAATTAAAGAATAAAGAGGGTTGGGGAAATTTGAAAAATAAGTGTTACAAGTAATTTGCATATATTGCTTGTAAACAAATGTGCCTGCGTCACTTAAGAGAAATCTATTTTTTTAAGTATTAAAAATTTACAACTTTAAATGCCGTGCTACCTAAACCTGCTCAATTAATTTAAGTTAGTCATCCCGGGATATAAAAAAAAACAGTTCTCTATAAGAATATTAGTAAGTAAATTCCACCCAATAATGTCTGAAATGTTATTAACGATTGCACAAGCGACAACCATTTGCATCATCGTTTAGCCAATGGCGGTCAAACGAAAGTAGAATATTGCGAGTTATAATTGCTTCGGCAGAGGGCGAACAAAACAAGCGGCCACTACACCGCCATTCAACTCGATGCACAATAACGAAGCGAAGCAACGGGTAAAACTACACAGACAAAACGACGACCACACAAGCAAAGGGAGGAAGGCAGCACGCGTGCACACACTCGCGCGCACGCACGCTCGCACGCACACTCGCGCACACAGAACCCCCCCCTCCGCCGTTCGCCCGCCCGCCCGCTCGCGATTCGCGGGGAGGAATCACAATAAGCGTCATTACCAGGACCCGACTCAGACAGAACCAACTGACGGAGCCTGGCCGGACTGCGCAACGCTTTTTTCCGGACATCAATTCCCCGCCAGGCTATTTTTCTGCAGAACTGCACAACGGTGAGCTCGCTGGCGGAATGTACCACTTGAACTCTGTAGGGGTGGGGGGGAGGGTGAGGGCGTTGGTCAAAACGTCGCACTGTGCACCGATCGCCATTTTGCTAATTTGTTTTGTCGATGCTTTTCTCTTGTCAGCTTTACAGCAAAACCGTCGTCGTAATATAACTCCTGTCGCAACCGCCCCCGTTTAAAATACTGGAAGAGGGCAATTCCCATTAAGTGCCGTGAAATGACTGCCAATGTTCCGTCAAAGGACAATTAACCACAGCCAAGATTCGCTCGTTTCAAAAACTGGCGACATTGTTCAGTTGAACAGGTATGCGTTGTAAGAGTATTTGGCAGCCATTGTAGATGAAATAAAATCATTTTATCCAAAGTTTTGGTCGACAATGAGCCAAAACCGAGGCCAATGCATGTGTCCACGCAATTAAGCGGAACAGTGGAACAAACATGAGGGTTCTGTTTTACACCCAACCAGAACGTTGTTATGAACAATCTTTGAGCGGAACAAATTGTATTTCCTTTTGTTTTCAAAGTCGAAAAACAGACCCTTTTCTCTCAGCTTCAGTGAGGGGGGGTGGGAGCGAATACAAAACGGTACGGAACTGAAAGAGTCAGAACGCCAGGCAGGAGGGCAACAGGAGTTTTACTTTGGACGCGGCAAGCACTAGCAACCTCTGCGCTAGTAAACCGACAATGCCTGCCCCATGCCCATGGTGAGATTCCTCGCTCACCTGCGGCCACCGACACCTCTGTTGCCGGCACAGCAGTTGTGGCAGCTGCAACTTTGCCGCCGCTACCACCACCACCGCCACTCTCCCCTGCAACCTCCGTGTCACCGTTAACATCCTCGCCTTCCCTGGAGCTGTCGGGAGGAACAAATATTTGGGGAACGCGCACACACGCACACACACACGCGCACGCACACACACACGCACACGCGCACGCATACACACACACGCGCACACACACGCACACACACACACGCGCGCACACACAAACGGGAGTTATGGTCAGTTTGAACAGAACAAGGAGCGGTCGAGATTAAACTTCGTTGGCCATGGTTGTGGCCACAGCGCCAGAATACGAGTCTGAATCCTGGTCGCTTGCAGACTCGGCCCATCACCATCATTCCTCCAAGGTAGATAAAATATGTTATCACCTCATAGGTAGCCTTACCTTTATTTTTATCCTGTTTGTGTAATTTTTTTGTTTTTTTCTTCTATTTTAACCACATTGCACGATAGTTGCCATGTCCTGAGATGAATTAATTTGTATCTTCAACCCAAACAATTCATTAAAAAGTATCCATATCACAGAACTACCTTAGATGTCTACAAGTAACCTCTGATCCATATTAGAAGGCAACACTCTCTGCCACTATATTTGTAATATTTATAGCACATCAGTAAAACCAAAATGTAGAATTCTGAGCGCCGCCATTAAACCAAATTAAATGTAAGACGTTAAGTGGTTGCGGGGCGCAGTCATTGTTCTTTGTTGTTCATCCACGCTGGTACAGTAAAAGTGTATTTAGTTTTTAAGTGTCAAACCAAACACTTACTCCATAAACAAGTAATCCTAAAACTATAGACGACCTTCAGAATAACACCCGCAAGTATTATGGAGGAATATATTTTTACAGGAAGTTGCCTAAATTGAGGAACTGCCAACTGCGACAGTGGGTGACAAAGAAGTACTGCCCCTTATCGAGCGAAACCGGAGTCGCTCAAAGGGATCTTGGAGGTAGTTCTGTAATATCCAATTCTGCGGGTCTATCTGCAACACACAGGAGGAGTCATTCACTGCTCTACGAGAGCTCCGAAAAGGTTTTCCATCTCAGGACATTACGCCGATAAAACAACCAGGATAAGATTGGAGGATAAGGATTATTAAAAATGCGTATGTGGTAGCATTCAACTTGCAGAAGCTAGACCAGCAGCAGTCAGTGTATATGAAATCCACTTACCAATATTATTCACAATAACGGTTTTTGGGTAAGATCGCGAAAATATAAATGTGTCGTTAACCCACCGCCACCCGACACAGCCAATCAGAAAGGTTTGTAACGTGAACAAAACGTGCGAATTAGTTACTACTCAAACACACCGAAGTGTTGGAGAGTAAACACCAGCAACGTTTACAATTTGAGTACTCCAACACAACAAACGATACAAACATTAAAAGCGTTATTGTTACGTTACATTTTCCATATGAAACTTTTAAGTAGAGATGCACTCATTTACCCCGGCCCTTAATTATATAAATTGATGAGGGGGTAAACAATGGTCAGCGAAAAAAAAAGCGATGTGAATTTCTACAATCTACAGCAGTGTAGAATCGCACCTCCGATTAGCACGGTTGGCTACATACGGTGCGAATGCACTTCAACATACATACATAGTGACTCCGCAGTGGAGTTAATACGTAGAATCTGAAGTGGAGCGCATCAGCAAAACCTAGTGGTTATTGTGTCGAATACACATTGGAGTAAATGTGCGACTCTGTAGACCAAACATTGGGGCGAATCTATAGAACCTACAGTAAAAAAGATGCTTCGCGGCCATAACAAGCTAGTCTTGCAAATAACCAATTCATACATAATAGTTTTTTTCGGTTAGATCGCGTAAATATATAAATGTTGTGTCGTTAAAACTCGCCACCACCCGACACAGCCAACTAGTGAGGGTTTTCACGTAAACAGAACGTGGCCAATTCGTCACTAGTACAGCACACCGATGTGTTGGCGAGCCAAGCCACAACATTCACAATCTTAGTACGACGTTTCGCCAGTAATTACAACTAGCTTCATCAGGCGACAGCCAGATTTGTGCTGTACTACTGGCGAATTGTGCACGTTCTGTTTACGTGACAACTCTTACTAGTTGGCTGTGTCGGGTGGTGGCGGATTTTAACGACACATTTATATATTTACGCGACCTAACCCAACAAAAAAACTATTACGGATGATATTGGTCGTGTTAAACTAACAAATTCATAATCACATCCCTCTTTTAAAAGTCGTCTCTACGTACGCGGCTGCACGAACAAGTCATCAGTCGCGAGTATTTGAGAATTCACTAGCAACAAAACCTTTTGGACCTTTCACAGGGCGCAAAAAAAAGCACAATGTCAGCAATGAAACTACGAAAACAAAGTAACGTACACTAACTACCACGCTTACAAAATGTATCATAAATTAAAATACAGTACAGGACTCGCGATCGTAATCTTAAAACAACCGTGCGATATTTACAAGTTTACAGTAAATAATGACGCATCAAAAGGACAACTTCACATATATTAATTAACGCGGGCGGGGGGGCATCAAAAACTAAGCAACTGCATTTAAAAAGTAATAATTTAAAAGGTTAATTTAACAAAATTACTCATTTAAAAGCCCACGGACAGGCCTAAAAAGCCGCCCGTCTTGTACGCACTTAACATTGCAATGGCGGATTGCAGGATCACGAGAAACGACAACATAAACACATTACATAGCGAACAAAACATACATTTGCGTGTTTCGGCAACGAAGCTAATGACCTTGTCAACATGTCTTGTTAATTAACCGCTTTCATTTATCCAAACGGATACGGTTTGTAAAAAAAGAGCAGATAGGCCTGCAAGCCTACGGTGTCGCCTGCGCCGCCCCAACGGGCTCAAGAGACGCGCGCCTCGGCGACAAACCTAGTCGAGACGGGCGCTTCCTCGAGGCCTACCTACGCACACACCACGCAGACTTCTGTTAAAAAATCATTTCCGTCGATTCCGCGACTTGGTAATTCTAGTCTAAGACGTCGCCTTCCAGGTTTCTCTCGACGCCGCCAAGACTAGCGGAGACCGCCACGGCGAAAGAATCCCCCTCCACCATCCTCTCAACTAAAATTTACCTGCGCGCGCTGGCGCCGAGGGGCGGCTGAATGGCGGCGTCCGCCATCTTCGCCTCCGCAAAGCCGCGCGGGTTCAGAAGAGCGGCGACTTGGAATTCTTAAAACTTTAACAACCGCGGTCTCTGTAACAACGGCGGGCGTGCGTGCGTGCTTGCGCTCGCACTCGCGCGCGCGTCGTTCTGCACAAGTCGTCGCGTTTTAACAATTGTCCTGCATTGTTGTTGCGCGTCCGGCCTGAGGCATGAGACTGAGCTCAATTACGCAATGCGCAGACAGAGGCGATGGCCGAGGGGGAGGGGTAGAGGGGGAGGGTCGTGCGAGCGGCAGAAGTTGGGGTTTTCTTTTTGTGTGTCTGTGTTGTGTTGTGTGTGTGTCCGTGTGTGTTGTGAATCAGTCGAGCGGCAATATCTTTTTATCGGCTGCGTAACGCTGTGTGGAAGCTACCTGGTCTGTCGCTCCGCACTAAGCTTCAGGTCTTCTCGGCCACGGTCATTCCCTCCCTTCTCTACGCTTGCGAAACGTGGACCCCCCTCTAATGGAACATCTTCGCCGGTTAGAAACATTTAGGCTAACCTGCCTACGATCCATCCTGGGTTTAACCAGGCTGGATTGTGTGAGGAGCTCACAAATCCTTGAAAGATCTGGGCAAGGTCCAATCGGTGAGCTCCTCTGGCAGGCAAGGCTGCGATGGCTGAGTCATGTAGCCCGCATGCCCAGCCACCGCATGCCGAAACAGCTTTTGTTTGGCCGGATTGAGGGGGCTAAGCGGGCGCGGCACGGGCTAGAGAAGAGATGGAGTGATGTGGTACAGGAGGACGTGGAGCTGAGTGGACTTGCCGATGACTGGTACCAGCAGTGTCAAGATCGGCCTCTGTGGAGGAGGCTCGTGAAGGACGCTACTGGGCAGTTGGAGACAGTCGCCCTCCAACAACAACGGAGGGCGGAGGAGCGACGCTCACAACAGCGAGCGGAGCGCCGGGTGACTAAAGCACAGCAGGTTGGCACAGTAGGGGGCACAGGTGGTGCATCTGCCAGTCATCTCAGTCAGTCGACCCGTGGCACCTGGGTCTGCCCCGTGACCTCCTGCCAGCGGACGTTCGACACTCCACGTGGCCTCAAGGTGCACATAGCCTGGCACAAGCGTCGTGGTGACGTCACCGCCACTTAGTGGCGAATGGCGGTTGTTGTTGTGAGTGTGGTGTGTATCCGTGTATGTTTTTTGTGTATCTGTTGTGTGTGTGTGTATCTGTGTGTGTATTGTCTGTGTAACTGTGTGGGGAGCGGTAGCGTACCTGGTGTAGCGGTGTGTAGTAAACATCGCCACAGGGGAGACAAAGGCGGCCGGGCGTGGTGCTGGCCACCCACCCCCTCGTGTGCCGTGCCGGCCTTTATAGGTGCTACTACTTGCTAACAGCACTTGCGCCTACAGTCTGTTGAAACTATACGGGGGATCTTTTAGTGTGTGTATCTGTGTGTGTTGTGTGTGCACAGTAGGGGGCACAGGTGGTGCATCAGCCACTCATCTCAGTCAGTCGACCCGTGGCACCTGGGTCTGCCCCGTGACCTGCCAGCGGGCGTTCGACACTTCACGTGGCCTCAACGTGGTGCACCTAGCCTGGCACAAGCGCCGTGGTGACGTTCTACCCACTTGTGTATTTGTGTGTGTTGCGTGTGTGTTTTGTAGCGGTGTGTTGTGTATTTGTGTTGTGTATTTGTGTGTGTTGTGTATTCGTGTGTGTTGTGTACTTGTGTGCGTTGTGTTTGTTGTTGTGTATCTGTGTGTGTTGTGTATTTGTGTGTGTTATGTATATGTGTGTGTTGTGTATCTGTGTGTGTTGTGTATTTGTGTGCGTGTTGTGTATTTGTGTGTTATGTGTGTGTTGTGTATGTTGTGTATGTGTGTGTTGTGTATCTCTGTGTGTTATGTATCTGTGTGTGTTGTGAATTTGTGTGTGCTGTGTATTTATGTGTGTGTTGTGTATTTCTGTGTGTTGTGTATTTGTGTGTGTTGTGTATCTGTGTGTTTTGTTTTTGTGTGTCTTGTTGTTGCTGATGGGGAGCGGTGGTGGAGCGGTTAGCGCTACGCTGCGCTACGAACCTGGCGACCCGAGTTCGATTCCCGCTCACGGCAACCAACACCACCAGCGACGATTATCTGAACCGGTCCTGGGCCTCCCCCTAGGTCGGCTCAGCCTCAAATGAGCACCCGTTGTTGTGTAATAAACATCGGGGGAAGACAAAGGCGGCCGGGCGTGGTGCTGGCCACCCACCCCCTTGTGCCGGCCTTCATAGAGCAGCACTTGCCCCGACAGTCTGTTACAGGCTACACGGGGGACCTTTGTTTGTTTGCTGACACTGAATTGCTGCGTTGGAGTGAGCCTATGGACGTGGACCACGGCCTGAGTACTGTTGTTGTTGTTCAACGCCTTCAGATTATTTGCCGAATGCTGAATGCCGCTGCTGCTGCTGCTTTGGCAGCGGTGCATCGTCACATAACAAAATAACCCAAAACATAATGTGTGGCCTTAAAAGGAAAACTATATATATACCATTGCCAACGTTTCGGGCAATGGACCTTCTATATATGTTTTGTGTGTGTGCTCAGGAACAGGCCCATTGTCCGAAACATCTGCTGTTTATATGTTTTAAGGCCACGTGGTGTTGTATGGTCGATCACAGCAGGTCGTAGATTCGATCCTGACCCTGACGCCTGCTGCTATTTGGAGTTTGTGTTTTTCTCTCTCCCCGTGGTCACGTGGATTTTTCTCCGAGTCATTCGGCCCCCACCCCCCCACATTTATAATCAACACCACGCGTTCATGGCATTTGGCTGCTGCTATAAATTTCCACATGATGATAAACCAAGGCCGTAATTATTAAATAGATTTATGTTTATATGATTGCGGTTATGGTTGTACTTTATTAATCCCTAATCTCTGCCATTACATATGTAGTGTTTATAATGACGAATAAACTTCTTATGAGGCACACTGTTTATTGTAATTGTTCTCTTACACAGTCCTTAACACACAGAGGGGTATACGGTCCCCTCACCTGATACCCTAAGAAGGTACAGCCTCTGGACTTAGCGTGACCTACACACAGGTCTCTTCCTAACCTAAGGAGGTAAGCCTCCTATCTTGGCGGGACTTACACGTCTACCGCTATCCTAGAGTCCTCCAGCTGGGACCTAGGGGAGGCTATCTGACCTACCGTTGGCCCGGTGGGTCCTGACCGCTAGATACGCATAGCCTTAGCCCTCAGAAGGGCTGGAAGGCTGGTCCAGGGTCCTGGCTATCTTCAGCCTGGGCTTCAGTCTTCGTGTAGGGAGAGAACTCCCCGCGCTCTGTTGGGTCACCCTTCTTATACCCGTTTGTGGCCAGGTGTAACCAATCCCACATTCCCACGTGGAACTGTCTGATTGGTTCTTACCAAACTGTGGCTACGATCCGCTTCACCTCGTCTGACTCCAACCCTTGTTCACAGTTTCAGTTTTATGTTCAGTTTATTTATTTATTTGGTATAGCCCTGTGAGCCATTCGGCTCTTGAATCGGGTGCAACCACAACAAAACACGAACAAGAAAACATCTTAAGGTGACTTTGTGACTGTGCAAACAGAAAATCCATGAAAAAAACAGCAAAATATTCCTGAAAAAACACCGTACACCAACGCTGTGTGCAAAAATCCCCAGTGGGATGCAAGTCAAACAACAACCACAAGAAAACTTAGATTAAGGCCATCAGTCTAACTCCATACTACAACAAAAAAACGTCCAATCCAAAAAACTTTTCGAAATCACCAAAGAATAAAGCCATTATTGCAATGTAACAGTGATCATAGGGACTGTGACTGAATTTATAACAATAAACTACATAAATAACATGTAACACCAAATCCTAGAGCCATAGCTGGCTGCATGAGTTACTCCACAACAACAGAAGCATCAGTCGGAGTATCAAATTTTTCAATGCACCTTTAAGATCAGCACGCTAAATCAAAATATAGATAATACTTTGCAGCGTCATCCGGAGCGAAACTTTTTATTTTATTTTACGCCAATGAATAGCAGTGGCAGCTAGGGGTGTACAACTCCCAGTTTTGAGAGAAGATCTCATTGGTAACGATTCAAGTTGCAGTTTATTGGCAATAGCATTCTAGACCCTGGGGGCATCAATAGCAAAGGCCCTTCCTCCAGTTTTTTTACGGCAATAGGGAATGTGAAGCTGGTAAATGAGCGAAGACCTGAGGTCAAACTTGTTCTTTGAAACAAAGAGGAGATCCAGCAGGTAGTCTGCGGAATTTTTTGTAAATACATCGTGAATAAATAATATCTGGTGCACAAGCCGTCGAACATTAAGAGATGTTAAGTTTGACCAATGTAGAGATCACAGTGGTGAGTCCTATATGGGCAGTTCAATGTAAATCTTAAGGCCGAGTGATAGATGGAATCAAGCTTCTTCAGTACAGTACTTGGGGCTGATTTATACACGATGTCACAGTAATCAAGTAGAGGCAGTATGGTAGCTTTTATCAATTCCAAACGGAACATACAGTGAGGGAAAAAAAGTATTTGATCCCCTGCTGATTGTGTACGTTTGCCCACTGACAAAGAAATGATCAGTCTATAATTTTAATGGTAGGTTTATTTGAACAGTGAGAGACAATTTCAACAACAAAATCCAGAAAAACGCATGTCAAAAATGTTATAAATTGATTTGCATTTTAATTAGGGAAATAAGTATTTGACCCCCTCTCAATCAGAAAGATTTCTGGCTCCCAGGTGTCTTTTATACAGGTAACATGCTGAGATTAGGAACACTCCCTTTAAGAGTGTGCTCCTAATCTCAGCTAGTTACCTGTATAAAAGACACCTGTCCACAGAAGCAATCAATCAATCAGATTTCAAACTCTCCACCATGGCCAAGACCAAAGAGCTCTCCAAGGATGTCAGGGACAAGATTGTAGACCTACACAAGGCTGGAATGGGCTACAAGACCATTGCCAAGCAGCTTGGTGAGAAGGTGACAACAGTTGGTGCGATTATTCGCAAATGGAAGAAACACGAAAGAACTGTCAATCTATACTCTTTGGTTCTATTCGGTAAAGTCACGTAGGGTAAAGTCACGTAGGTGAAAATAAAATACGTGACTTTACCCAATAGAACCAAAGAGTATGGATCCTAGCAGTCACGAAAGCTTTAAATCTAGAAAAGTCACGTAGGTAAAAAATAAAACAACAAAAATCACGACGTTTCGGCCACAACACAAGCAGCCTTCATCAGGTGAAGGGACCAGGCT